ACAAAAAGTCTGTTGAACAGATCTGATGTAACTTAAAAAAACAAAAATTTGACACCTTCAAGGAAATGATCAATGGCCTTCATTAAGCTGCAATTGCAAAATCAAAACAAAAAGAAATTACTTTAGTGCAAATCGACAAATTTGAATAAAAACATCAAAACACTCAAAAATCACCAAACATTAAGAGATCGAGAGATAGAGAGAGAGGTTATTGCTGGGAAATGCAAAAAAATATAGAAATAAATCTGAAAAGATAAAAATAAACGAAATTACCATCAAAATATAGATCCCGACGAGAGGAATCCAACGGTGGATGACCCGTCAAATTTCGACGGGTGGAACACAAAATAAAGCTCCGGCAAGACCACCGTCCTCGAATGAAAAAAAATTGCAGAAACAGATCCGCGCTCGAAACTGAATGAAATCACCACCAAAAGAAAGAGCTCGACGAGAGGAATCCAACGGTAGTTAAACCATCGAATTCCGAACACCGGAGAGAGAGTTATGGCTCCGGAAAGCAATTTCGCCGGTGAGAGGTTTGTAGAGGCGGGATTTTGAATCTGGGAGAAGAAGAGAGAGACCGTGAGTGGCTAGGGTTAAAACTGATTTTAGAAGGGTATTATAGGTACTTCAGGGTAGCCCAGAGGGGTATGTCAAAATATTTTCGAAATGAGGGGGGTTTCACCTAGAGTGTAATCCACTTGGTAGTTAGTTCTATATAATTTGGAAATGAGGGGGTCTACAAAATAATCCCCAGTATATATTGTTTAATAATCCAGATTTGATTAATGTTGCAATTACCTTTAATTTTGATGAATTTTAATTTAACAGGTGCAACACTTGCTGAGGCCCAACTCTATAAGCATATTGGGCCGTATCGTATACACATCATCCAAATTAAAACAAAATTAATTCTTATTTGTTAAGTGGTATTTGACTAATTTCAAAAGCTTTTAGAAATCGATTCTGGAGAAAAAAAAAAAAAATCCCTTATAATTTGTTTTGATGTGTTTGAAAAACTAATGTTTGCTTGTGCAACTCTTAAAATAAATAACTTTAAAAAAACTCATGGACCTGCTTTTTCAATTTAAATTGATTTTTCAGTGTATTTGCAAATACCTCAAATTTTAAAAAATAAACACTTAATTTAGGATCACCGAATTCTACTTTTAAATACGTTTTTGCAAACACCACATTAGCCAGATTATTAGTTATTGAATTAGTGGAAATAGAAGAATTTAAAGATGCAAGAATGCCACGTCACAAGGAATCAGCATCAAATATGCAAGCATCACCTCCTCTAGATTTTTTTTCTCTTGATCAAATAATCAAGTATCTTTCCTATGATTCTTCCCTGCCACAGAAATTAATTACACTTATCCCATTATTATAATTAATATTATTCCACAAATTTACTCGATCGGTAGTTAATCATTGCTCACTGTATAAACAACACTGGGTAGTGTGTACCCAACAAATTCTTTGCCAAAAAAATGGGTTCTGCTGCTGTAACAGCAGAATTATCCCTTACCGACGGAAAACTGTTAGTTTCCGGCAACTGCATTCTCACCGGAATTCATGACAATATTTTTCTAACACAAGCCCAGACCAATAACGGCACTTTCATCGGCGTTAAATCTGATCGGCGTGGCAGCCGCGCAGTTTTTCCAGTTGGAAAACTCAAGTAACAATTCTCCTCGATAAGAAATTTATTTTCCAATTTATTGCAATTGTGTGATTTTGATTTGAAGAAAATACTGATGCCGATGGTTTTCAAAAAAAAAATAAAATTGCAGGGGTTTAAGATTTTTGTGCCTTTACCGATTCAAGTTATGGTGGATGACTCAGTTGATGGGGACACGTGGACGGAATATTCCCCGTGAGACTCAGTTTTTAATGGTGGAGGTACCAAATAATACTTCTGATCAATCAGTAAACTACGTCGTTTTACTGCCGATTCCCGAAGGGGATTTCAGGGCTGTTCTTCAGGGAAACGCAAATGATGAGTTGGAGATTTGCTTAGAAAGTGGTAACTTGATTTTCTGATGCAATTATTATTATTATTATTCTTTCATTATTACAATTAATTTGAGATTGATATTTTACAGGTGATCCTTCTATTCAAGAATATGAAGGGAGACACTTGGTTTACGTAGCGGTTGGACCCGACCCGTTTTACTTGATCGAGAATTCGGTGAAGTATGTGCGGTTCGGTTTTTTGGTTGTTGCTTTCGGTTATTACGTTGTGTGCTTTGTATGGCGGCAATGCTAGTCGATTAGTCCCTTATTTTTTTTTTCGGAAAATCGAACAGGTATTTGGAAACTCATTTGCAGACATTCTGCCACCGTGATAGCAAAGAGGTAACCCGATTATTATTATTACTATTAAAAATTCAATCACGAGTTTCGTCCCGTGTAATATGCTGGTTTTAGATGCCCGATATGCTGAACTGGTTCGGATGGTGCACGTGGGATGCTTTTTATACTGATGTTACAGCTGAGGGAGTTAAGCAAGGAATTCAAAGGTGTTTATAAATTAATTTCGTAGGATTTCGTTTTGATACTTTTAGATAAACGTAAATTCGAGTTTCGTGTTATTGTTAGTTTGGAGAAAGGTGGAGCTCCCCCGAAATTCGTTATCATTGATGATGGATGGCAGTCGGTCGGTATGGATGCTACTAGTACCGAAGCCAAATTTGATGACACTGCCAAGTAATCAATCAACTCGACCTTCTCTATTTGAATTCTTATATATAAAGCTGATGTTGCATTTGAATTTTTTCACGTCCCAGTTTTGCAAATCGATTAACTCACATCAAAGAAAATCACAAGTTCCGAAAAGAAAACGGGGGGAGTGAAACGGGATTTTCACAAATTATTACCGAGATCAAAGACCAATTCGCTCTTAAGTACGAGCCTTGAAAAACTCAAATTCCATATTTTATTTCTCGTTTTCTGCCGGCAGATGACAAATATTATATGTTTCCCTCGAGTTTTTTCCAGGTACGTTTACATCTGGCATGCAATAGTGGGTTACTGGGGTGGTGTTAACCCTGGTGTTCCCGAAATGGCTAAGTACGAGCCGGAGATAGTAACCGCGGTTCCGTCACCCGGGGTTGAGTCGAATGGCGTTTGTTTCGTTTTGAAGAGCATTATGAAAAACAGAGTTGGCCTAGTCAACCCGGATAAAGTCAACGCCTTCTATAACAATCTGCACTCTTACCTTGCTTCTGCTGGTATCGATGGAGTTAAAGTCGATAATCAAAGCATACTCGAAACACTTGGGGCTGGATTTGGCGGGAGAGTGCGACTCGCGAGAAAATACCACGAAGCACTGGAGACGTCCGTTTCTAGAAACTTCAAGAATAATGCGATTATTTCTTGCATGAGTCACAGCACAGATGCATTGTACAGGTAACACACGAAGTCGTTTGGATGATATTTTTGTTAATGTGATTAGTTTTAACGATTATGTTTATTGATTCAGTGCGAAGAAAGCTGCTGTTATTCGAGCATCGGATGATTTCTTTCCGAGAGATCCAGCGTCACACACAATTCATATAGCATCAGTTGCTTACAATAGTATTTTTTTAGGAGAATTTATGCAGCCTGATTGGGATATGTTTCATGTGAGAATTCCATTTTTTATTTAATTTATATATATTTTCGTATTATCGGCTCAATGTTTTTTTTTTTCCGTGTAATGAAATGTTAGAGCCTACATCCTATGGCCGAATACCACGGCGCAGCTCGTGCTATTGGAGGCTGTCCAATCTATGTCAGGTGCGCTCGTATTTGTATTTTTGCCGAAGTCACATTTCAAAGACCGTACCGTTCGTTATTTACGTTATTGCCATCTCGATTTTGCAGTGACAAACCTGGGAACCATGATTTTGACGTGTTGAAAAGGCTCGTCCTTTACGATGGATCCACTCTGAGGGCCAAATTCCCTGGAAAACCAACAACAGATTGCTTGTTTTCTGATCCTACCCGAGATGGAAAAAGGTATTTAAAATCCAATATATATATATATATATATATATATATATATATATATATATTTATATATATATGGCCTTACGTATAATTCAAGAAAGAGTTAACTAAACACACAATGCATGATCTATGTGGCAGTCTTTTGAAAATCTGGAATATGAACGATTTCAGTGGAGTTATCGGGGTTTTCAATTGTCAAGGAGCTTCGTGGTGTCGAGATAGTATAAGCAATATAATCCACAACGAAAACCCAGAAACAATTTCCACCACCGTCCAATCGACAGATGTTCCTTATATTCGTGGCATTGCTAATGATAGCACATGGAACGGAAATTGCATTATGTATTCCCATAAGAGCGGTATATATACGAACATATTATATATCAATGTATTTTTTATCGGCAAAATTAGAATAATCTCTTAACGAATAATTCCACGTTTGTGATCTCTGCAGGTAAACTTAATTATGTGACAGGGCATAATAAATCCGTGGCCATCGAACTGAAAGCTCGAGAATACGAAGTGTTCACGGTGGTTCCTGTTAATCAACTCCCCGATGGAACTGAATTTGCTCCGATAGGCCTCGTCAATATGTTCAATTCTGGCGGGGCGATAAAACAAGTACGCTACGAATATTCTAAGGAAATTAATATTGGAACGAATTACGTTTGTCTGAGAGTTCGTGGGAGTGGAATTTTCGGTGCCTATGTTTCTGTAAAGGCCAAAAGGTTAGTAATCGACGACAAGGATGAGGAATTCGATTATGACGAAAACTCGGGATTTCTCACTTTCAATTTACGAGTACCGGAACTGGAGTTATACGAATGGAACTTGAAAATTGAACTCTGATTCAAACTATTCATTTTTTTTTCTCAATTTTTTTTTTAAAAATAAGTTTTGATTGGCTTTTCACTTGTGCAAAGATTGCATATGCGAATCAAGATTCGATTCTAAGTACATTGGATAGTTAACTGACTCCTTAAATCTTTATTTTATGGTCCAAAACAATATTGTCCGTTAAATTAAAGTAATATTGTATAATCATATCAGATATTCGGCAGAAGTTCACGAGTTACCAGTTAGTGTATGTATATGTATATATAAAGTGTATGTATAATATATATAAATAGTTGGGTGGGGCGAATCAGGCGATGACACGTTATAACATGTGGGTGGTCAGGTATTTGCTGACACAAGGTTCAGGAATCTACGGCACGTTGGCTGGATGTTTGTGTTTTTGTTCAATCATGTATTGTTTCTAACACAGGTTCTTATTTTCTTAATCTACATCTACATTTACAACTATACACTATATTAAATTATTCATTTAGTACATATCTAATTATTAACTAGCATATGGCCAACGGACTAACTATAGTAGTAATATTTAATTGCAAATGGGCCCATAGCCGAAGGTCCATATACACGGGCGGAACCAGGATCAAAATTTAGGGGGCTAGCTAAAATTTCGGAGTTCGGGGTAGCGCTCCGAAAGAAAATTTAGGTTCACAAGACATTGCAAAAATAAGTTTATATTGAATTTTTTTTAATTAAAATGACATATATATTATAATTTTATCATATTTTAAGCATGACAAAAAATATAAATTATTTCAAATTATTCTAATAATGTATCATACTTAATATTTTGGGAATTCATAACATCGCCTCATGTTATTTTGTAGAGTTTACTGATAAAAAAAAATCACAAAAAAGTAAATATTCATAAATTTTAAAATAATAGAAGTTTTATCATTTAATTTTAAAAAAATTATATTTGATAGTATATATATAACTATGGAGAAGAGGCTAAAAATAAATTAAGGATTAAAACACATATTTACAAAAACTTTAGGGGGGCAAAAGTAATATTAAAAAATGCAATACCAAAATACCTAAAAAGAAATTATTTTTTTAAATCTTGGGGGGTCAACAACCCCACTAGCCGCTTAATAGTTCCGCCAATATCAACAAACCTATAGAGACACATAAATCAAACCCAAATGGACTGAGCATAGTAATATAAGTTCAAGTTGGCCCATATTAAGAGATTTAGGCCCATGGAAATATATTTTTCCATATTAATATCCAAAAACCTCACAATTAAATGTACGCAATTTATAATTTCCGAACAGTCTCTTCAATTTTCTAAATTCTCCTATCGTATATAGCTGATTTGAGTATCGGAGGATTTTCGCCGAGACCGAAGATGGCTACATGCAAATCTTGGAAAATGACAATATCATTAATCACCAAGGGAGCAACACAAACAAACAGCTTTCGAGTTAGTTTCTCTCGTCTCCTTTTTAGGGGTAGGAATTTAACTATGATGCATATGTTGGTGTCTGTCTACTTTTTTTTATGTTTATATTTTATTTTTTTCCCATTTACTATGATGAGTCAGGAGTCCACCTCACTTGCCACATAAGCATTAAAGTCCATATCGTATCCTAGTCAGCCTTTGTCGGTCACTACTGTCTAACTACAGCGGGTCAATTCTATTTTCTAACAAGATAAAAGGATAAAAATTAAGATTACATTAAAATATAACTTTTTTTTTTTTTTATATATCTATAGTCACAATGCCAGGCCAGCTTTTGTACAACTAATGTGCATTATCAATTACTTAATTCATATTGCATGCCAACAAGGCAATATAGCCTATTTTACTTGACAATATCTTCAATATATACAATATATTGGGGAATACGATGCTACACTCGGTGATTTTCACTGGGTGGCTCTTTTCTTGACATGTATCCTTTTTTATTTATTTTATAATTATATTTCTAAAAACCCATTAGGCCATAACTGAACCCGTAGTGGGAATCTTATTAATTAGGGTGCCTAGTTATATTCACCAGGTGTAGCATAGAATTTCCCCAATATATTGACATTTATCTTGCATATGAAAATGCAATATCAAATTCAAAAAATCAAATCCCACACCAATAGTATGTGTTTAAATGTTGGAAAAATAGTATCTCAAATGCAAATTCCTAATAAAGTTGATAAGGAACGTCAAATTGGATTCAAATTGCAAAATAACTATTTAATTCGGAAAAGATTTATTAATGGGCATTAGTGGAGATATCGAAAGAAATTATGGAAAAATAAATGTTATTGTATTTGATTACGAAACGAACTCTACCTCAAGTGAAACGGCGCAAGGAACAAAACTCATGAGCAAAGCTCATGAATCACGTCAAATTTCAGCAATCCAACGTCGTTTAGACTCCTAAAGGTTCGTTTTTGCTATTTTAGGTAAGTTTTAGGAAATTAATATCAAATCATAGAAAAATCGGATTATGATTCCGTAAATTGGGTTGTTCCCAAAATTACGAGATCTACTAGAATCAGACTCTAACTCGTTTTTTCCGTTTTTGGTAATTTTTAGTATTTTCTTAGTTTAATTAGGGTTTTCAGTTTTTTAGTATAAATAGCTGCCTTAGGACTTTATTTTGACAAGAATTTCGAATTTTAATAAATATTTAGAGTTTTCACTATTTTTCTGGTGGATTCCAGAGTTTTTCGGTGGATTCCGAATGTTATTTTGTTCTATAGGATTAATTCATAGAAATTATTTTTTTACCGTCAAAAGTGCAAATTAATTTAATTTAAATCGATCATATGATAAATATTACGAAATTTATAGATTGTCGTGATTAGGCATTTTATCAAATGACACAAATAATAACATGACATATATATATATATATATATATATATATATATATATATATATATATATATATATATATATATATATATTTGAATTGCCATATAATTCACTTGATTTGGATAAACGAAAATTAAAATTCACTTGATCGAGATACGGACTGTCTCTCATATGCCTTACAACTTATTATACGAGAGCATAGGTTTACTCAATAATGCACATAGATGATTGGCTGCGTCTTAATGCACATATATGATTGGCTGCGTCTTCCTTCATTAAAAATAAATAAATAAATAATCATATATTTTGGCATGGTGCTTTAAATGTGTGTGTATATTCATCGGCGGGGAGTATTTTGAGGCGTAATCTCTCTTGTCTGACAATTAATAATTAGGTGTAATTAATAGACTAGTCCCCAAAACCAATAGGATGATAAGGATCCGAGTTGTAATGACGTGTACTTTGGTCAACCCACCGACGGCCCGGATCATTTGTTGACCGCGGATTATCTTACCTTATCCGTAGATTTTTCTGCAATCCTAGGGCTGCCACGCGCTTAGTTTGACCCCCACTAATTAATCTACAATTCCACCTCATATCTACGTATTATCTACTCAGCACTTATAAATACCAACATTATTCAACTTTCCTTTTTTCTCCCTTTATATCCTTAATTGCTGTAATAAAACCTTATGTAATTACAGTTTTCAAATCCTATATGAAAATAATTAGGAAATAATATATTTTATTGCATAATATTATTATATACTATCTACGCTAATTATCATTACAAAATACACTTTTTGATCGTGGCTACCTACTACCCGTGACCATTAGTTTAATTCTTAATTTTATTTTTAATTTTTATAATTCCCCTCGAGAACCCAAATGAATTAATTAATGATTAAAAAATCGAATAATTGTCAAAATTAATATTAATTCCTACTTATATGTTAGGAGTTAGGACCATCTGAATGTGCCTATTAACTAAAGCCTGTGCAATAGTATTATGTTAGGGGGGGGGGGGGCCTATTGCCTGCAATTTTTTACTCATTAATTATCTAATTTATTTATTTTCACCTAATCAGTAATCAGTTAGGTAAGATCTTCATGTTTGGCGATTCTACGCACTGGAATTTGCGTCGTAAATTTACACATAATTATATTAATATTTGAAATACGTTTAAATACACGTACAATTTCAAACTATTCAACGTGTAAGATTCGACGAAATAGTCCGACATATAATTTCTATAAGAATTATAGCTAAGAAATATAAACCCTAAATAATGTTAAAATAAAATCGTAGCGATAATTATAATTTGTTATATGCTGCACGAATTTTATTAATTATTTTTATCTTATAATATATGTGTAAATTAAAAATAAAAAAAAAAACTAAATGATATAAATTTGAAGAAATTAGTAGCATGTAAAAAACCGGGTAAGTATGCAAGAAAGGAAATTCCCGCCAAGAACGGAAACCGTGAAAAATTGCACATACGTCCCTCGTGATTTGTTATTAACTATAAATACCCGAACACGCCTCTCCCATTTCTCATCAACCCATTATTCGTTTCTACGTTTAGTACAAGAGAACGCTGTTCATCGTGTTCATCGATCCTCTCTGTTTTTTTTTTTTTTTCAATTCTTGTGAGAAGATGACGGTGGGTTCTGGGATTTCCGTGAGTGATGGAAGGCTGAATGTGTTGGGTGAGACCATTTTGACCGATGTTAAGGACAATGTTATCGTTACGCCGGCCACCGGCGGACTTTTGACCAACGGAGCTTTCATCGGAGTTCATTCCGATCAAACTGGTAGCCGGAGAGTCTTCCCCGTCGGCAAACTCCGGTTACTTTCTTCTTCTTAATTCTTTCCTCTATATATTACAACCCTTATTAGCTTCTGTTTTTCTATATATATATTAATTAGTAGATCTGATTTGCAGGGATTTGAGATTTATGTGTGTGTTCCGATTCAAGTTATGGTGGATGACACAGAGGATGGGATCGTGTGGGGAAGAAATACCTTACGAAACCCAGTTTTTGATTGTTGAAGGCAAAGAAGATCAGTCTTCTGCTATTAATTATGTTGTCTTCTTGCCCATTTTAGAGGGTGATTTCAGAGCTGTTTTACAGGGAAATTCCAACAATGAATTGGAAATTTGCTTGGAAAGCGGTATAATTTTAAACACAAATCTCTCTCTCTCTCTCTCTCTCTCTCTCTCTCTCTCTCTCTCTCTCTCTCTCTCTCTCTCTCTCTCAAACATGGTAGTAATGCAGGGGATCCTGATGTGAAAGAGTTCGATGGAAGCCACCTAGTGTTTGTTGCAGCTGGATCCGATCCATTCGATGTCATCACGAATGCGGTCAAGTATGTCAATTTCAATCGATGAATTTGTCAAGATAATTTAGATTGACTTTCTTATTTTGTTTCCATTTACCAAAAGATTCATGTAATTGGAACATAAACGAATCTCGATATGCTTCTTGTTGTAGTAGTTCCTTAACTTTCTATTTCGTGACACGATACGATTTTTGCTCCACCTAAAAAATGCGATTTTGAAAAGAAAAAGTAAATGTTTCCTGATAAGAACCGTAATCCCGATTTTACGCAGAACTGTGGAGGGGCATTTGCAGACTTTCAGCCACCGTGAACGAAAGAAGGTACACTAATTACCAATTAATTATTCTCCCAACTTCCATTTTCGGTTTATTTTATTAAAAAAAAGAACGAAAAAAGTCTAAAATATAATATCATGATTAATTCAGATGCCGGACATGTTGAACTGGTTCGGGTGGTGCACGTGGGATGCATTCTACACTAACGTTACCGCTGAGGGAGTCAAACAGGGTTTAGAGAGGTAATTGACTAACTTGTATTTGCTGAAATTACGACACTTGAACGATGCGATTTTTAACTAATTATTCGGTTAATTGCAGTTTGGAGAAAGGGGGGATTCCACCAAAGTTTGTCATAATCGACGATGGATGGCAATCAGTCGGTATGGACCCCACAAGCGAGGGAGCCATAGCCGATAACTCAGCCAAGTTAGTCCAATTTTCCGATAAAACCAATTTCATTTATTTCTCATATATCATTTATTCTCCACTAAAACCCGTTTTTTTTCCGTTCGTCCAGTTTCGCCAACAGGCTAACAAACATCAAAGAGAATCACAAATTCCAGAAAAATGGAAAAGAAGGCCAAAGGGTAGAAGATCCATCAATGGGAATCCGCCACATCGTCAAACAAGTTAAAGATCAACACTTGGTCAAATACGTTTACGTGTGGCATGCATTGGCAGGGTACTGGGGAGGTGTCAAGCCAGGATTGGTTGAAACCGGCCAATACGATTCCAAGATGTCTTACCCCGTTTCCTCGCCAGGTGTTGACTCGAACGAACCGTGCGATGCTTTCAACAGCATTGCCAAGAATGGACTTGGTTTAGTCAACCCCGAAAAGGTCTTCAGTTTCTACAACGATTTACACTCTTACCTTTCGTCGGCTGGTATCGATGGGGTTAAAGTAGATGTCCAGAACATTCTAGAAACCCTAGGAGCGGGCCATGGTGGAAGAGTGAAACTCGCAAGAAAATACCACCAAGCTCTCGAGGCGTCGATTTCTAGAAACTTTCCGGATAATGGAATCATTTCGTGCATGAGTCACAACACGGATGGCTTGTACAGGTGAGTAGTAACAAATTTAACTACTGCATGAATTAATTATTATTAAAAGATTTAATCCAATTTTTTTTTTTTGGTGCAGCTCGAAGCGTTCGGCTGTTATAAGAGCATCGGACGATTTTTGGCCGAGGGATCCAGCTTCACACACGATCCACATTGCATCGGTTGCTTATAATACCGTTTTTCTTGGAGAGTTTATGCAGCCAGATTGGGATATGTTTCATGTAAGCTAATTAGTTCGTTAATTAACACGGTTTACGACAATTAACAAATGTCGGAATGCTAACTTTTAACACTTAAATATAAATCTGCAGAGTGTGCATGAAATGGCTGAATATCACGGAGCAGCACGTGCTGTGGGAGGTTGTGCTCTATATGTCAGGTAAAAAAAATAAACATACACGATTTTATTTTTTCGTTATTCTATATTCATTTTTCCGTGATAATAAAAATAAAAATCCTTACTTTGGAATATAAATATATGTGCAGTGATAAGCCTGGACAACATGACTTTAACCTTCTGAGGAAGCTCGTACTTCCCGACGGCTCAATCTTGAGGGCAAAACTACCGGGAAGGCCAACACGCGATTGCCTGTTTTCCGATCCCGCTAGAGATGGAAAAACGTAAAATCTAAAAAAAAAAATCTTTTTTTTTTAATTAATCAGACCTTTTTTTATCTGATAACTGTAATAATTTTATTTTCTACAGTTTACTGAAAATCTGGAATCTGAATGATCACAACGGAGTAGTGGGGGTATTTAACTGCCAAGGAGCTGGCTGGTGTAAAAACGAAAAGAGGAATCTGATTCATGACGAACAACCTGACACAATAACCGGAATTATTCGAGCTAAGGACGTCGATTATCTTCCAAGAATTGCTGGTGATAAATGGAATGGAGATGCAATCGTCTACTCTCATATACACGGTACTTTTGCTTAAAAGAAAAATGATAAAAAATCGAGCTCACTGTGACAAAATAATTAAAATTTTACAATTTTTTTTTTGTCTGCAGGGGATTTGGTTTATCTTGAGAAAAGCACGTCTCTGTCTGTAACACTTAAGACGAGAGAGTATGAAGTTTTCACGGTGGTTCCCGTGAGTGAGATCTCGAACAAGGTTGCATTTGCACCGATTGGTCTTATCAAAATGTTTAATTCCGGAGGGGCAGTTAAGGAATTAAACTGTGAAGTGGAAAGTTCCGGAACAATCCAGATGAAAGTCCGGGGTTGTGGGCCCTTTGGAGCGTATTCGTCTGTTAGGCCTAAGAGAATCCAAGTTGATGGCGATGAAGTTGAGTTCGAATATGAAGAAGCTTCCGGATTCATTAGGTTCGATCTGCGAGTTCCGGAAGAAGAGATGTACCTTTGGAATGTGGTGGTTGAACTTTGAGGAAGAATCTGTTTTGACTAGGATCTTATGCAGGATCCATTTTCTAATAGTGTCTGAAAAATGCTGATTTATTTCTACTTATGTTTATTATTTATTTTTGGCACGCATTGTGCGAATCGAATGTCTGAATGTTTAACCATTGATCTTGACACCAAGTCGAATGGTGAAAAGTACGAGAAAAAAAACTGTTATTTGATTATGAGTTTGGCTACAACGTTATAAATTAAGTTGTTTGAATTAGCTTTTCTTTAACTTTTTCTTTTCTTGAGATAGTTTCAATGAGCTTATTAAGGTCTATTAATTAAAAAAAAAAGAAAAAAAAAAATGAAATCAGTTGCTGATGTGGCACAACGACCATGCTATTATAAAAATATTATGTAATTTTGAAATATTATGAACTGCCAAACTAAATCAAGTAAAATAGTTGGCAACCGAATATGCAACTCGATAATACTGTTCGCCTCAAATACGAAAAAAAACAGTTAAAAAGATTCATTACACCAAATGTGCTGAAAATACAATTAGAATATTCTAAAAGTCAAGAAAATTCACCCAAATTTTCAACATAGATTCTTTACGGTAATCGCAAATGTTCGAGACGACGGAAAAAACTTAACGACCACGTCCACGCCCCCTACCACGTCCTCTGCCCCGACCGCGACCCAAAGGTTTCCCTAAATTTGACACACGCATTAGCAATAATTAATAACTTTTTTATAGTAATTAATACTATAACATATATATATATATATATATATATATATATATATATATATATATATATGTTTAATGTGAGAGATACGAATTGGGATAATAAATCGATTACCTGCAATCGGCTTCTTGGGCTTAACTCTTGGAGTCTCCTCAACAAGTAAAGTTTCAAGATTTAAGCTGTCGGGAAGTATATAGTAGCGAATGGTGTTACCCCTAATACTTAAATGATCGAGGCTGATTGGGTTTTTTCCTTTCGGTGTAAGTTTCACACTCTTCAAGTGTGTGTTCATGCTGACATCAACTCCTGCCAGAGAAACACGGAGCGAACACTCAGGTAGTCAGTTCTATACATTTCAAAAATAACCGGGGAAACCAAAATGACTTTAAACGAGGCTACCAAAAAATTGAACTAGGAATTGCTTATGTTGTATATGACCTCAAAACGATAACAAGCCTCTTAAAAGCACTTGGAATCGAGAGACACCAAGAGTTCAAAAAAATTAAACAAGAAGAAGGGAATACAGATGCGAGTCGTCGTGTCAAACAAAACTAAAACAAATCTTGATACATAAAATTGTGTCGTGTACCATGTGGACTAATGATCAAGTACATTACTTGGCTTCAAATTTTTATGCTGAACAGAATTTGACAACAAAATTATCATTACATATGCTCGTGTAAAAGGCAATCACTATCAGGTACTTCATGAACTAAAGGTTCAGTTGACCGATACTTTTTCCATTAATCTGTCGTATGACCGATAGTTTTCAATGGACTGCTACGATGACACACCCTCTTTTATTTCTTAATTTCCGTTCCGATAAATTATGGCAATTTGAATTAGTCTAAGTTAAACAATTAACATTCGTCGAATGCTCAGAAGCGAGACGGCACCAAATAGATATCTATATTTCCAATCATAACTGTTATCCAAGGCTGCATTTATTCAAAATCTTCACACTTGGTTTTTACCTTTTTACGAACTGTACGGATGCTAAATCATAATGCCAAAGAAACAAAAAACAAAAGAACTACCTATGATCGTTCCATTTACAACGGTGCCGTTCTTGATTTCGATTGACACAGTCTCGTTGTTCAACTTCATCAAGAATCTGCCCATTAAGAAAATACCCCCAAAAAAAAGAAAAAAAATTGAATCAATTTAAAAATGACCAACAAAAAACAAATGCATCACACTGAAATAAAAGCTGAACTGCCAAATTGCCATTGTAAAACAAAAAAAACGGAAGATGAATCATACCTTACGAGCTTCATGGTTGCTCGGATCTCGTCGAGGTTAGCTACTGAGTAGCTAGGGCTCCAAAAATTGAAAGTTGAATAAATTTGGGGGAGCGGGAGGTGTTCAATTTTATTCTTATTTAACAATTATTAAAAGCGTTAAACCGCGAAAAGCACTTTTTATTAGGTAGCGTTTTTGTGTCAACGATGGATTTGGTCAAAGTCAAAATAGTTTGACCTATAAATAAATTGAAAAACAAAATTCAAAATCATGTTTAAATTAATTCTACCAATACGGCGCCGTTTTGGACGAGATAAGAATGAAGGGGGAGTAGTATCCTATCGGCTATCATCAGTCAAATCCACGTGTCGGACTCCACGGTGCCACGTGTTATCTCCCTGTTGTTTCATCAAAGTCTTTATTAACAGTCCGCCAATTAATCATCAATCCTATCGGCCAACTAATAATCATGCCGGAAAAAGGACAGTTCACGACGGGGAAGACTGCTCTTCTACTATCCGTCGCCGGAATTATCATCGGCGGCCCTCTGGTGGCGTTGATGGGAATCATCTTCGCGGTTACTATGACTCTCCTCCTCGTAGCCTCGCCGCTGTTCATAATATTCAGCCCCGTGCTGTTTGGCGCGGCCTGCGTCTTTGGTCTGGTGATGCTCGGACTGGCGGCGGCGGGTGCCATGGCGGTCGTGGGGGTGTCTGCGGTGGCGTGGGTTCTCCGGCCGTCGTACGCGAGCGGAAGAGGCATTCAGTTCCAGTCTGATAAGTTGATCGACTCCGGCGGCGGCGGCGGCGGCGGCGTGGAGCAGGAAAAAGATTGGGCTGGGTATATTCAGCAGAGACCGCTGACCACACATGAGCTCTGATATTTTGTATATATAGACGATGTTTTGTTTGGGCTTTTGCATGTGTTTGTGTTTTTTCAGTGGTTCTTTTTATCTTCGTAATTAATAAAACTTAGTATAGTATTGTAGAGTTGAAATGCATGCAATTACAAACTCCTCGATCACTAATGAATCTTCTTACATGTTCATATATTTTTATCACTTGTTTTGTGCAGAAATATAATTTCAGAGCTCATATGCATCACAATCTATATGCATCCATCTATATGTATTATAGTCTGATATCTATAAGTTAATAGATTTATTATGATCAATCTCCATTAAAATATGGAGTTCGAATTAGACACGGCTATGGTTGGTTTTCGGCGAAATCGATCCGAACCGGAGCGCCAAAATGTAATTTGACACGGTCATGGCCGGTTTTTGGCCCGAAATTGGCCCGAACTGGCCCGAAATTGGCCCGAACTGGAGTGCCAAAATGTGGAGCTCGAATTAGACACGGCTATTGGTCAGTTTTAGGCCCAGAACCGGCCTGAAATGGCCGTTGACGAATCAGACCGGCCCATTAACCAATGAACCGGTTGCGGAATTGTGAACCGGCCCGTGTACCTCGGGTTAGGTTCGGTTCTAGAAATAGGTGAACCGCTAACCGTCGGACCGGCCTGACGGTTCACCCAAATTTAAAAAAAAAAATTAAAAAGTTGAAAATTTTTGAAGAGGCCGTTATTCTTATTCTTTTTTCAATTCCCCCCACCCCTCATTTTTTCTATAAATACCTTCGCACCCCATTTTTTTCTATAAAATTAAATTCAAGGTCTTTTATTTATTTCCTTTTGTTATTTGCCCATTTAAAGTAATTATTTTAATATATTTATCCATCAAATATATATATATATATATATATATATATATATATATATATATATATATATATATTTCCGGGTGGCCCGGAACCGGAGTGAACCGGCCCATGGCCGCGTCTAACTTGAATAGAGTAAAAAAGATTCGGAGAATATTCGATATAATCTTAAAGATTTTATTATATTTGACACCAAAATATTGAATGTGTGGAATATGCTCAGTCGATGAGTAGTTGTAATTATGAGGAATTTTTGTAGATCGACCTTACTCAGGTGGTGACCGTAATTTACAGTTAATATTATAAGTGTGCTTGTAAGAAAATTTGAGAAATTCTTTGTGAAAATGTAAGTGGAAATTTGACGTGTAACAAGATGATATAGGTAAGGGGCTGATCATAATTATCCAAACATGAGATGATTTTTTTCGTAATTTAAATTGTGAAAATTTACCATGCATTATAGTAAGCATTCGAATCTTGAAATAGGAGTTGGAAAAGAAAAAGGAAAAAATGATTAAAATAAATGAACTTGGCAGCCTCTGCTACACGATCAAATTCAAATTAATTAACTTCCAAATTAAATGTAGCTATTAGCTAGTGGCGTATGTCTGACTTTTCTAATTACAGTTTTCAGTTGATCAAAAAAGTGAGATTTATTTTCAGTTGCAACGTTTATATGTAATGTATGTATGTATGTAACCGTCTCGGAAGAACACCATCATCATCATCATGGTACTAACAGATACAAACGAGCCCATCCCACTACTGCCACTAGGCCTCCCTTCTTCTTCGCCGCCGGACGACGACGGCGACGCCCTCATTCCCGATCGTTCAGTCAACTCTTCCCCTAAAAGAACTGGTTTTTCATCTCTCTCCCTCCCTCTTCCCTCACCATATAGATACATATACATTAGTGGTTGATTGATTCGGTACGTATTTTAATTTGGCAGGTAATAAATGGACGGCGGTGGCGCACATCATAACCGGAGTGATTGGGTCCGGCGTGCTGTCTCTGGCGTGGAGCATGGCCCAGCTCGGCTGGATCTGGGGCCCACTTTCCATGCTCTTCTTCGCCGCCGTCACTCTCGCTTCTACTTTTCTCCTCTCCAATTCCTACAGATCTCCCCACCCTCTCTACGGTTCTGTCAGGAACAGATCCTATTCTGCTGCCGTTAAATTCAATTTAGGTTTTTTTTTTTTTTTTTTTTTTTCAATTGGTGGGAACCTGTTAGTCTTGTGTGGTTGTTTCTCATCTTGATATACACCTGTCATAACAATAATATACGCAGTTAGTTATATACATCTAACATTGCAATCAATGTGAGATAAATATTCGAATTCTTCAAAGGGGTGAATTTGGAAAGTTTCTAGATGGTTGGGTATTTAGTTCTAATTTGTTCTTGCCCAATTGGGAAACCGAAGCAGAATGAGAGGGAAAAATTAAACCCAATAGCAAGAAAGTAGATTTAGAAGGAAATTCAAGTTTTCTTGATTATTACGGCTATTTCGGCCGTGTTTTGACAGTATTTTACATTGCAGGAAAGAAGAATGCTTGGATATGTGAGCTGCTTATACAGATGAATCTCTACGGGACAGGAGTTGCGTATACTATTACTACTGCTATCTGCATGAGGTGTTCTAAATCCCACCACTACCATTTACCACTTTTAAATGTTCGTTATTACGACTTTGATTAGTGAAATCATGAATGCGTATTCATTACCCGAATTATGTTTCTTGATTCTGATGATATGCAGAGCAATACAGCAATCGAACTGTTATCAAAAGCACGGCCAAGATGCTCCGTGCGAATTCGGAAATACTTCGTACATGCTGTTATTTGGAGCAGTTCAAGTATTCATGTCTCAGATACCTGATTTCCATAGCATGCAGTGGCTTTCTGTAGTTGCTGCAATCATGTCCTTTGCGTATTCTTCCATCGGGTTGGGCCTCGGAGCTGCAAAAGTCATAGGTACTACTACTTAATTCAAATAACAGCTAGAAAATGTGGACCCTTTTCTCGACTTCTGCTTCGTATGTGTTCTCTAAATGTACCGTATTGCAGGAAATAAAGCGATTGAAGGTAGCATAGATGGAGTTTCTGCTTCCACTTCGATACAGAAATTGTGGCGAGTCTCTCAAGCGGTTGGAGATATTGCTTTCGCCTATCCGTACTCCATGATTGTTCTTGAAATACAGGTAAAAACTAAAAAAAGGCAAAAAGACTAACTTTTTGAAATGTATATAACTTGCGAAAATGTGTTGTAGGATACATTGAAATCACCTCCGTCGGAGAGTCAGACAATGAAACAGGCATCGGTAATTTCAATCTGTATCACCACATTCTTTTATCTCAGCTGTGGAGGCTTTGGATACGCAGCCTTTGGAGATCAAACGCCAGGAGATCTCTTGACTGGATTCGGAACTTCCGGGCCGCTCTGGCTAATCAACTTTGCTAATGCCTGCGTTGTTCTTCACTTAATCGGAGGCTATCAGGTCGGTAAATCAATCAAAAAAAAAAAAAAAAAAAAAATATATCGAAGGCTGGAATATTCTTGCCGAACCAACTTACAAAAATGTTTATTATTAGGTGTACTCTCAACCATTGTTTGCCACGGTGGAGAAATGGCTGGCCGAACAGTTCCCTCGAAGCTCGTTTATCAACACTAATTATACTCTGAAACTTCCGTTAGTGCCAGCACTGAGTTTAAATCTCGAGAGGCTGTGTTTCAGGACTGTGTACGTGGCATCAACAACAGCAGTTGCGATGATTTTCCCTTACTTCAACCAGGTTTTGGGGGTTTTGGGAACCATCAACTTTTGGCCCTTGTCCATATATTTTCCAGTGGAGATGTGGCTGAGGCAGAAAAAGATAAAACCCTGGTCGACAAAGTGGGTCGTTTTCAGGGGCTTTAGCATAATTTGTTTCTTACTGAACACGTTCATTTTTGCGGGATCGATAGAAGGGATCATAGCTGCTCGTTTCAGCTAGCAAAACGGTTCAATGGAAATAGAATTAGGCATACCACAGATTATATACTGCAAAAAGCAAAAACATTGGTTGTAATGTACACTGAATCGAAAGTAAAAATCGGCATCAATTGATAGCCTTTTTATTGTTATAACAACCATCATTGAATTTTTCGACTTAACGCAAAATGGTTTCAGTTTGTAGGTGAACTCAATTAAAGAAAGAGTAAATAAAATCACTGTTAAAATAGTAGTTATACATTATTACAGATACATCAATACAAATATATTAAGTTATATCTACGGTGTGTATGTGTTCCTGTTATATCCTCGAGGGGAGATGTTTTAAACACTGTATAACATCAAGCAAAGTATGAAGATGAAGAAGATGTATCAGCCAAAACCTGCAAATATTCATGATAAGCTTGTTGGTCAAATATTGCCATACAAGTAAATTGTTTGGTATAAAAGGGAAAATTGGTCATGGAGATAAACCTCAAGTTGCTCTTCAGTGAACGAGTCTTTATGTACATTCCATGTATCTGCATGGGTGCGACGGAATTCAGCAATTGCCTTTGTAACCGTAGATTTCAGGGGTGACGGCTCAGACACAAAACGGGCCAGCAAAGTAACATGCTCCGGCAACCAACTGGAAAAAAAAATCAGGTCAACACTTTAGGATGTGTCGTAAGCTAATGCTGAAAATAGAGTGGTGCAAAGTGGAACAAGATATTTAAGACAAATGCACAAAGATTTTACAATGTTCCGCTTTACGATGTGTGGCATAGTAATACAAACTCTATTTATATGACTTGAAGTTCCATGTTTAGAATTCTAAGGATGATTGATATGTTGGAAGTTGAATTTACCTGGGCATATCGTATGGAACCGAGAGTACACAAGCTGCCAAAGCAAGTATTGAACCGTGTACAGATGCAACAGGCAATGCAGAAACTGTGCTTCTGTAACGGAAAATTAAAGTAATACTATGTAAGAACACATATGATGATTATACTAATCTCCAAATAGAGCAGGGACAGACCACAGAATAATCAAAACCTTGCTATAATTGCAGTCATTGGACACAACGACTCCCACTAATCAATACATGGTGGGGTCCATACAGGAATGAATCGATCATTATAACTATCTTCAACTTGAGCCGATTGAAACAAAAGTGAGGGACACGATCTATAACGGATATCTCAACATTGCTTAATGGTTCCAAATCATAAGGTATTTTTCTTTTCCTAGCAAACACCTTATCAGATAAAGAAGCTGATAAGTGTTTACAATATTCTCTAAAGTGAGAACCAGAAGGAAGGAGGGAGTAATGTAGGAGTAATTTTGTGGCCTGCAGATTGGGAAGCAGCTCAATATTCAACAGGGACTTAATACAAAGGCCAGCAATTATCCAGAATAGAACAAGCACTTGTTATATAAGTTGATCACTATTCACGAAAATTAATCAGAATGGAGACCAAGATATACAAAAGGTCAGTAATAAAAAACCTGTGCTTCCTTTTCTTAATTAAAGCAGCGGCTTGCTCATAAGCTCTCCGGCGAAAATCTTCAACCAAGTCTTTATCCCCACCCTTCATCAGCCCTGCTAAAACTGCAGCGGCATGCTCCCTTACCTGAACATTTTTTTTTGTGATGAATGTTAGTGCCAGATATCTTGTCGAAGTACACCCTTAATAAAGAGAGAAATTTGAATATACGAATATTGCAGTGTCCACAACAAAGAATAGAACTCATATCATATCAAACAAGGAGCAGTTTGAAAGCATTCCATTAGTATTGGTAAGAAAGCCCCATTTGATAGAAAAACTTGCCTCTAGTTGGCTGTCTATTAGAAGCTTCTCTACAGCTTGCCAGATATGTTGTTTATCCATGTTTGAGAGAATAAAATCATGCCTGCAGGAAGATGGCAAAGCACTATGAAATACTGTTGCTTGACCTTTAAAAAGACCCAAAAAATGAGCTAAAACTATCACTGATTTAGCTTATCGAAATAAAAAAAATTACTAGCTAATGATACTAAAACTAACAAGCAAGATATCTTACATTAGTAAGAGCAAGAGCACAACAATATCTTTGCTACAAAGTATTCGTCACAGATATACTATCTTGCATGCCAAAAAAAAAACTAAAACAATGAAGCAACTTAGAAGTACAGCCAACCCGAAACAAATAGGATACCTGTACATAAAACTTCTCAGAAATGTTAAAGTTGCAGATCGAGTTCTCCAATTGGGATCGTTGGCTAGAGAAAGAATAATAGACACAGCTTTCCGTAGATGAGGCTCCCGAGTAACCCTCCATTTTAGCAATTCAAAAGCAGCCTTGGCCAGATTTGACAGATCTTTATTTGATGTTTCCTGTAAAAATAAAAATTAATACGTAAGAGGTCCCAATACAAAGATCCTTACGCTGTAAAGAACCTTCAGGACATCAAAGATGAAGATCAGAGACATGAAAGACACGGACGGATTACCTGTAAAGATATGACTGGGTACAGAAGTTCGACGAGAACATCCAGCAAAACTGAAGACCTTCCCGACTTCAAGGATGATATGATAAAATGAAACAACTGCACATGGAGAAAAATGGAGTAATTTTACTGTAGCCAAGTAACACCGAATAAATAATAATTCCAATATGCATTGACAAAAAAGGTACCGTTTCCATCCATTTAATGTCGTCTTTAGAATGGTCACTTGACATGCCATTTTCTGATAATTTCTCTTTTGGAATCTCCAAAGCTTCTGACGCACTGACATTTTGTATCTTAGTTACCAGTTCAGAAGCCCGCTTGACCAAGTATCTGTCCCATGATCTTGCAGGTGTTATGTCTGCGTTGCTGGCTCCGCTTTCATCCGAGTGGGCATTACCAAAAGAGGCGCAAAGTCGAAGGTTTGAACATAACACAGAAAGGGCAACACCAATTGCTTCTCTTACCTACTCAAACATCAAACATCAAACAAGGGTCATTAAATAATGATGACAAAAGGAAAATTTCAGGAAGTAATAAAGATCCTAACAAGCTGGATTCTCCTCATCGGAACACCAGAAATTTGACTTTAGAAACTATTCGCATTCTAACATATCACAGTAAATAAAATTCTCAAAACTACAAACAGAATAAAAGTTACATGCTGGTAGTCATACTATAAAAAGACACATTTCATTCAACCTTCAAAATTACTCATCTCTGGAATCTACAAGCCAAGGAGTTCAACAAGGACATTGAGCACAGTTTCAGATACTGAGTTGTCCAGAAGAGAAATTTGCAGGAGAATTTGATAAATGTCATTCACAAGAAAAATGAAGCAAGAAACATGCAAATTTAATCAACCTAGAAGAGGAAAATGGGAACATCAAATATCCAAGAGGGCAATTCTCATTCCAGAAACAATCACAGACCTCCTACCCAATTCCAAGATAAACAATAAACATCAAATGTCACAACCTTTTTAGGTGCAGGAACCTTTGGCAAATCAGAGAAAAGACATCAAAACACTACTTCCTTCTTGTGCAGGGATGGAGCCAGTGGATTTTAGTATAGAGGCTAGATTGGATCATTTAAAATTTGATTTTATTTTTATCATATTATTATAGATATATTTTTATAATTTGTTTTTAACTAATTGTTGACAATAAATATAAATATAAATGCATACATTATATTTATAAATTCCCATACCTATCAAAAACTAAAAGTTAGCCTGATGCTAAAACAAAGAATAATAAAAAGGAATTCATAATATCAAAACTTTACAGATTGCAAAACTAAAACCTATTTATTTTTTTTATTTATGAAATATCGATTTCCTAGGCTATAAATAAAGTAAGAAATTTGCAATAGAACATAATTATTAATTATGTACATAAATTTGCTTACTTGTGCAGAGGAGTGACTCATGTTACTCAGCAACTCATCCAGAAGATTATAATGAACCAGGATTTCAGATTCAGGCATTCCCACAGGAGATACTTCTATGAGTATAGCTGAAAGAAAAGTATAGCGCTTGGCAACTACAGAGGTAGCAACTATTTGAGGTAAAGGTTTCATCAGGCAATCAATTACTTTATGTCTCAGGAGGGGAGCCCTGGTTCCAGATTTTCCCTTCCCAGTGGCTGCATAACGAATACTTGCAGCCCACTCTGGAATAGACTCCACAGAGGGGGAATGAATAATATTCTGCAATTGGACCATCATCCAGCTGTCCCATGCTTCTGAAACACCAAGCACATCAGAATGCAGCACCCCAGCAAATGCTTCAGCAGCAACACATTGCTTTGACCTCTCTTTAGCATCCACAAACTCCTCTAGAGCATTTTTCAAAGCCAGTAAAACAGGCATGCCACATTCCTGAATCAGCCTTTTAAAGATCCGTGCAAAGTTGGAGTAAAATGTATCACTCCCGAATAAAGATATCCAACTTGGAGTACGAGGCCATGAAGCAGAAAAATCAAAATAGAAACGAGTAATCGATTTGTCCGCAAAACTCTGCAAGGATGAACTTCCATAATGTCCTCTGGAAGACCCAGTATCCATGTCGGTGATAATATGAACATGAGAAAGACTATTCAAAGTATCACTAAAAAAGCCTTCTTCCTGAAAAATACTACTCAAAGCTTCTTCTAGAGATGACTTGGGGTCTGCCTGCAAACTTCCCTGACCATGGACACGGTTCTCTGCTGAAATTTTGTGAGGTGACTCTTTCAGAAGAGTGTTTAAAGCAGAAATCGCTAGTAGTCTAGACTGTGGAAGTTGACTTTTCAGATTCTTCAGAAAATGACCTGAAATTGTCAAATTCTTAACATGGAAGTGTTGCAAGTCCTTCAAGATTGCTTAACAGACATGCAGTGTATGATATATAAGTGGACTAAAAACAATCATGCTAAGTTTAAAACATGCAGAAATGATATTATCAAATACAATGAGATACCAGCGATTTCACTGAGAACTTTTGCAGGCACATTTGGGTCATTTCTGGATGCCATAGCCAGCAACAGCAGAACTCTATTAGCCATTAAATTATACCTGAAAATGGTCCCACCAGAAGTTAGGTCAATGCTAAAGTATGTAAAATATCTCCATTTGTGTGAATCTAGATACACAATCATGGATAGTGGAAGCCCGGTACTTCACATTAATCTTTTGTATATCAAGGCTGATGACTTACACTAGAAAACGCAATCCATTTAGTTAAAAGGAAAGTAGCATCAGTTTACAAAAAGAAGTAGAGAACAATCTTACCGCCAATGCAAATTGGAGGTCTCAAAACTCATAGACCCAATTTCAGCAACCAAACCTGCAAAGTCAGTCCCATCTGCTTGGCTTGGTCCCCCGAAAATGCTTCTCGACAGTCCCGCAAAATGGATATTGTACTTGACAAAAAGCTGTTACATAACATAATTTTACACATGTAGCAACAGGTAAACAACAACAGAAGATACAGGGTGTTCCAAAAGAAACTTGCAAACTCAGGAGTGAAGGGAGAAATAAAATCACTGAATCACGTATCTTACCTCAGTAATTGCTTTCTGAGCTTTTTGTGATTCATTATGGGAGCTTCAAGTCAAGAACAAATAAAAACGCCACACCTATCATTTACTTCAACACTTATCTGAAACAAAGCTATGGGTAAATTAAAAAAGAAACACTACCTGTATAAAATTCCAAGAAGGAATGACGAAAGAGCCTTCCTATCCTGTTTAAGAGAGAATGAGAAGAAAATTAGCAGAACTCACAAACATCAGTTCAGAATACCTAATGAAAGCAATTTCCTGAAGTGATACCGTTGTTAAACGCTTCAGAACAGTTTGGGACGAAAGTACTGCACAAGAACCTAACACTACATTTTCTGGCAAGCTTGGGTTTCTAAATTTTTCAGCAAGAGTTAGCACACACTTTGAAATTGTTGAGGGCCATCTTTTCATCATCTTCAGGATACTTTTTGCAGCAAGTCTGGGGACAAAACCAATAAATTTATGATACATATAACCAATCTTACCACAAGAAAAAGTAAGGTCAGCACTGGGCATGTGCATCGCATGCATGATGCTGCCCATTCATTCACACCCAGAGTTTTGACTGACTCATAACTAATGAGTCTTAGAATTCTTCTCACGTAAACAAACAAAAAAAAAATAAAGAAGCACATTTTTCCATGCAAAACACACACACGTAAACCGTAACCCCAATATGACAGCTAAACAGTAAGTTGAAAAGGCAATATCATGGAACTAAAACAATGACTTCATAAGAGCATAAAGAAAGACGTTTTCCTGACGGAGCATAAATTTTTCAAGATAAAGGAAAAGATAGAACATCCTTGATTGCACTTAGAACTAGCCAAGTCTAAGCCAAGCGCATAGATGAGACAGCCTGACCACTTCAATACTCAGGCTTTTAAACCACACCAACGCAATAAAAAGCTAAAAGGAAAGGAGAAATTTGCCGGACTCACCTTCTAACTGTTTCATAACCATGCAAAGAGAGACAAAGAAGATCGTCCATTAAATGAGTCACTTGGTCTGATGGAGACATATTTCCGTTCATGCGGGACAAATGAAATGACGACTGCGACGATCTCCAAGTGTTATGCATATAAGCTTTGTCTATAAGTGCCCACCTAGGCCTATAATAGAACACCTTCAGCACCCTCAAAGTAACTGATGCATCAATAATATCAAACTGAAGAAGTAATAGGTTAACTTACCTTCTTTTTCCTTCTGAGTGAGATGACACGATAAAATTAATTGGAGGCTCTATAATAGCTGTAGATTCCAGCTTCCAGGCCTGCCTATGATTCGACCACTCCTCATATTCTGAACTGCCTGCAAGATCATGCCGAAGAAAGATTAGAAGGTCCGGTTTGGAATGAAAGAGTAACATTTCTATATAAGGTATTCTTACCATAATTTCCTAATGTATCGATTACACGAATGAGAAGAAGCAGCAAAATGCTATCATCAGACTTCTCCTTCAACAAATATCTGTGATATGACGACAGTGTGATTTTTATTAAGCTACCACTGCATATGATGATAGAAGCATAAAGCACAGAAGGATATCAATTTTACTTGCACGTCTCATGGATAACATTAGCAGCTTTTTGTCGCAACTCTGAGCTACCAACACGTGAACCTGTTGCCCCAGCAATCAGGAAAGGAGAAAAGCTTGCCTCTTTAACCATTCCATTCTCAGAGGATGGACTGAAGTCAGGCAAACATGATAAAACACCTTGCAATGAAGAGTCTACACGTAGAAGAGTCACTTTCAAGTGATCTTTCTCATCTCCTGGGCATTAAAAGTGCACATTAGTCAGTCAATAAGATTTTAAGTAAAGTAAAACATTTATAAACAGCCTTCCAAACAAAAATTGGTATATGAGTCCGAGGGAGAAAAAAATTGAGCTCAAAAAGTGTTTGGAAATGAGCAACCAAATATACCTGGATCAGAGTGAATTTTGGATTGGCATATAGTTAGCAGGTCATCTAACGCAGATTCAAAGTGAAGCTTTAGAAGCTCATTTGCAAACTTAATTTCGTCCTCTACAGGAACATGCCACTTCGGTCCTATGACTGGCTTATCAATCGAGAAATCTTTTGTATCAATCCAATTCTCTAATGAAGCAGAAAAAGGATGATGCATAACACACCTAAGAAGATATAAGAATTAGCCACAAATGAGATATGCCCGTGCGTGCGGGCATAGGAACATATATGCACATGAATATACTGCATAAAGCATGTGAATGAATTGAGTCGGAAATCAATAGAGTTAGGCATACTTGTACTGATCAATAGGATAATAGTGGACAAGGCTTCCTAAAAGAGAACGAAGAACGTGATCACCAGCTCCATTAATCTGCAAAAAAGTTGAAGTCTCGCATTTCATATTTTGAACCTTATTAATAGCTCAAATTAGATCTAAGGTTTGGGATTTCCATTCCCCAGGGACACAAATATTAAAAATACAATAATCATAGTCAAGTCATATCGATCTAATTAACATGGATAGTGCACTGACATTACTTTTTCAACAACAATAATAATCCAGTAGGTAATTCAAATAATGGATATAAAAAATATTTGCCGACTCGGCAAATTAAATTTGACATAAGTTTCTTTGTTATGTACTCAACAGGATCAGGAGTCATCCTTCGAACACCAAAACAAAGAATATGGATATTTGAATCAACAGACATACCCTCAATCAAGGAGATAATGTACCCTTAATTATGGAGATTCAATCAATCCTACCATCTGGATACAAAATACCCATCCAAACACCAAATGCTAAATGGAAAAGAAATTTTCTATAAGGGCTGCGTCTTAAAGTAACCGTAAGTACAGTAATATTTTTTTCTTCTATTGACTTGACAGCTGCACGATGCATATCCTAACTTGTGTGATTAAGTTATATATTTAGGTACTCAGCTCTTAATATAAAAAGAATGTGGTACTCTAATATACTAGATTTCAGTTGCAAGCCCAAAGGAATGCATAGGACACCATATCAAAGGAAGATTCTGATAGTGGAGCAATATCACCATGATATAAGACTAGCATCAAAAAGAGTCGTACCAATATATATGTGAAAAAGTTTCATACACCTCCTACAGATGCATAAGATGCACACATACAGAAGAACTAGATTAGATAATCAAGTCAAACAAAGCAGAAATAAAACCTTCCAAGATGTCGAATCAAAGGCAGAAAATATCACTTCTTTGAATTGTTCCCTGTAGTGCAGTAGTGCCGGACCTGCATAACTGATTGCAACTGAGAGTACTTTCAATTGATACCCAATAGCTGTTTCAAGAGCTGGAGATATGGTGGCTTTTTCCTACACAAAAGAGCTAAAATTGATAGAATATTCTAGAAGAACTTAATACTGCAAGGCCATTTACAAGAGGAGAACCTTTTTTGAGGATGAGGCATTAGAATTTGCGCTACATCCAAAACCAGTGGTGGGTGTTGCTTTCAAAGAGGAAATAACTGATTCCAACATTGGTTTGATAAGTTGAAGAACTGCCTCCTGGGGATTTGAATGAACACAAGCACAACAAAGCAGTCCAACCTCTGCAATTGCTCCAGGAAGAATATTTGTTGTGACGAACTTGGAAATTTTTTTAAGTGCCTGTTAAGGTAATATACAAGTTCATAACATCATTCCCAGCCAAACTAAACTCACCAAAACTAAATGTATTCCTATTGATATATCGAATACCTGCTTGTAGAGTGAATCTGAGAGCCTTCCAAGCAATATTTCCAGCATACAGAAGTAGTATGGGCCATCCTCCACCAGAAAAGTCCCTGAACTTGATGGTGAAGAAACGCCTTCATTCCTGCAGCAAGACTGACTACTTAGTCCCAGTTTCTTGACCTAAGAGTTGTCATACACCGCCACCAAATTGTGTACATGAAGCAATTTAAGATAGCAACAAAACGAAGGATAAAATATCTGATTACTGCTTACAGAACACTACTAGGTTCCAAATGTTGAAGTAAGGAAAATAGTCGACAGAAGAACTCATCAAGCCATTCTGAAAAGTGTAATGATGGGATTAGTGAACCCTCATTTATATTATCATCCACGGTAGACATCTGCAAATAGAAGATGGTGAGCTAAATACAAAATTATCAAGCATTGCTAAGCATATGTCTTGGGTAAAGAGTCTCACGTTAGAGAACAAAGAACCAAGCAGTTGCATGGTTGCCAAGGTTTTGGGTGGATCATTAGCATCCATACCAAGTAATGCATTGGATAAAGAAATCATCAGTAGATCAGCATATGAATTCAATCCACTGACATTAGTTGAATCCATAGGCAAGGCCGATAAAGAGGAAAAAAATAATGATCTTCCAGCAAATGCTATAGAGGTCACGGCAGTCTTCAACTGGTGAGTAGCTGTCATCTGATTCCACCATCAAGTTAATGTTCCAAGAAAACGGTCAAATAATAAAACAGATAAACTACATTCACTCACATTACTAGGTTTGATAAGAAAATCTTTCGCATTTCCAGGATAGGCAAAAAGCAAGTAAGAAACAAAAAGTTCTTCAAAATAAAATCTCTCAAACAATAAACTTACCGTCTCCAAAGCCATGTGGAACCTAGAAGCCAGAAAGGGCAGAACCAAGGAGGGCTCCACATACGACAAAATAGAAGTTGCAGCTGCAACTGTTTCAGAGAGCTGGTCATTTTTGCTGTACTGGCCACGATCAAGTAGCTTCAGTACAGTATTCACAAAAGAAATCCTGTCAGACTGTGTCATGAATAGTCCAGATTGCTCATCGATATCTTTGATCCTGAAACAGTGTCTTCTTTTAGAAATTGTATCAACATATTGAGGTTTGATTTATTTGCGAAGATCTCTTACAGTTGCTCATGCTGCAAGCGTTTCTGGAAGATATTCACCAAGTGGAACAAGAAACGCTCTAACGAGTAAGTCCAGCGGCCACCATTTGAAGGATGGTAATATCTAAAATAATAGAAAGAATTCTGTTATAATGAAAACCAAGACTCCAAACAATGTAAACGGTGGGATAAAAATGGTAGAAACAAACTGCTCCAAGAGGTTGGCCAATTTTTCGAATTGCCTTTGCGCTGATCCACCAGATTTTAATAGATACACCTGCATCGGCAATCAGATGAAGTGCAACCACAATTTGAGTATAGTCCATATATCTTTTGGTGGATCAACTACTAGGCAGTAAATGCAAATCTTACAATTGACTTAGCAATGGCTTTCGATGGAGTGACAGTCCGATTTGCAAACAAAAATCTCGTGTTTCCTGGAACATCTATAGAGAAAGGATATGATCCACTCCCATTAGCCACGGGAACCTGATATGCCACACATTCACAACATTTATAAAGAAGTTCCATAAATGTAAAGCATATTGTTTGAAGTATTTTTCCTCCACAGCATAATTACTTTCAAATTCAACTTCAGGCCTTAAAATTGTAGTTTGATAAGTAGACTGACCATGACAATTTTTTTTAATATGAGGATAGAGGGATGACAAACTTTTAAACACATTAGTATTATTCTTCAAAAGAGAGTCATGGTCACAAAGAGTGCTGAGGGTGAAGCACATATCCCGAAAGTCACATTGCATAATAGCTAAAACCAATAAACAGCAACAAATGGAAATCCAGAGCTAGTCATCACTTGGAAATCTTATTGCTAACAACTGCTCATGACATAGTATTCAAATTCAAGTTGCATTCTTTTTTCTTTCTTCTCTTTTTTGGCTCCAGCCGCCAGCTGCAGCCGCTGGAAGCCTTATTTCATGGAGACTATTATACAGTGAACCTTCTATAAAATTCTCCGTGAAGTTGTATATCACTGTTAATTTGTAGATTATGTGATGGTAGTGAAAATTCTCAGCTTAGACTGGAGAAAAAGTGAGAGATTAGACTGTATAAGTCTCATCAACAGCCACATCACTTTAATAAACACAAACTTACCTCAAACATATTCAAGTAGATATTGAATAGATCTGGCAAGAACCCTTCCCAGTCAATGAAATTGTAGCTCTTTATGACACGGGCAGTGATAGAGGCCCATTGGCTGTTCCAAAACTGACAATTTGGCATTGAACCCCAATGATCTAAGCAAATTTTAATCCATTCACTGGAACAAAGGCAAGAAATCAATTCACTGATGAAAGCAGCCTAAGTGCATCAGATGAAGAAATTATAGAAAACACTGGCATTCCTTACTGATGAAAGAAATCCTGGTTATCAAAGTTCGTTGGGAGAAAAAGTCGCACAAATCCAGCACCTTCAAAAGAAGCATTATGCCATGGATTCTCCAATAGAGATCTGAAAAATGATTACATCCACGAAAAATGTGTTAAACTAATGTTTGGGATGACAGCCGTATAACTCCCAGAGAAAAAATTATTATTGGCAGAAGGCTGGAAATGAGCAATTTTCTTGAGGAAATCTTGCCAGAAATCAAGTAATGGATGCTTTAAGAGTAAGTGCAATACTTTGATGGAATAATATTACAATGAGTAGATAAATTTGATACATAGATTAACTAGTTCATCCACACTCAGAAATTCGAATAACCAAAAATGCAAAAACAGGTAATATAAAAGCAATGTAAAAAAAGTCAAAAATGTTGCTCTGAGTGAGCATGAAATGATGAGAGGGAATAACAGAAAAAATGGACAAAATGAAACCGGAAAATTATTTATGATATGAAAATATACAAGTTCCATATTAAATGACAATTCATTTTTCAAAAAAAATATCAACAAAACACTTCCGACAAAATTATTTAGTACTTAAGTATCATTATACAGCTTACTGTTCAGTATTCTAGAGAAGTAATTAAGTATCATTATTTTTTTATTTTTTTTTTACTGAATGAGAAAGATACCTGAATTCAGACCATATTTCAGAGGCAGAACCGGGAGGAAAGAATCTTCGGCAAGATCGAACAAGGGAAGTAACTGTTTCAAAATGTCGTTGTCTCAGTCTCCAGCCTTCAGGGCCAGTATTCCTGGGGATCAGAAATCAAAATCTAACTTATATGCATATTTTTCACCAAATACAGGAAACAGTTCACATGGACGTCAAAGAGCACTAGATTGCACAGCCACATCAAAGTTAATTCATAAGCAAGCCACTTAGAGAATTCTACCACTTTTACTAAACTACGCAGTACAACTGACCTTTCCGACAAGGGTTTGCCACATTGAAACACATAAAAACATGGGCACTTAATGAATCAAGCACCCAGCTCATATGCACGGCCAACGCTCATGTAAGAAAGCAAAAATATATTATCCAGGACATGTATAAGCAAACTGAATGTATCATAATCGACCTCTTAACTCAATGTAACGCTACAAATTGCATGCAGCAAAAGTTCTAACCCGCCACGTAACATTTTTTATTCAGTTTGAAAAGTATGTCCAAAGAGTTATTTACAAAAGAAAGAAGTATACTGAGCATTGAAGAACAAGGAAATAAATGTCAGATAAATGGAGTTCACCTTGTAAAGTGTGTATGGGTCAAAATATTGTACAGAGGCCTCCACTGAATCTTTAGGGATAACTTTTTCCTGTATTTATTCAACAATTTCACTAGAATGCTTCCCCATCTAACCTAATCAGACAAATAACACAAAAACTCAGACCACATAATGAAAAGTTACCTTCACGAGGAATAGGCTAAAACAAATAATAACCTGAGCATATAGCTTGTTCTCTGATATCTGAAACAGTTGTAGTCCAACTTCTACAATGTCCGAGACATCTTCCATGGATAACTCACTTTTCGCCTTCACAAAACTGTTCAATCAACGATGAAGAATAAACCTTAATTAAATAAAGAAAATGTGCCAAGTGCCAAACTACTGGTCAGTAAGAAGAAATTATTTAAACAGACTCACTGGTTGACAAAAAGAAGGAAGAAAGAATAGATGTGCAAACAACCATAATAAATTCTTTAATCGAGATAAGAAGTACTATTCTACATTAGCTACAAACCACTTGGATAATTTCTAAACTATCTCAAAGAGCAAAATAGAAACCCCTTCATTAGAAAAAAGTGGAGAAGCAAATCCAGTTTTCTACTTCGTCATACTTGGTTGTTACAATAGAACAAAGTGGACAACCCCAAACCACAGGATGTTTCAGTGTCCCACTCCTGTCTCATACTTCCCAACGATCACCGTGAAGCCTCAGCAATAAACAACAAAATCTCCCTATTCTATCCCATTTCTACCGACTCTTATCTAAGCCCACTCGTGATCCCCTTCCAACACACAACCATGACCAGCATTCAAAACCACCCATAACATATGTCCATTCCCCTCCAGTACCTTTGGCTTACACCCTCCACCATCTCCAACTGAGGTCAAAGGCCTCACACAGCATCATGAAGTAAATCAAACAGAAATCCGATAATATATGAGCTATAATGTCACCACACATTTTTTTTCTTTGCATAAAATAAAAGAGGGAAAAAGTTAAAACATCAGGGTAAGGGAAAGGCTTGGCTCCAAGGATTTCACCATCTCCAACAGTAAGTCCTTACAGCAAATCATATCAACTTGACTCCATAAAAATCTTGTTTCCACATGATTTCGGTTGATATAATAAGCATTCATACATGTAAATTCATAGAACATAAACTGCATTTTTTTTCTATATAATGCATAGTCACTCGCTCAACAACTTAAACCTCAACTTTGCATCACTGTCACACTATCAGATGTCACTAACTGCTTGAACTAAGTAATCGAATAGGAAACCGTGCAACAATTTTATCAAGTCAAAGAGAATGTTAAGTTTCACGCTTGGTTGAACTTTGAAACTGTTATTAATGTCAAATTTGCGAATAATGGATATCTTTCCCGACATAATTTGGTTAGTTGGAGCAGGTTGTTTCTTATCTGATCGACTACTTTCTCACTTGTCCTGGTTTTTGCAAACAAACTTAAAACGGAATGGCCACTCAACTCATCCTATATGTAAACAATCTCAAAAATTCATAACAACTCCATAAGAGAGATGGAAGAAGTGAAGTAAAAAAAAAACACGAATTCAAGTAAAATTCACTACTTTGAGGAACTCGATTATGAAAATATCGAATGCAAACATAAATTGAACAACAAATTAAATCCAACGTGCATAAATAATAAGCAATATCAGTAAAAAATACTTAACAGATCAATAACGGAGACCCATTTGAGAGTAGAGTAAACGGATTCGGGATCGTCGGGGTTGTAGGACTCCTTAACGGACTTAACGACTCCGGCGAATGCCTCCTTCTCCCGCTTCGTCTCCTCCGCCACGGGCGGCGGCAGCCACGCGTTGTACAGATGCATTGGGTGTAGTAAATTTGATTGCGGATGATGAGAAAAAAAGAAAAGGGGGAAAATCAAATAGCAAAAGCAAACCCCTCGCAGTGTGTGCAAAAAAGAAACTGGGCACTGTTGTAAAATCTTTGGGGTATAGAAATAAATATTTATTTATAGATACATATTTGTGTATGAATGTGGGATTTAAAGAAAAGTCTTCGTTACTTTCTTTTTGGACAAGAAAAAAGGAAAGAGAAAATATCAATCGTGGCTATGGAAATTGAGATCGACGGTGGTGGGGTGGGGTTAAAATTGGAAAGTAAAATATAAATGAGATTTACAGCAAGAGAATTTGGTTGATTAAACTTGGAAAGTAAATACAGATTGGGTAAGTAAAATTGGAAAGTGAATATAGATAGAATTTACCGCAATTAATTTTGTTTGACTTTTAAGTGGAGAAAAAACGCGTTTTATGATGATGTGAGGCATGAGGTATCTGTTTAAAAGCGTGTTTTTCTTAGTTAGCTTAGCCGCTGAACTTTACCACATGGTTATGGGCCTTTGGCTAAATGCGATTTATGGGCCTATGGCCGAGTGCAGACCTAGTAACTTAGAGAAATTACAACTACCCTGCGGTACGAGGTATGGTTAATTTACGAAAAAATATCTCTTGTTTGGATAATTAAATTTACTCCTCAATTATGATTTTTTCTTACACATCCACCCTTATGGTGTCAAATTCAAAATAATCATCTAGATTTCGTGGAATGTGCTCTAGTTTGTACTCGTTTTGTGTAAAAGTACAGTTTTTGATGCACCACAGTCTGATATATACAAGCCACAAAACACATATTATGATCATCTTCTTCAAAATATGGAGTTTGAATGGGATAAAGCGGATACAAAAGTGATAATATTCTATATAATCTCGAAGATTACACTAAATTTGAAACCGAATGGTGCACGTGTAAAAAAATTTATAGTTGACGGGTGATTGTAATCACCCAAACACTAGGGGGTTTCGTAATTTGACCATATCTCAGAAGTGTGGTTGTATTTTACCCCAACTTAAAAAACGGTAAATTACGGTCTAACACCTAAGGTAGTTTCAAGAGATATTACTGAAACTATATAGTGGCTTTTTTTATAGAAAAAAATTAGGAGATTATGAAAATGCAAAAATTAAAAATGAAAAATGAAAAAATTATATAGTTTTCGTCCTTTAAGTTAGCATTGATTTCACATTTGGTGTCCCATGTTCACAAGAAACACGTTCGATCATTCATGTTTCAACAATTTGATATTTTTTGTCATTTCCCGTTAATTATCCTTTGGTCCGTCAGTAAAGAGAGATGAATACATGTTTGGTTTCCTTAGTAGTAACGGAAAATTAACGGAAATGACCGAAAATGTTAAATTGTTGAAAAATGAAGGATTAAAATCTGTTCTTTGAGAATTTGGGAGTCCAAATGTGAAATTGAGGTAAACTATCGGGGTGAAAATGTAATTTTCCCGAAAAATGAAGTATTATTAAAGGATCTATCTGGGAAATTTGACCGTTGGGTGTCTCCCAAAAATATGACCGTTGCCACTCGAGGGTTTCTTCTCCGTTTAAATATCTGGAAACACCCCTCTGTTTCTGTCACCATATCTATCAACACCAACAACTCTTTCTCTCAATCTTCAAGCGCAATTCTCTAATTATTCTTTTAATTTCTTATTTTCCGCATTTATTTAATTTATTTATTTATTTAATTTTCTGTACTGTTATCTATTTTTCTCACGAGAAAATCCCCAAATACATCAATGGCGGAAATGAAAGACGCTCACATCGTCGAAATTCCAGTAGACGAAGAGCACCAGCAGAAACTCTCCTCCGCCTTGCAAACGATCTCCGCCATCCAGAACCATCCACTGGCGGAGATCTCCCAAAGCTCCGGCCACTTTCTGCTCCTCAAGCTCTGGCAGAGAGAAGAGGATATCTCCGGCCGGAGAATCTCCCGGAAGGAATCTAGAAAGGACGCGGTCGGGAGAGAAATCTTCCAGCTCTGCTGCTTCTTCTTCGTATTCCACGGCCTATTCCTCACGATCCTGTTCGCATCGTCCTCCTCGGTGGCCGGCGATCGGTGCCAAAAGTGGTGGATACCTTCGATTTTGTCGCTCTGCACCTCCCTCGTGCTTGTGTTCCTCGTTCAATTGAAGCTTTGCAGGTACTGGAAAGTGGATCGGCAGTTGCAGAGGGATCGGGCCGAGGGCCGGGCCCTGACCAGGTGCATTCAGGAATTGAGGATGAAAGGTGCCAGCTTCGATCTGAGCAAGGAGCCGTTGATTAACGGGAAGAGATTGAAGAGCTCGAGCGTCGAGATCAAATGGAGGCCGCTCACTTGGTGCTCGAATTATAGAGTGACTGTTTTTCTTTTTTGTTTTGCAGGTTTAGTTTTGCCCTGCTGCAGATTCATCCTCTGTGCTTGAAGATGATTTCATCCATTGAGCTGCTGCTTTTTCTCAAACCCCAAAAATAAGTGGTAAAAAAAAAATTCAGTTACATTTTGTGAATCAAAATGCTTAGATTCTATTTTTTTGCTAATGATTTGTGAATTTGGAATTTCAGAAAGATGTGGAATGGCTACTTTGCATTGGTTCATTTCTTTACAAGGGGAATGAAGCTCTCTTGGTCCGATTGTTCTATTCTCCATCGACGAAATCACGACATAGAAAGATTACACACGCGTTTTGTTACGAGTTCAAACTGACAACAGACAAGAAGAAGAATTGTCTCGTTGGAGTCGAAATGTGATATAGAAACACTGCTTGTGTACCAATTTTATGATCAGAATTGAAAATCCCTTGTGTACATAGCAAACACAATTGAACAACGATAAATTAATAATCTCGTTTAACGAATAATTTTTCCCGGTCCCGCCTCGTAGTAAACGTATTCAATTATTAGTTCGACCTGAATTAGTTCATAGAGAGTTTGTTGTTTGGGGAAGGATTTCATTTAAGCTGGGATATGATTTGCCAGGAAATACTTTAAAATCACAGATTGTTTGGACTTTTGCTATTATTAAAAGTTACTTCTGCTATAAGTTTTTTTTTTTTTTTTTTATTCTGATAAACACTCAATTAAATAAGTATTTGATTGACTAATCAAATAAAATTTGTATTATTCAGAGTTTACTTGTAAACAGAGACTAATCAATTACAAAATAAATATGAAATGAAATATATTGAGTCAACCTCCGAAATACATGGAGAAAAAGGCTACACCGTGGCCAATCCGTATGATTGTGATCCCACTTGCGAAATCTGATTAATCAAAAGTAACATCACAAATCACAACTACCATTCTCCTTCATCTACGCTATTATTCATTCTCTATTATTATTTATATATTTATATTTATTTTGAGAAAATAGAAAAGGAGAATTAAATAAAGTAGAAAAGAAAAATGAAGCATCAACTACAAGAAAGGAGATCGAACAGTCGACAAAGGAAGGCCCCATGATTGAGGGCCAAAACCAATGATGGGTTTGATGACCACTTTAGGCACCTGTTCTTGTTGCACCACAATAAAGTTTCTTCATATACAGTGAAAGTGGTTTGCCCTTTTCCATTAACATGGTGAAAAGTAATCACAAAAGTTGGAGCTTTTAGTACAAATATTTTTATTTTCTTTCACACTTTTTTTAAATGTTTAAACTCAACAGCTTGAAATTACCCAAAACGTTGGTCGATTTATGATTTTATATTTTAATTAGGGACCCAAGTTTTCAACGGGCTTTTTCAAATGAGTTTTCGTGAATTTTCACGAGCTCGAAACAAATTTTAGATGATTAAGATACTCTAACCTTTGAATAAAAAAAAAAAAAAATGGACTTAAATTTGGCTCGTATTTGGTTGTTCTCGTGTTCTTGAATCGATTGGTGATAGACATTGGTCGGATCTATGAGATTACAACGACCATATAGATGTAAAATATTCCATTTAAATTTCAAGTGTCTATAAAATCTCGAGCTCGTGAGATCGAGTCTAAACTTATGTTCAGTTAGTTTATGAAACTCGTAAATAAAGGTGTTAATCGAGGATTAAATTAAAATTAGAGCTATTGAAAAAAAAATCAATTATATTGGAGGTTAACTCCAAAAGAATAGAATTTTCGTAATTATTTTTGAAAATCATAAACAGAAGAAAAAAATTCAAATCTTAATTATATATAAAATATTTTTTTTTGGAATTCGAAATGAAAAATAAAATGATGACAAGGCTACTATGGAAATTAGTAAATATGGAAAAATAGTAACTGCCCTTAATGCTGAGTCAGCACCAACTGGCACCGTAGTCCAGCTGTACACACCAGTCATTCTCAACATCATCAACAGCAAAGTCCTCTGAACTATAGGGTCTCTCTCTCTCTCTCTCTCTATTCTCTCTCTCTTCTCTCTCTCTCTCATCACTTCAATAAATACATGGCCCTCCTTTCACATTTTTCCTCCCCTTGTTTTACTGTCTCCCTTTGCTATTTGCTCCACCGACTCACCGCCTACTAGTTACTGAGTTCAGCAGACAGTTAAATCGCTGGTGGTCAGATCTGAAGGCGGTGATCGCTATCTTCGCTGCCGGAAACGATGTCGTCCGGAAGGTACATGGCGTACTCACCGTCGCCTTCCGCTCCTCACTCTCCTCACATCGGCGTTTCCGCGGCCGGGAGTCTCCGCGCCGCTTCTGCTCTGGTCGAGCAGGAAAAGTAATTTTTTATTTCTTATTTTTTTGTGATCCTTTCCTTTTTATATCCTTCAATACAAAGAGATTTAGGTATATACTGAGCTAGATCTTGCGGAATTCGGTATTTGTGTTGTTATGGTAGTCAAATGATTAAATCTGTGAATTTTACGTTGGCGATGGATGGATATTGATGAAGTTTAATTTATTCCTTATTCGTTGTTGATAGAATCTTCCTATTAGAATACACGGGATGTTGATTTGCAGTGGTAATTATGTCCACGTGTTCTCTAGAATTCTTAGCGTGTTAATTCTGATGCTGGAATTGCTTTTGTTGGACTATGTTGCTTCTGGGTATTAAGAGATCTCTGTGGATCTTTACGGTGCCTGAATGTTTTGTCTGTCTCTAGATTGATTCCAAGCTGTATGCAGCTTAGATGTAGTAAATGAAATTTCTGTTCGGCCCCTTAAAAAACGTAGATATATTAATAGCATCATGAAAGCATCTTTTTGTTTTCATCTCAGGAAAAAGCAAATTATCTTTGTTTGCCTTTTTAAATATTATGATTATCAAATACCTTAATGATTCTCTGATCTTAGAATCATCTTTTGCACAAATTATGGAGATGTAACTTTGTTGCAATTAATGCTAAGAATGTTTATTATTGCAACACTGACAGGTATCTCGCAGAATTGCTGGCTGAACGTAACAGTCTTGGTCCTTTTATGACTGTGCTGCCAAATTGCTATCGGTTGCTGAATCAGGGTGAGTTTATGGTTCAACCTATCTTGAGTCTCATGTATAGTAATAAAGAACTGCTCTGTTGAGAAAATTAAAAGTTTTTACTTTTCGATGACACTAGAATACCTTCATACATCATATGTGGTCCTGTCTGATAGTATTGGAGCTACGGTGTCTAACTTTGAAGCTCATTTCGTTCTTATTTAGAAACCATGATATGTCGTATTTGATATCTTGTGTTATGCGATGGATGAAAATTATTGAGTGAGAGATAGAGGGAGCGGACCGACTGTTGGATATGGGCAGATAACATATTGTTGATGTACCATTGGCTTTTTTTCCATTGATACATTCTCATGCTCGTGTGCTATGTGTGGATTTGTGCTTATGCCCCAATTGCTCACCCCATACTGCATTATGCAGTGTGCTTAGGGAATTTGCTTGCGTTACAAAATTTATATTGGCTCTTTAGATGATTTTGATAGGGCTGATTGAATCCCTATTAATGGAGACAATTGTTTGATTATTAACTAGAAACACTTAGAAATAAAACTGCAAGAATTTGCATCATATACTCCGTCTGAAATTCTGAATTAAGCTGTTGTTATGGTCTTTGGGTTACGAGCAAGTTCATGTCACAGAGAAAAGGTCGAGGAAAAAGGAAAGCTGTGCGAAAAAAAAAAGACTAATTGATTTATTTATAATATTTAGTCTCTGTATTTGCATATTGATCTTGACATTTGACAATAATTTTAAGGTTTGCATTTTGGTAAGCAGAGGCCTCTTAGAAGGATGCCCTGCTCAGTTTTTTAATCAAATGATAAAGGAGATGCCTCCACTGAATTTGCTTTGTATTTTCACTTGCCCTTTTACTTTTCCTGTGTATACTGGCACCCTTGGTGGTCTCTTCGTGCTACGTAAGCACCTTTATGCTAGTACCAGTCTAGGTTAATACTGTGCTGTATACTTATTTTCCCATATTGGGTGTCCTATGCAGTGGCTAACTACAGAGTTTTGGGCTATAATACGGTCCAATTAAGAACTTCAGTAATATATTTTGGGCATTCCTGATGGTATTTGTTGAACATTTTTAACTTCACTAGATCTCCTTTCCTTTTCCAGGAGTTTAACTAACATGTTTAACAGCCCGTACTGTGTCCATGTTGTGGTGACTGATCGCTAATTTCTTAACCAATGCTAACTGGTACATCTTATTCTTGGAAATTGAACTTTTTGAAGCAGAAATAGTGCGTGTAACTACACTGTTGGCGAGTGCATCAGTTTTAGAACAAAGTGGGCTTGAACATGCTAGCCCCCTGGCTTCAGGAGGAATGTATTCAAATGGAGGAGCTAACGTGAACAGATGGGCCTCACCATTTCAATCAGAAGTATGGATACTAACCATTAACATAACTTGTTGTTTGATCTAATTCTTTACTGTTTTCACTGCTCTCCAACAAAATCTTTATTTCCATCCTAACTTTATTGTTTCATTTTGATGATTTTCAGTTTAACGTAACACGAAAGTAGTTTGACACTAACAACTCTAAGAATGACATATAGAGTTAGAGCAGACACAGAACTTAACTTATATAGTTAGATTTGCGCCATATTTTGCAATGATCTGATAGCCCATATGTGACTTATGTCAACCGCTTTCAGCTTGTTAACATACATTAACATGTTAGAAGGTATAACTCTAATCTTATTTGGATGATATTAATTTGATTTTGGTATTCGAGTCTCTAATCTTGACTTCTAACAAAGTTCTTAACCTGTTCATCTGCTAGTTAAGCATTGTAAATACTTCAGATATATAAACTGTAATGGTCTTTGAGAGTTGATAGCAATGCCAAAAAGTTCTCTTGTGAAATCTGTTCTCTTAGACGTGTCTTTTGCTTGTACTTGGATATGTTCCATTGTCTTGTTTCATGCAGTTCTGCTCGTCAGTCCTTTCAAGATGCTTTCGGTTTTTTTCATTCTGTTAGCCCCATTCAATTCAGAAATATATCAATTAGTGGCATTAAATGTAGAGAGAACACACGAGGGAAGGGAATATCTTTCAGCTGTTCCTAATGTTTTATTTCCTCACAATATGTGGAATTATAATATGCAGATGTCAGGTTTGATGCAATCATCTAATGCACAGAACTGGCTTGGTTCCCAAGGTAGTTCATCAGGTCTCATAGTCAAGCGAACAGTCAGGGTTGACATTCCAGTTGACCAATTTCCTAATGTACTAATTCTTTACCAAGTACTGTTTTTCATGATGTGTGATTCTTAGCTACTGTTTATTTCACATTATTCTATGTTTGGTATTGCAGTATAATTTTGTTGGGCGCCTCCTTGGTCCTAGAGGGAACTCTCTGAAGCGAGTCGAAGCAACTACTGATTGCCGTGTTCTAATCAGAGGCCGTGGCAGTATTAAGGATCCAACAAGGGTAATTCGAATTTGGCCTCTTATCATTATTTCTTCCAGATTTATAGGACAAAATAACATCCATCTGAAAAGAAGATTAATTTTTTCAAAGTTCTTTATCATTGCATGCATATAATCCGTAGTTATAATTCGGAAGTCTACAAATTACTAATAGTCAGAAAACGCCCTTCTCTTTAAGGTACTTCTTTGTCTGTATAAGAATGACTGCGAGTGAGTGAACTTATTGATTCGATACAAGATAGACTCACTTGTTCACTTCTTCATTATGCTGTGTTTATATTTAAATCCATAGTTGTTCCAGTTAATGTTTATACTGTTCTCGTCATTTTTTTCTCCAAATGGAGCTGTAACATCCGAATGTCCTCGGTATTCAAATAGAAACTCCTCCTAATGCTTACCTAGTCAGCACTCTGATTGGATTCCATAAATTTGATTTGGATTTCTCTTTTGCTAGTAGCCTTCCGTTCGATTATTTTTGTTACATTGAACTATAACTTATTTTTTACACTAGCTGCAAATTGCTAATGACACGTGCTTGTATATTTTTTGATCTAAAAGGAAGAGATGATGAGGGGGAAACCAGGATACGAACACCTTAATGAACCTCTTCACATACTCGTTGAGGCAGAACTCCCAGTCGATATAATCGACGCTCGTCTAATGCAGGCACGCGAGATACTCGAAGATTTACTCAAGCCAATGGTTTAACTTCTACCCACCGTCCAAATTTCCTTTCTTTAGCAATATAATATATATTCCCGTTTTCACAAATTCTCCATTTCTCATCTCGTAATATCTTAATGCAGGACGAATGTCAAGATTTTTATAAGAAGCAGCAGCTAAGAGAACTAGCTTTGCTTAATGGTACACTCAGGGAAGAAGACTCTCAAATGTCTGGTTCTGTTTCACCTTTCCACAACAGCCTCGGAATGAAGAGAGCTAAAACTAGGGGGTAAAATATTTCGGAGCTTAGATTATATATGTTCGTCTCTGCATGTGAACCAGGAGTTCACAGTACACAGGTTCTGATGTGCCAGCCGATCGGGGCACTGGTAAACTGTCGAGTGCCAGTTCTTATCTGTCTCTATATATAATATGAGGTGTGCTTTTGTTTATTTATATACTTCTGGGCATTAGATTTAGTAGCGTTTGTTATCGTATTTAACGGATCCTTATTCCCGAGGGGTTTGATTTTGTATGGTTCCTAGGCAGCTTGGTAGGGGTGGAATATTCTCTGAATATACTCTCTCTCCGACTACTGTCGTATTATTTCATTTATTACAAGCTTGTGAGAAGTAAGAAGTGATTTATTGTAGTACTACTGTGTGGAATTACGTCGAAAAATTTGTTTAATTATTATTTTCTGCTCATTCGTGTAATATACGAGATTATCTTTGAACTCTGTGTTTATTCATTACTGTTAGTATATATTCTACTGTTAGCAACTCAATAATAATATTATTGCAGAGCAACAATGTTACAATGGTGAAGAAAATGATGAAGGGTCAGGATTAAAAACCTTGATCCAACGGATGTGATGGCCACAAACCTTAACACGTGCACTTTTTTTTTTTAATGTAATTGTATGACATGCAATGTAGTTACTATTTAAGAACATAATATTCGGTGAGATCAAGGTAGATTTTCACCAAGGCCACAGTATACATATATAGAATTAATCATTGTTTACTGATAACTAATATGTAGTAATTAACTAGTAATCAACTGGAAGGACAAAAAAATATTTACTAATTAATTATTAAATTTATTACTTGGCACGCCGGCGTAGCATGGACCATGGTGGCGGAGCATGCCTTTTTCCACCGTTAATGGCCTGGCATGCACGGCCTGTATATATAGTATGTATGTATAGGTATTAGCCGTAGCATTATTCATTTTCTGATTCAAGGTGTTGAAGAAAACTGATCATTCATCAATGGCGGCTGCTCAGAGAGTTCAGAGAGAACTGAAAGAAATGCAGAAGGACCCTCCTTCCTCCTGCAGCGCTGGTGCATATAATATATATATAACATTTGTCAGTTTTTTAGAGAAATTAAAAATATATATATTTAAACTAATAAAAATAACGATTAATGGATGCAGGGCCTGTGGGCGAAGATATATTCCACTGGCGAGCCACCATTATCGGGCCGTCGGGCAGCCCATTTTCCGGTGGGATATTCGCTTTGGATATTCATTTCCCACCGGACTATCCATTTAAACCACCCACTGTACCTAACTTAACTAATTATATCCTTCAATTAATCAACTTTTTTTTTTTTTTGTTATTTAATTATTATTTCTCACTTTAATTAATTAATTAATTAATTAGTTGTGATCGGGCAGGTGTTTTTTAAAACAAAGATTTACCATCCAAACATCAATGGAAATGGCACTATTTGTCTGGATATCCTCAAAAATCAGTGGAGCCCTGCCCTTACTATATCAAAGGTATTTTTATTTTATTTTATTTCTCATTATTCACTACAACAATCTTCACTAAAACATAATAATTTATATAATTTGTTAATTATACACAGTTGAACCTCTATAAATTATTACAGTCGTCGAACTAGCGAAATTCAATTAATTTAGCGCTATACTAATTTATCGAATTAATAATTTAGTACGTTTTTATCGAACTAGAAAAATTATTATTTATTCGAATTTATTAATTTATCGAGAATTTACTATATATATGGTGCAGGTGTTGTTGTCCATAGGCTCTTTGTTGACCGATCCAAACCCGGATGACCCATTAGAAGAACAGATTGCTAGAATCTACAAGGAAAATAAAGCCCAGTATGAAGAAACTGCTCGGAAATGGACCCAAACCTATGCCATATAATTAAATTATTATTTTTAATTAAGTTTCATCAAATTATTTCAGTATTTTTTTCTTTCAAAAATTAATACTATACATGTAAGAATGGAGCATTAATATGCTCCATTGGTTCTTGTTTTTTCAATCAATATAAATCCTTATATTAATTCGTAATTTTAAATAGATCAATATATTCACAATTGGACTATTGTGGCCGCCATCAAATTCAATTTGGGCCTAGACCAATGGGTCAACTTATGAAATACTAAAAATTTATAAAATACATAATAAAAAAATTAAATGAAATTAAATAAATAATATTAGTGGTCCATATGTATATATATATATATACTGCCACAATAGTGTGTCCTCTTAATTCCCTTCCCCACATGTATATGTGTGGGGGGCAGAGAGAACTTGTTGAGACGTCTATTTTAAAGCAACTACATTTTGTATAAATCCAATAAATGAGTGTTGTATTATTTGGTTTCTTCTATTTGTTTTTTATTTTATTATTTATTCATCTTCCCTCGTTTTTTAGCCTAACTCGAATTTCTCTGAAAATGACACTACATTACTAGTTACTATATAATATACCTATTTTGGACGCCTAGCATTTAATTCCTGAACATGCGATATTCAAATGCTTCATTTTTAATTATTATTATAATAATAATTATAATAGTAATAATAATAATAATAATCATAATTCACAATAATAATGATGAATTGATGATGTAGCTGTCAAAAGTCAAAATCGATTACAACGGCGAAAAAGGTAATAGATTTCCGAGGTTCCGTAGGAGGAGGAGTAGTCTCTCTCTCTCTAGTTTCTCTCTCTACGTGGTTGGGCACGGCGGAGAAACCAACGGTCCCGGTATCAGACAAACCCTAACTGATTCCACGTAATGATGATGCATGCATGCTTCGATCAACATTAATTCTAATTATTTACTAATAATATATTTGACCGTCTAATTATTTCATAATTATTTCCTGCCCTGCACAACTCTTCATTAAATGAACATCGCTCATTTAATGTAACACCGCTCTGTTATGCTTTTGTCATATCTCCCCCGTTTTATTTGGATCCTTATTTATTAGTAATATTTTATTCCCTACCCAATATATAAAAATATATGATGTAGTATAAAAAAGAATATTATATTATATTATATTATATATATAGAATATGACTGAACATCGAACATAATAAATGAGTCACACCGTCTCGCATGTGACCTCAGCGGTGCTCTATTGGCCGTATTGGGCTTAATTAATTTATTTATTATAACTGAATATTCCCATATATAAATATTTGATAAAATAAATTCACTAAACATTATCTAAATTAAATACAATATAACAGATCAAACAAAATTAAATATTTTACACTTAAATTAATTTAAGTCAATATTAAGTAACTACATTATGAAAAATTTGAACAGATGTATAAAAACACACAGACAAACATATGTGTGTCTGTGTGAGAAATTCTGCAGTGACTAGGCACAGGGGGTGGGGGTGGGGGTGCTGCCATATATAGAAGAGAGAATGACAAGAAAGGGTAGGGTATGCATGCATAGTGTTATGTCTGTGTCGGAAAATGACTTGTCTGTGGACGCCCTCAGATTTGCTTACGATGTGTCGCCTTCTCCAATTCTTTTTTTTTTTTCTGATTAAATTATTACCTAAACCTTTTCCCCTTTACGCTTCATATTTCACTGCTCACTCTCTTCTATTCACAGTCCCCTTTTTAATGCAATCTCCCATCCATTACCATCAATATATATTTATTATTATTTTAAATAAATAAAAATAGGAATTCCCTCAATTCTTGGGAGTTGCGCCACCCCCACCTCAACTTTTCACCCCCTTTTTCCTTTTCCTCTATTTTTATTATTTTAGTTAATTTCTTTCTATTTACCAAGTTCGGTTTGTTTGTTGTTCAATTGAATCTAGTAGAGGTGCGAATTACGAGGCAACTCACCTTTCTTGAAAGGCTTGAACTCGACCAGTTGCGATTTCCCGACTCGAATGAGCTTTGACAATGCAAGCTCGACTCGAGCTTTAAAAGTAATTAGCTCATTAATTATAACGTAATTCTATTGTTTCATAATAATAATAATTACTAGTATTATTTTATCGTAAAATTAAAAATATATATAAAAAAATAAAAAGCTCGTGAGCCGGCTACTAACTATCAAACAACTACAATTGGACTCGAGTTCAAGCTAAAATTCGAGTTTTTGCCGAGTTGGCTCGTCGAGTTCACGAGCCGACTCAGCTCGACTATCTAATGGAGAAATCTTTGAAGATTTGGCCGTGGGTTGAACTTAGATCCTTAAAAGAAAAGTTTATTTAAGGATATGTTTCCAATGCCCGAAAGATTCACTGTGACACTATGCTCCTTTTTACTAACTTTTTGCCTCCTTTTTAAAATCGTTCTTCATATATATATATATATATATATATATATATATATAAATATAAATAAATTAATGTAAACTGCAGGAATTGATGAAATTACAGAGGTAAATGATTCGGACCAACTTAAATGATTTGCCGTGACATAAAAATTGTGTTTGGTAGATTAGATATAGATAGATACAGGCCTTTCCCCTTTCTACCTCCTTTCGTTTTCTTAGGTCTATTGTAGCTTCTTTTCAATTAATCTTCTCCTATTTCTGTTGCAGGATTCTCGGGAAAACAGACAATATTTTTTTCAATAACTAGCTACGTCCAGCTAAAAAAAAAGAAACAGAAATTAAATTATGTGATTAAATATGAGAATATTTGAAGAACAAACTAAAATGCGAAATAAGGTAAATTAATAATAATTTCTCACGATTCTCACTATATACACGGTTTTGAAAACCTACACCTGGATGAAATAATTGACGTCGGGCTAGTTATTTATGTAAATGTACTATTTAAAATCACAGTGTATTTCATCGGACGTAGGATCTCATAAACGCGTACCCATATTAAAACTTTAATCAGAACCACTATACATAATGACTTTTTTATATTTTTATTTTTTCTTTATATTGAGAAATATACATAACGACTTTAATCAATAATCAAAATAAAACTTTTTTGATGGTCGTAGACAGAAGATCTAGTACTAGTTCAGTCACTCCACAAAATCTATTGGACTATCGAACATCTTTTTTTTTTTTTTTTTTTTTTTTTTTTTAATTTTTCTTTTTTTGCATAACGTGAAGTCAATAACTGACACTGACTTTTTATGAAGACCAGTATAAAATAAATTTCATACCTACCTTTATTTTATTGATAAGAGACTGCCCTACACTTTAATTATTTATTTTTTGGTTCTTAGCTGCATAAATCAATCTTATATCATTAGGGTTTTTAAGCTGTTTTGAAAATAAAATAAAATAAAGAAAAGTTGCTCTTATAATTATGTCATTTCATTAGTCTTCTTAGCAAACAAAAATATATATATATATTAATATGTATAATGTATGATATATACAATTGGGCCACCTTAATCACCCGTAAATACAACCCATCTACAAATAAATAAGTTAATTAATCAAACCTGTTAATTTAAGGCCATAAGCCCATTAAAGTTGTAAATCTAAAATATAGTTATATTTTTGTAATTAAGATTCTATTAATTTAATTATAAATAGTAACACAACATAGTTGACTGCGGTCAAACAATTAAATTATTCGAGAGACATTAAAGAACAGTGGGCATTTAAGAAATAAGAATTAATCCAGTCAATGTCACAATAATGATAAACAAAAATTTAATGTCACAAGATGATTGAGGAAAGCTAATTTAATTACTAAAATTTGTATGATATCTGTTGCTCCATTTTGGAAGTTGCTGTCACAAAATTACTAAGTTCTTTGTAATAAAAAAAAAATCATAAATCCACAGCAGCCATCATTATTTAATTTATTCTTTTTGTCAAAAAAACAAATAAAAAATGCATTTTAAATGAACAAGCTCCAAATGGAAAAAAGAAAAGTAAAAAAATATGACCCAATTTTGCCTCCCTTGCTTTAGCTTTAATTAATGAACTATCCTATTTATGATTTTGGTCCTATCTTCTTTTTTTTTAATAGGAAAAAAGTTAAGAGTAAATTTGATCACTGTAACAAAATACTCGTAGTAATAATGATGCTCAAATTGGTTACGAATGTTGGTGGAGTTATTGCACACTGTAAAATGGTTTAATTCTCTCATTCTCCAGCTATATCTAAACTACCCTAACTAACTTTTCTCTCACGTTAATTAATATTTAAAAACTTTTATAAAGAATAAAATAAATGGAGTTACCCGATGTATGATCAAATTATGGAAAAATATAATATTACCTCATTTTTCAGTAATTACAACGACCCTCATCAACTATGTATTGTCTTTCGAAAAATCCCCTCATTCAATAGGTAAATTTAACACTATAAGAGTGGGCATGTAAGACAATGTGTAGTTTAGGGAGCTAATTGTAATTATCCAAACACGAGGGATTTTTCGTAATTTGACCGTATCTCAAGGTTGTGACCGCAATTTAACCTACTATATATTATTATCATATTAATTTACTGGACCTGTAATATTTATTTATTTAAATAAAAAATGAAAAGGCTAATTTGGCCTCGTTTCCGGGTAAAACAAGAACTGGGGACAACCCTAGCATGTAGCTCCACAGTAAAAGTGTTACTGCGTGCGAACGACTTTCAGCCGGCTAAAAAGAATCTTAAAAAGTGTAAATACAAGCACGCCGTAGCAGATTATTACCACCTTTTTTTTTCTTTTTTTTTTTTAAATATGTTAATTGCCTTTTAATTGAAAATGAAGCAAAAGAATAATAATTAAATAAAATAATAAAAGAATAAACAAGGACAAATAAGCAATAGAGAGAAGGAAAACACTGCAAGCTTCACAAGTTGGTTGAGTGTGTAGAGAGAGAAAAAAAATATATATATATACAGCAGAGCAGAAAAAAGCAGAGACCTATACATACACACACACGTATATCTATGTATCATTATTAAATTATCGTCAGATCTTTCGTTTTCATTCAATCTCCATTGCCAGATTTTTTATTTAATCCTGATAATTCCTTTAAGAACTTTGTGTTTTTACCAGGATTCTGTTCGTATATATCTATATATATATACCCGTATATAAATTTGGCATTTATCGAAGAGTTGAAGAATCGGAGAAATCAATGCAGTAGGGCTTTCTGCAATTTGCGATCCAGCTGCTACTGATTCTGGAGTTAATGTAAGGTTTTCCATGGCTGTTATTGTGAATTGTGTGTTGCATGTCTGCTTTCAAGCTTCCGAGTTGAATGCGAGTCGAGATCTGAGGGAAATTGATCTTAAGTTGTTTTGTTGAGTTTAATTTCATTGCCTGAGGATTTAAATGTAGAAATGAATTAAGGAATATTGTACTGTAATTTCACCTAATTGCTTTTGTTCTTCTTCTATACTTAGCAGCTACGGCAAGTAGTTTTCCTTGTGTCGGTTGAACAATTGACAATGACATTTGAGCTATTTTGTGATAATTTAAACTTTGATTTTTTGATGTTTTCTTAATCTGGGAATTGAAGAACTAGGTGCATTGTGAAAATCAGGTCAAATTTTGGTTTCCAAGATTCTAGGTTGATCTATTCTGAAGTGCTGTTGCAAATTAAAGTAGAAAATTAATGCGGGGAAGGGGGATTTAATTTTTTTAATCAAACTTCCATTTGAAAGTTGTGAGTTTGTTGTGTGATTAACTGTGGATCTACTTGGTCAAAACTTAAGGATGAAAGTATATTTATCTGTTTTTTTAATACCTTAAATGAATGGGTAAAAGTTAACTCTTATATGAAGCAAGCATAATTTGAGATCGTTGTATTAGATTGAGAATTATTTACGTTACTCTAATCAATTTCTTTCATTGATGTTGTAGTGCAACCTGGAATTTTGCTGCGAACCAGAAACATTGAAGTTTTTTAGACCAAATCTTATATCCTTCAGCTCTTTATCATGAACGCTGATAAGATGGCAGGTGGGTAGCTTATTAGAATATCTCTTTTTCTTAATCTCGATGCTTGTGATATCGTTGTCAAGGGTACAACAATCTCCATTAACACTTGATTTTCATCGTGGTTAATCGACATTTTAGGCCTTGAAGGAATAGAGGTGTATGATGAAACAAGAGAGAGGACGGATCATGAGAATTCCGAAGATGAAAGAAGGAGATCGAAAATTGGGGCTTTTAGGAAGAAGGCGATAAATGCTTCGAATAAATTTACTCATTCTCTCAAGAAAAGAGGGAAAAGGAAAGTTGATTTTAGATTTCCTTCTATTTCTATTGAAGATGTGCGCGACGCGAAAGAGGAGAGTTCTGTTTGCGATCTGCGTCAGAAACTTCTCGAGAAGGGAATGCTGCCAGTTAAACACGACGATTATCATACTTTGTTGAGGTGAGCTGTTTTGGGGTGGTTAAATTTTCTGTGGAACTAGAAATTTGGCTATAGCTGTTTCTATTTGTCCATGGAATTTGAAGTTGATAGGAAGTGTTGTGGGAGGATAGTTACTTTACTGAAGAACTGTAACACGGACGAAACTTATATATACATTTATTTTCATTTTGTTAGATGCATGAACTCGAACACGTTTTATCGGTGTAATTTTAGAGGTCAACATTGAAAAATTATCTAGGGGAGTTGATGTGCATTTATGGACAAGTTAGTTTTATCAGTTTCACTTCTCCAGTAGCTTTGAAAAGCTTAGAGGTGTGAAGTGGCAAAGTAGTAGAAATGACCCTTGCGTTACTGCCTGTCACTCACCAACCCATGCGTTGTTACTCTGTATTTTATTCTATTCCTGTACGTAGTACTTAATGGTTCACTAATGTCATTGACTTTTTACACAGATTCTTGAAAGCAAGAGACTTCAATATCGAAAAGACCATCCAAATGTGGGAAGAAATGCTTAATTGGAGGGTGGAGTATGGAGCAGACACCATATTAGAAGTAATTGTAGCTTACATGCATAAAGTAGAAATAGTTCTCAGTGAAAGTCTATGTGGCACACACTCACAAACACACACGCACACATACGAGTATTATGAGGTTCGAAACACGAACTCTTCAATGATTTTCAGGACTTTGAATTTGAAGAACTGGAAGAAGTCATGCAATATTATCCACAAGGATATCATGGAGTTGATAGAGAAGGCAGACCTATTTATATTGAAAGGCTTGGAAGAGCTTACCCAAGTAAACTGATGCGCATCACTTCCATCGAGCGGTACTTGAAATATCATGTTCAGGAGTTTGAGAAGGCTCTGAATGAGAAGTTCCCAGCATGTTCCATTGCTGCAAAGAGACGTATCTGTTCTACCACAACAATTTTGGATGTACAAGGCCTGGTAAGTTGATAACTTTTCAACAACCAACCGAATCAATACTGTTCTAATCGTAGTGAATTTTCTCCTCATAGATGTTATTGGTTCTGAAGTAACGGTCATAATTGGTGATTGCAGGGGGTTAAAAATTTCACAAAAACAGCTGCTAGTCTATTGGCTTCCATGGCAAAGATTGATAATAGTTTCTATCCAGAGGTTTTTATTTTATTTTTATTTTTTCTTTCAAGAACATCTTTATTTTATTCTTATTTTTTCTTTCAAGAACATCACATATCAGATTTTGTTATTATCTATTCACTTCTAATTATTTCCAATTATATACGCAGACACTCCATCATATGTACATTGTTAATGCTGGACCTGGATTCAAGAGACTACTTTGGCCTGCTGCCCAGAAGTTTTTGGACACAAAAACTATGGCTAAAATCCATGTAAATATGGTTTTTCTTTTTTCTCCCCAACTATATCTTTTTGTCCATTTTTTGCAACTTCTCTTGATTGACAAATGTAACTCCCAATGCAGGTATTGGACCCCAAGTCTTTGGGGAAACTACTGGAGGCTGTTGATCCATGGTATGATAATGTCTTATGCATCACTTTCTACTTAGTTGTCCAACAAAACAATCATCTAACTTCTTTTTTCTATTCACAGTCAACTCCCTGACTTTTTGGGTGGATCATGCAACTGTAATATTGAGGGAGGTTGCCTAAGGTCAAATAAGGGTCCGTGGAATGACCCTGAAATAATGAAGGTAAAGACGCGATGGAGGGTAGTTCATGCCCTTTCTTTCTTCTGTCTTTCAAAATATGCAAGGTTATCGAACTATCTATCTATATGTTTCTGGGTTGCTTATAATGGTAAATATCTGCTTAATTTGTAGGTTGTGTGTAGTGCAGAAACAAATCTTGTGAGGCGAACCGATAGAACAGCCACTGACTGGTACATCAAAATCCAGCCACTGAAGGTAGTAAATGCAAAAAATGAGGGTTTCTAGATGTCTATTCCATTATAAAGTTTCTGATATATATACCAAAATTTTCAGGGAAGAGACGGTGATACATCAATAGTTGAATCATGGTCAGATGATGTTGATGATCCTTGCTCCCCTATGAAACAGAATAGTTCAGTGATTCCACTACTTGCCTCTGTTCACGAAGAAGTGAGTCTGATTACATGAAACCATAGTTAGTATTTCTCAAAAAGACCTCCAACATTTTTATACCCGTGGAATAAAGGGGTGTGCATGCACCTCTCACGTGCTCTTGCATGAAAATTTCTTAGGACAATGTTTCATTGTTGTTCGTTTATCATGTGTCAATTGATGAAGTTAAATTTTTCCAGGCCAGAATATCAGATCCATGCACCTATTATAGTTGTCGTGAAAATTTTAGTTCAGACACGAAAGATGGGGATAGTGAGCAAGGAGAGGAATATGAGTCTTTACATATCTATAATGTAAGAAATCGAAAAGTTGATGCAAGACGAAGCCTGGAAGGTTCGTTTTTACAATATTATGCTTCTCTTACTGTGCTATTTATGTCTATGATAATATTAGTATGTTACACTTGAAAAAAAAATACTATGAATATTGTATCACATTTTCCTTTTCTTTCACTGAATACCTTGGTCCGCTATTTTTTATCTTCTTACCATTTGATAGACAAAGATAAATTAAGTCTTGACGTTGTTGTTGCCATGTTTAACAAAGATATTTCTGCAATGTCAACATTAAGTGCTAACAAATTGTGGTAAAAAGTGCTTCCACCGAGTATAATTGTGTCTTTCAAATTATGTGAGACCTAAAAGTTGACTTTTTTTTTTCTCCTACGAGGCCTAATTTTTGGCTTAACAATATATCTGCAATTTTATCAGGTGCTTTTGTTATGTGCTGGTTGGATGCAATCAAAGATAAAGTTGTTAAAAGAAGTTTCCGATATATGTCAAGAACATTAATATCTATTACAATTAAGCTTATTGATTTCATACGGAACATACCTGTCGAATATTTTTTGAGGAGACAGTCCAATTTGGAAAACGGCCCTGCACCAAACACCTATCTAAATGGTTCCGAAAATGACCCTGAATTAGACACCCTTTCATATGTTCGCGAAAAAGCTGTTGCTGTAGAAGACACGGTTCGTCCATGTGTACAGCGCCTGCAGAGGCTAGAAAGTTTGTTGGAAGAGCTCAACAAAAAACCGGCCGAAATTCCAGTAGAAAAGGATCAAGTTCTTCAGCAATCTCTGGACAGGATCAAGTGTGTTGAGTATGACCTTGAGAAAACAAAGAGGGTAAATATATTATCCACCGTAATTGCACACATCTTTAATTTTAGCTATATGATCAATTTAGCAATCTCTTTTTTTTTTTTTTCCAGGTATTACAGGCTACAGTACTGAAACAAATTCAGATTGCCGAGTTACTGGAAAATATGCGCGAGTCCAAATTTCAGGCAAGTCAATTTCCCCAATTGTTTCTAGAGAATATTTGCTGTCAAGAACTTACCTATATTTCTGTTTAGTTGGCACAACAATTGTTGATGTAGTTTTGAACTCTCTTTGCAGCGGCGAAGGTTTTTCTGCTAAGTATTGGCTGGTCAATGGTCAATGTGTGATTAAGGAATGGTTTTTGGAGGTACACAACAATGTCGAGAAGTGCACAAAGCCTTACTTAGGCGGCCCCTTTTTTCTAATTTCATCTCACGGTAGACAAATCGTTCGACAAACCAGCAACTGCAAACTCTATGATACGACAATTCCTCTGCAGCTAATTAAATCTCAGTTCAGCCTCAAAGGTACGGTGAAGAAGACCAACTTACTCCGGGTGATTTTGTGGGGAGATTTCCATTAATTTGATATAGCTGTAAATAAGTAGTTTCATTTGTAGTATTTAATATTGGATGACAAGTTCGAACGAACCGGTAGAGATCAAACCATGCAGGGGCGATTGTGGTTTATACGCTATAATAATGTGGTAGCCGCAAAGTGAAAATGTACACGATATCGAAAGTCAACTAACATGTAACAACTACGGTTAATTCGGCTCGTCTGATCTGCTTAATGACATTTCATACTAGCCATTTTTTAGTATTTAAAAACATAAATGTTATGTGGAGAATGATTTACACTTGGCATAACATGTAGCGGAATAATTGTAAAAACACAGAATTTGGTATCTACAAGTAAATACTTGTGGACAGATTTTAGAGACGACATATACTTATTATATAAACAGAACTACAAGAATATAAAAGAACACTGAAATGCTAATTGTAGCAGGACTTTTACTGAAATTGACTTATTTGCAGTGGTAGTCTCATTTGTCAATTTTCTAACTTTCTAAAAAAGTCGAAACTCTCTCAACTAAAAAAAGTCGAAAACTTAGAATTTGAAACTCGTTCGACAAATTCAAAAACGAACAACGACTTATTCGATGGCTGATCAGAACAACTTTTATATAGTAAAAAGAAAGAAAAAAAAAATTATAAGATGGTGTAATCGTGCTATACAGCACGGAAGTATCAAAAAAGTCAAAAAAATTGGAGTTACCTGTGCTGTACAGCACGGGAACTTGGGTCTGAATTTTCAATTTTTTTTTTTTTTATTCCTTTGTATTATTAAATTTTATAATTTGGTAGGGTGATGATGGTAATTTTGACGAAAAAATTGACGATGAATGTACAAACGAGTACAATAATCCGAATATGTGTTATCATGCTTCTCAAATAATTATAAAATTCGATATTTAGAAAAAAAGATTAAAAAAATAAAAAAATATTAAAACTTTAAGTTCCCGTTCTGCAGAACACGGGAACTTGAATAATCTTCAAGTTCCCGTGTTCGGCAGAACGGGAACTTCATGTTTTTGGAGTCCTCCGTTCTGCAGAGCACGGGAACATGAAGATTATTCAAGTTCTCGTGTTCTACAGCACGGGTGATTCATATTTTTTTTTTTTTTCCGAAAAATAAAAATTCAAAAAAGAGTTCAAAGGTCCCGTCTTCTGGAACACGAAATTTTGAATCTCCCGTTTTCTGGCACGGAAACTCGAAGAAAATTCAAGTTCCCGTGCTCTGCAGAACGGGGGATTCAAGCTGTTTGAATCTCCCGTTCTGCAGAGCACGGAAACTCGAATGTTCTTCGAGTTTCCGTGCTCCATAACACGTGAGCTTTAAATTTTTTTTTTTTTTTTTTCGAAATTTTGCTAGATCTAATCCTAAACATGTGTTTTTACCTAAATTGGAAATAAAACTAATTAAAAGTAGTAGGATATTGAAAATTTACCGGAATCGAGCCTCGTTTGCTACAGTTTGAATATCGAAAAATTTACGAAATTCAAATTTCTAGAGAGAGTTTGGGAATAGGAGAGAGAAATTAAAAAAAATAAAAAATTAAATGAAAAAGGTACCGCTGCAAATAAGCCAATTTCAGTAAAAATCCTGCAGCAAATAGTAACACCCAAAAGAAAATGAATTAATGACCTTCCCTATTATGAATGTATTTGAAGTCTAACCTCTTCAACACAAACTATCAGATCGATCTTTAGACGTACAAACTATGTACTCGCTTACAACAAACGTGAATTTAACTCAAATCAAATTTTCTTTTTCTCTCCAAAATTGTGGTAAAAACTTGGAATAAAGACTACGATTTATAGACTTCAGCACGCGTCCACTACCTGCACATGTTAAGCGAGCAACCAAGCACTAAGATAACGAGTTAATCATTTTCTTCCGATGCAATGAACATAGTATAGCATTTGGAACACGTTAAGTGTACCACCAACTTTGAATTAATCAAATATGGCATGAAATTTAAGTTTCCTAACGAAATTAACCCTAGATCAACGAAGGAAAAACTTTTCATTCTCACCACTCTTTCCATTTTATTGCATAATCCCAAAATAGAAACCACTAATTAAATACTTAAGCCTGCATATTTAATGATTTTCTTATTTGGGGGTTAATCCAGCGGGTGGCATAGAATTATCAACACTTTTAACTTCATTAACCAAAATTAATATCCTTATTAATTTTAATTGAATAGACACGTGGACTTTTATTAATTTAGTCCATTAGCGTAATCACGTAACTGTAGAAATATTTATTATTTACCACTCTTAAATTATGTAAAACCAGTTTGAATTTAATATGCAGCCGTTGCAAAAAGAGTTTCACATTTATAATTCTTCATAAAAAATAAAATAAAAAAAATAAATAAAAAAAATAGACGCGGTCGAAAGTTATCGCGTGAAGAACTGGCAGTGGGGGCTTTCTGGCCTCCATGTTCTACTACCTGTCTCTCTCTCTCCTCTTCCATTTTTTTATTACTTTTTTAATATTTATATTATGCAGACATTATTCTTAATTTCCACAAATAACTCCTCCATTTATTTTATTTTTAATCAAAATTAGCGCGATATTATTATACATACATACTAGTCCAATTACAGCAGGTAGATGCTTTAGCTACTTTACTGCGATAACTGGTATCTAGAGAGAGAGAGAGAGAAATCGAAGGAGAGAGAGAGAGAGAGAGAGAGAGAGAGAGAGAGAGATCTGCCCAGGAATACCGCTTCCCAGCGTTTATTGGGGCTTTTTGTGTGCCAATTTTATGGTTTGTGCTTATAGATTATTTGTTAATAATTTGAATCAGCGAAAAAAAACTTTGCTCTGAAGAAGAAGAAGAAGAAGGATGGGATTAAGTGAGATAAAGTGTTGTTTGATTCTGATTGTCTGTCTCTCACTTTTCACCTCTCTCTCGGCTTCCACTTTCATTTCAGGTTATTGGATTGGATGTCAATTTTTTCTTTTTTTTTTGAAGAATATGACTTCCAACAGTTTCAATTCATCAATTTGCTGGTCCTTGATTTGCTATTTATTTATTTAATTTTTATTTATTTTGTTGAATTTGTGCAGATGGTGTATTTGGATCTTCAGTTTTGAGTGAGAGGAGGCTCCTTCAGGCTAAGAAACGTATGCTTCTCTTCTCCTCTTTCCCGTTTTATTAATTAATTCTTCCTTTTTGTTACCCAATTAATTGTGTTATTCTCTTTGATGGCAATTGTGGTAATTTCGAAGTGTTTCTGATTTGGGGATGATAGTTTAACTATTGCTAGTGATAATTTGAAGCTTGTAGATGCTATGCTACACTACAATCTGTGAAATACACCGGTAGTTTCTCCCCTTTCGATCACACACAATCACATGCATATATATGTGTTGGTCTGTGTAAAATATGTATAGATGCATACACGCTTATGGTAAATATATAACCCGTATGAAGTTCATAGGTTGGGTGCAGCATACAACCAATCAATTTCGAGAGCGCGTCTCTTGAATTTACCAAGCTTCACAAGTCATGGATTTCCCATTTCCATAGCCACATTTATTTTTAAGGTTTGATAAATCATTAAAATACGGTCTCGGATCTCTCAGCTAAATGATCTTGAGTTTCCGAATCGTTTCTAGTCCGAGCAGTAATAGAAACCAATCATGCATAAGTCGTTGTAGATCATAGATTGTCTTTACATCATTAGCCAAATCCTAATTTTGTTATAATATTTCAAGAAAGCTGCAATGGTGAATTATACCAATTTGCATATTTTTTTTCCACACAGCATGTCCTGTAAACTTCGAGTTCCAAAACTACACAATCATCACCAGCAAATGCAAGGGGCCACAGTACCCACCGAACCTGTGTTGTTCGGCTTTTAAAGACTTCTCATGCCCATTTGCCGACGAGTTGAACGACTTGACAAACGACTGTGCTTCAACAATGTTCAGCTATATCAACCTTTACGGCAAGTACCCGCCTGGTCTATTTGCTAGTATGTGCCGTGAAGGTAAAGACGGGCTCGAATGCCCTGCACCAGCTCCCGGAACTTCACAGTCGAAGGTAGCTAACAGTAACAGTGGTAATCAGATAGCGTGCGGTGTCTTGCCCGTGATGATGATGGTTCTAGTTGCTTCACTTACGCTGTTTGTGCAATTTATGTGAGAGGTTCCCGCTTTTTGTGTTGATATTTTCGATTATTTTGTTAAGTTGGCTTATACATATATATGTGTTTAAGAGTCGGAGGATTTTCTTGGCTTCCACGTCGTCGTCTGGTTACACTTGTATACTTTTGTTGTATTATTAATGTTTCTGATTGTGGCTGATCGGATGAGTTGTAATATTATTGATGAAGAAATCTTTTATTAGGCTACACAGACTAAACCAATTTTTTGATTAGTTTTGTTGGAAGTAAGATTTGACTTATTTTGTGAGAAATTGTAGGTAAAGAAACGTGTTTTTCAAACACATTATTTGGATCAAATATGTGGAAAAAATTAATAGTTGTTGCAGACCAATTCTCCTTGTCCAGGTTAGTGGTTGAGCATTACCAAAAGTCAGCGGCGCCACCTAAAGAGACTGGTGTTTGCCGTTTGAAGGAAAATAAGTAAAATTAATAAACAATAAATATCTCTTCGATGAGTTCTCTACTTATGATTTGCAAACAACCACACAAATCTGAGTAAAATCGTGTATGAATTTATGCACGTATATGGTAGGAGATAACTCGGTGAAATTCATGGGATGTAGAATAGAACAAGCTGTCAATAAATTAAGTGCAAATTACGGCCGCCCCTGAGGTAAACTTAAATTACGGGAACATACCTCTTGTTTGAATAATTACATCCACCCTCTTAACTATGTATTGTCTTACGAAACTCCTATTTTTAGTAAGTAAATTTGACTGTAAGGGTGTACGTGTAAGACAATACATAGTTCATGGGTTGTCGTAATTTGCCCATAAATTAAACAATAAACAAAAGCCACCATAATTCAAAATAACTGGGAGCATTAAGATAATATGGTCAGTAGCCAATAAATACAAAGGTAAGTTACATCATCATGGGAACTATAGCAGCAGACAGGCTGGCTGATATTGTACAGTGATATTGAGTTGGCTTTTGAAAATGATCTCCACAGCTGACAAATGGAGGACTGAGTCTAGAGGCTAATTGATTTATTTTCTATATATTACTTACATTTTATTTGCAGGGTTTTACATAAATTATTCCATACACAGACAGGGCTTCTTATATATATGCACAACAGACATCATGTTTATTGTTTAACCTTAGAAGAACTGAGATTGAAGTTTGGAATCCTTCAGAGGGAAAGAATCTGCTTACTACTTGCATGTGTATCTATCTATATCCATTTTCACCCACTTTACGCAGCTCGTTTCACTATCTCCAAGTGAATAGGTTCACCACGTCAGCTTGCGTTTGGACAGACCCCGATATTGCTTTTTAGTGATGCACCAAGATGTAGGAAAGGTGCTCAACTGTGTCCAAGAAAAAAAAAGACATTTATAGACCATACGTAAAACGGACAAGCAACTAACAAATTCTTTTGATTTTATTTATTAGCGATAAACTTTAGAATCAATAATTGGAGTATTGCAACAATCTAACAACTCTAGTTTCATTGGTCCTGAAATTAGGCCTATAACCGAGTTAATATATATCAACGAAGAATCAGAAAACAATAGAGGAAACTTTGAGATGTGAAGATAGGAAGCACTTACGCTGCTAACAAGCTTTGCTCCAAACCATGCAGAATCTGTGCCGTTAGGTGGAGGAATAACTCTAATTCCACTGCACATGGGTTTTGGTAGAAGCCCATAAAGTTCTTTCTCTAGCCTTGCTGAAAAAACAACAATGTCGTCAACTTCCAAACATGCATCACGTCAACAGTTCTCTCTTTTTTCTCAATCAAGGCCGAAGAATTTGGTTTTCATTTAAAAAAAAATAATAAATAAAAAAGAAAGAAAGAAAGAAGTTGAGGTACGAGGCTCTAGACCTGCTAATCCTGGCAAACAAGCACTGCCCCCAGCCAACACGACAGTTCTATACCAATTATCATCACCAGTTAATTCAGCATCATGACAGTGATCCATACAAAGTGCCACTGCCTGATGCAGACCCATCGCCTGCCTGTAAAAAAATATCGCTTATTACAAATGAGCCACTGTGAACAACAAATCTATGTTTCATCTTTATGAACTCCATTGTGGATGCGAACTCATCCAGAATTATCGTTGAAGTGCGTTCACATGAAAACTGCTTATAAAATCTCTAGAAAACAGCAATATTCATTCCACAGATGCCAAAAAATAAGATTTTCCGGAGATGATTTGCCCTAGACCCTATACTACAACTCTACAAGTACCCACTATAAAGGTAAAAGTGTACATACACTCCTGCCATGCGAGGCTGAAATAATATCTCTCCCGTTTGAAAACGTTCCTTTGAAAGTGTAAACCAACTGTTTGATGAAACTGCAAAAGATGCTTGTGTATTTTTGGCTAATTCAGCTTCATAGTCAAGTGCAACATAACATAGGTTCTGCAAGTCCAAACACCCAGAGAAATGGCAGTTAACATGCAAGTTACATGGGATCTCAAATATCATAGAGAAAGTGATTATCAAGGGAAAAGTATCCGTTAGGTCTAGCAGTTCATCAGACTTATGGGACCACCAAGTGTCAGAAAACAACAAGATTGCCCATACAATAGGGTAACAAATACTATTAAGGATGTTACAAAAACGGAAACTTGATTACATACCTCTTTCAATGTGCGGACAGTGTAGAGTGAATCGAAAGCTATATTATTCTGTTGCATCCGATCTTTAAGGAATCCTGTCAGTTTCAAAGCTCCCATTCCTACAACTTCCACGCCCACCTTATGCATCACTTTGCCATGTAAAACTGAGTAAACAAACATATAGTCATGTATACAGTAAATGCTCATAAAAAATCAACATCTCCATTTTCCATGAGAAGATTGAAGTATCTCATCAAATAACACATAAACGTCAAAAAATTTGATACACTAATATTAAGTCAATAGACCTTACTTGGAACAACTGAGGTTTGGTGAAAACCAACATTCACAACAATTCCTGAGATTCTTCTTGCCGCAAATAAAGCCAAAGTTGCCTATATTTGATAGAACAAGACAAAAGTTATACATTGTTTATGTACATCGAATATAACACCCTCTAGTGTAATACAAGTAAAGATACACGGTCCCCAGCTCCCACTATCAAATGACGTGAAAATGTTTATCAACTTGTTTAGAAGTATTATCATAAAGATATGTTTCTGAACATAACGATGTGCAATTGTTGCTTGTGAGATGGCCTAAGCAAAGATGATATATTCTTGTGTTCAAATTTGGAACTGAAAAGATGTCCCACATGGGTAATTGAGTAAATACCTGGTTTATGGCACATACAGCAGGAACATTCATATCAAATAATGTTGAGTAGATTGCATCCTTTAGTTGTTTCCGAGAACCTCTTGCAGACTCGGTATCTGATTTTTTATGGTAACATCGACCAGGTAAAATATTATTATGCCATAAAAGTATCATCCTTGACCAACCAAATTAACAACTGACATTTCAGATGCAAATGGTAAAAGGGTTACAGTGAATTTTCAAAAACATTTCCTCTGCGATTTCAATTCCATATCCTTCTTCCAGGTGTAAAATCTCTGATATTGTGCATGATTTTAACCGTATAATCAATATGACAAATATGTCAAGATTTTAGGCAGAACCACAAAATATTTTTTGTACAGAAGTTTTGCGGAAAAAAGGCAAATAAATAAGCAGTAAATTCTGATCAAAGAAATCACAGTTGATTTTAACAAATTCTGAAGCTAACCATCATAATGACAGAGTGGTATTGATACAACAATTGGTTGTGTTGATGTTCTGACCTGCATCCTGCATGCCAGCAAGGTCACCTAATCAGATATAGTTTGCAAATAAACAACGAAAAGGCGGTCATAGCATGAAACCCGCATCAGGAGTGATTGCAGTCAGATAAATGTATGCACAATCGATGCTAAGTTATACAGATTTCTTGAGAAGGCAGTTAATCTTATAAACACTCAAGCAATAGCAGAAGACTCTTGACCACACACTGCATATAAGGACCCTATGCAGCAAATAAAAAAAATGAAAAAAAAAATTGATAGAAAAACCTGTTGCAAATTGTTGAAAAGAAATGTCTAAGTCTAGAAGGCATAGGAGACTCAATATTTCCAAATTCCTGCAAATTAAACATTTGAGGATTAGTTGAGATAGAAAAATGTCCTCTGAAAGGATATGAATTTACAAATAACATGTTAATGAGAATAATATTACAGATACACTTACCAAAAATGTTGCTGACCGCCCAGATGGAGAGTTGTACTTGCTCCATCCATATTTACAATAACCCGAGCCCCCTACAATGAAAATATATGGAAAGAAAATCAATTGGTATATGCAGAATTAAACCAGAAATCCACTGAAACGCAAAAGCTTTCAAAACTTCGAAAATTTGTATTATTATCATTTAGTAACCACCAATTTTCCACATATTAGTTGCCTTCACATTCCTATTTTTAGTGGTCAATAAGTAGAGAAGGTGAACTACAGATAAGAACAAAAGCCAAAAACCAATCGGACACACATGCAAACACCAAATACTCAACGTCTCTCTAGTTTGGGTAGTGACTAGTGAGTATTTTGCGGAACAAATTCATGAAATACTTACCATCAATTATAAGAGCTCCAGGGACTTCGACGCGCTGACCATAAATATGCATATATGACAGGTCGTGCATCTGAGTAGGAAACGCTCTGCAAATAAATTAAAACTCCGCAAGTATAAATAATTCAAAATAGCTGAGTCAGCATTAATTCTTCAGTCAAAAATATTTAGGATATTAGAGAAATGGTATGGTCGCATGCACTGACGATCAACTTATTTGATGCATCTTTCACGACTATATATTTTCCAAAGTTGAATACAAAGATGAATTTCACTTGGTGAAGATTGACTGACCAATCACAAATTTTAAATTAAAATTTTAAATCCTCAAAACTACAAGAAAATCACATCTTACAGTAACATTTTGGTAAAGTGCTAAAGGAACATTTTCTGTTTTCTTTTTGCATTTTGTTAAATTTCGGATGAGCATGAATGTGAAGCACATATTCTTAATAAGGTATATGAAATGTATGTGAAACACATCTTCTTAAGAAACTTCGGATGAGCAGAGATTAATATCACAATTTTGGTTAGCAAAACAGCATATTCTTGGTAGTGGCACAAGTGTACAAAAGAGACATCGTCAAGGTTCACTTATGCAGAAATAAATACAGATAACCTGGTCTACGACAAACGCAATCAATGCCTAAATTCGATGCGTAGTCCTAAATCGCTACGTATCCAAGTATACACAGCTGTTACGTATCCAAGTATACACAGCTCTAAATCATCACAGACGCAAATATCAACCAAAAGAACTAGTTCGATTCGTAGTCTCGAAAATAGTAAAACACTAAAACGAACTGCAGTAGCAGTTGAGTAATATAGTTCTAAGTCAGATGTAAAGCTTGCGTCCCCACTGTACAATTATTAAACTATACCAACAGCTCTAAATCATAAGCGATCAAATTTAAATACAGTGAATTGGGTAAAAATATGAATTAAAACTCTCAACAACCAAATATTTCTTCAATTATTAAATTCGTTGAAAAAAGTAGGGAGTAAGCGTACTGAAGAGGAAAACCGGATCGCAAGTGAGTTTCGGAGAAGAAAATGGAGTCCCACTGCTCCGGCTGATTCTGCAGAAAATAAATCCAGAGGCGATTATCCGACACCAGAAATTTCCAGGATTTGCAGACGGCTCTCAGTCTCGCCGACTCCCTAGGGCCGAGGATTCTGAAAATCTGCATAAGGATGTCGATGGGAATCCGGTCGAATTCGCCGGTCGACGAGGTCTGGATGTACATCATCTGGAGGAACCGGTCGTACTCCGACGTCGGGTTCGGGTTGGAGATTCGATCCGAACCGGACGAGGAACCCGACCGGTTGGTGACGGATCCCCATACTTTACGAATCAGGGAATTCATTGCTGGTGTGGTGCATCAGAAGTTCATAGCTGGAATTAAGCAACAGGATAAACACGTTTTTTTTTCTTTATATTGATGAAGAATTGTCGTTTGGTTCTGGTAGGCGGATTTTTGACGGATGCAAGTGGGCGAGTGAAGAACGAGGAGGGAGGGGAGAGCGTGCAGTTGTGACACGTGTCCGCATTATAGCCCGGGAAACTGTGGCGACGATTGGTAAGTCAGCGCGTGCTGTTACGTGCGTGGTTAAATATCCGCGGCACAATGTTGGGCTGGCCCAAGCCCAATCTCACAATAGATTGGAAATAACCTTATCTTTGACATAATTCATATTTAATTGTATATATATATATATATATATATATATATATATATATATATTTCGTTTCATTAAATTAATAGAACTCATCTATATGATTAATTTAATAAGATTGACTAAACACGAAAAATATCTTAATTTCGTAAACTAAATTTTCTATGGGCAAAGTACATGTAATATTATATTTTAATAATTTAAATACAAGAATTAATTTAAGTAATTGGGCGTCCTACTAACTAATTAATATTGATTGTGTAAAATCTACATATTCATGGCCTCCTTCCAAATCCTACTTTCCTAGTTGCGGGAAAGCTCACAGCCTCACCTAATCCTAGTGATACTACGATGAAAATAAACAAGACGCATGGTAAATGTAAAATTAAAGAGATAACTCACAAAAGAGTGTATATTGATTAGTGATCGTTGTGATCCCTTAGCCCTAATCAGGTTCGATACACTTATTTATATAGAAAACTACCCATGGTTTTTTTTTTTTCTAATTTAAAATCCCTTTATTCATTCGAGATCCAGACTGATTGTTCAATCAATAATCCTAATTTAACATTTTCTTTATTTATTTATGGAAGTTATTTCCCAATCGCCTCCTCTAACGATTGCAGGGCTAGCTCGCGCCACCTACCGCGTCTTCACTTAACATATTCAGATGTATTGGGAGCACACAAGGTAAGCTATCAGCACATCCAATTTACCACGGACTATATGACAAATGTCTTGACCCATTTCGACTCTCGTAGCATACTGTGCGAGCTTTCAACCTGTTTTTGACTCTTGCGGTCCATTGGGCCCTCGGTCCGATAGACTAAAAATATGTGGTGAGGCTCGGTACCAAACTGACCCCATCAAATACAATCTTATTTAATCCATTCCAAATCAATATAGATAACCAAAATAGGCCTTGCATATATTTATTTGACTCAAAATGAATCTACTTTTAATTTAATAAAAAAATGAAACACGTACAAGAATCTAAAACTAGCAAATTCAATTTACATTCTTCTTGATTAAAAATTGCTCATCCCAATCTACTTAATCCAGCAGTTGCACCGAATTTAGAAATAATTCCTATCTTTCATAAGAAAAATAAAGTCAAAGTTAAACATAACCACATATTTAGAACGTAAATAACATAACACATGGGCATGTATGGTAAGCATTGTGGGCCACGGTAAATGAACGGCTGAGTTTGTGAGATGCCAATTCAAATGGCCCACTTTTTGGCCCAATTATTTAAATCCTATCGATAAGCTTAGCTACTTCCCATCCATATCACTAATTGTAAATTGATACACCTAATTATTAAGCTATTTTTTTTTTCTTTTTTCTTTCTTTAATATAAACTTATTGATTTTCTTAATACGCACGCAACATGACAAGACATATATATATATATATATATATATATTTTTTTTTTATTGTCAAACTATTTAGTGTTTTTTTTTTTTTTTTTTTTTTCTGAGTAAATTCAAGTCCATTACAAGGGAAAGTAGGGGAGGGGAGACTCGAACCCTAGACCTTTACTCTATTGGTAAAGGTTAAGTACCAACCCTTTTCTAACGAGGGTTGGTAAAATTACTATTTAGTTTTGATCAGTTTAAAATGCTAATCGTATAAACTAGTTACTATTTGGGGACTTGTAGCCAATTTTATTTTGTTTAATTATGAAAAATCATAAAATAGTACTATAATATATTATCTTTGTCCCACATTCTTTGTCTTTTTAGAGAGTTTTTCATGAATTATTTGTTAATTTAAATTTTCAATAAAACATCAATTGCATTATTTCTATTTTTATTCTTTATCACTCCTAATTAATTAATTATAACAATTAATATCAAGGATATTTTAGTAATTATCTCTGTTTTACTTAATATAATACATACATATTTATTAACTTTCTTAATATGTGTGCAACAACCTAAAATGTCATTTAAATTGGGACGGAGAGAGTAATTTTTTTTTATTAATAAAACGAGAGATGTAAACTGACATGCTCGACTTGACAAAATTTCGAATCTAAATCAATTAACTCATGCTCATTTGCTCAAACCATTAAAGATTCCTTAACAATTACAATATTCCGATATAAATTAATCCAAACAAGAAAATCTACCGGCATTAACAAGACCGACCTATATATATCAACGCAAAAAGTAAAAAATTCCCTTTAATTCACTTTGCATTATCTGTCTCAAAACCACTGGATATACGTTCGCAGATAGATACACACGCATATATATACCCTCCTCTCTCTCTCTCTCTCTCTCTCTCTCTCCTCTTCGAGACCTATCGTTGAAATTCGGTTTAATTGCTAATTAATCAATCAAATTTTATGTGAAATTAATCCCCTCAACCAGAAGCTCAGAGGATTTTGTTATTATCCTCATCAATAGGAAGGTGAGAATATATAAATATATAAAATGTTGTGGTTCCAGAATTTGGTTTTACGCATTTTTCACGTTCTTCTATCACGCTGTTCATTTTTGTTTTCATCTCCGAGGAGTTCTAGGGTTTATGCGTTTGCAGGTTATTTTGTTTTCAATATCTGACTGTTTAGTTAGGGAAGGAACTTGGTGAATTGCGGTAGTGTATACTGCAAGAAATTATTAGCCTTTTTGCTTTTTGTTGATTTTTTGAATTATTTGCCGACTGCTATTGTTTGTTCTGTTTTAATTGATTGTCGTTAATCCAGCATCATTTCTCCCCATGAACTTTATATTTGATGATTTTGGCTTCTCTAAATTAATAATCCATTCCTCCATGTATATATACTTGCATGTATATTTATGTATCTTATCCTCATGTTGTTTAAATATATTTTTGGTTGATTTTGTTGCTTTTTTTGCTTCAATTATTGTACATTACCGTAATAAGACTGCGCCCAATACCGCGTCTATAAATCAATAATCCAACCTGCATTGTAACGCCTCTTTCTCCGACCTCTGTAGATCATGTCCCATCAACAAGAAAACGATGCTAATGAAATGGAGGAGGAATATGAAATGGAGGATGCAGAAGTCGACATGGACGATGATGGGTTTCACGACAGAGATGCTAGTGACTCAGATTCCGATGTGGATACATATGACTACATGGTTTGTTCGTAGTCATCCCCTGCTAACTTATACCTTTCGTGGCTATTTTCGTTTTTGAGTTATCTAATTGAAATGCTTCTTCTGACTGGATTTTTAACTTTGTTCCTTTATAGAGTAATAGGATACACGATACTACAGCATCTCAGGCAAGGAAGGGCAAAGATATCCAAGGGATTCCCTGGGAGAGGCTCAGCATAACAAGAGAGAAATATAGGCAGACTAGATTAGAACAATATAAGAATTACGAAAACATTCCTCAATCTGGAGAGGGATCAGAAAAGGTAATTTTAATGTCGTCGAGTTGTTTCCCTATCTGCATTCTTCATTGATTTTGCTTCGTAGTTACTTTCTTTTATTTATTGACATTTTGCCCCTTCCCTTTTTTGCGATAGGAATGCAAAACCACTGAGAAAGGAGGCGTGTACTACGTGTTCAGAAGAAATTCAAGATCTGTGAAATCGACAATTTTACATTTTCAGGTAATTGGAATATCTTGGATCAGAAGAATAGCTCTATCAACTTGTATTTCGGTTAATTTGGATGTCATCGAGTTCAACAGCTAAACACATACATGCCCTTTCTTGCGCACTTGAATCTGTAACAATGGGTGCATACTGCATAGTGCATACGACTTGTCTGTTAGAATGGATGGGTGTTCCGTATTGGCTATAGTGTGTCTCATAATTAATTTTCTTGTTGAACCGCACCTGAGGTCTTTTAGATGTGTTCCTATTAAATTTTATTTTGTTTTAATTCGTCTGGTTGGAGCTAAAGATTTTGCCGTTCTGCTCTGATAAATTGGACATATATGAGACATTGAGGATGTTGATTTAGCAGGTTTGAATGAGATTATTGATGACTTACTTATTGAGTTGCTCAGATTTAAAAAAATTTCAACTGGCTTGCAGATCTGTTGTAGAGGAGAACTTCTTAAGGCAATGTGAAAAACGTTACCATTTTGTGGTTTTACGAAGCATAAACATTATATCAGAATTATATGCAAACAATCCTTTTAATTTTCTAAATTCTTGGCGTATATTTACTTGTGGAATCATCTCATACCCTGTACCCTCGCATTAATCAACTATTAGAATTGTATAACAGAGAAGTAAGTTTACCATAACTTGGTGGGTAGGAGATGTCCCACTCTGGCTTAGAGAATGATGTTAACGGTTAATTTTCACGGAAGCTGATATTTGCTACTAGTTAATTATCCTTGGTTTGCAAATATTTTTTTTAAAATTATTATTACATCTTTTAGCCGGTGTTCAGTATGAAGCGTGATAGCTAATATACATTTAACTGCTTTTGACACAGTTGAGAAATTTGGTATGGGCTACATCAAAGCATGATGTTTACCTTATGTCACATTTCTCAGTTATGCATTGGTCATCGTTAACACGCACCAAGTCAGAAGTTATTAATGTATCGGGACGTGTAGCACCTTGTGAGGTAAGTGATATTACAATACAATATTGTCTTAGTGCTGTACGCAATTTGGTGAATTAGTATCTTCTCCTATTTACTGAATATTGTTTACCTAGTGCAGAAACATCCTGGAAGCCTGTTGGAAGGATTCACACAGACCCAGGTCAGCACACTAGCAGTGAAAGATAACTTGCTAGTCGCAGGAGGATTTCAGGGCGAACTTATATGCAAGGTGCATATTCTTTATTGTTTTCAGTATGCTGTACAGAAATGTGCAGTTTTCCTTTATGCCTGTTTTATCAAATATATGTGGAGCTTCCTTGTGTTCTTGAAGGTCTTCATTATGCTTTTGCTTCCATTAAGTTCAACAGATTAGGACATGTAATTATGTTGATATCTTTTATCTTTCCCTGCTGAATTACTTGACTGCGTATTCAGTTGTTTCTGATGCAATCCATAGGAAATTAGGAATCAGTAGAAAAGGCAAATCCCAATCACATTCGATACACGATTTTGCCCGGTGTTTAGTTGGCTGCTCTTTGCTAAATTTTTATCTATTTGGATTTGGCTAAATGTGCTTCTATGAAGCCGAACAGATAAAATCTATTATTTTTGGCTTTATTTCAGCACAAGCTAATTCATCCGTTTCTGTGTGTTTCAGTCCGTGACTTGTAGAATAGTTTTATGATTTATTCTTGGGCTTGTTAGTAGGCTGTTATTATTTCTTACTCTCTCTATTATCTGCTTTCCTACACATGCTTTTGCTTTTAGTTATTCAGTTATCGAGCCATTTAGTTCCCACCTATTTGGTTGCAGTATTTAGATAGGCCTGGAGTTTCTTACTGCACTCGGACAACTTATGACGAAAATGCCATTACTAATGCAGTTGAGATATATACGTCTGGCAGGTATTTCTTCTTATGTTTACGTCTGATGGATATAAATCTTTCTCTTTATCTCTCATTACACACACACGCACACACACACATTCCTGACAGTGCCTTGTTTGTATCCCAGTGGCGCAATGCACTTTGTAGCTTCAAATAATGACGGTGGAGTGAGAACCTTCGATATGGAAAAATTTCAGCAGTCTAACCATTTTTGTTTTCCGTGGCCAGTTAATGTAAGTCTCTACCCATCTTCCCTGTGTATGTTTGTATGAACATACATACATGTCATAGTTAATCCGATTGCATAGTGTTACATGACTATGGATTTAGGGAGACATACTTTTGTTCTTTATCATTATGCATGTAAGAATGAGTCTGACTTTCAGATTTGTGCCAAATGCCAGTGTTGTAAAAGAAATTCTTAGGGATTTGGATTGGTCAGTTATCTCCGGAGTGTATGGTCCATGATGTTTCGAATAAGCATGACTTATTGTTGAGCTCATGAAACGTACTTTTTGTATCTGAATTAGTTAGAATTTCCCACAATTTCTGCATGCTGAGGAAGTCCGACAAAAAGATATTCTCAAATGTTTTGTACTTTGATGCAGCATACTTCTCTAAGTCCTGACGGCAAGACACTCATAATTGTCGGGGACGATCCTGAAGGTTTATTGGTCGATTCCAGGAGTGGAAAGGTAAAAAAAATATATTTTTCTTTTCCTCCATGCACCATCAATGGACAGGAGAAGCATTGAACCACAACTAATGAATATTCTACTCCTTGCAGACAATCTCATCTTTGCACGGTCATTTTGACTACTCATTTGCATCTTCATGGCACCCAAACGGCTTAACTTTCGCCACTGGAAACCAGGATAAAACCTGCAGGATTTGGGATATCCGAAATCTCTCCAAATCAGTCGCCGCTTTGAAGGGAAACATCGGAGCAATTCGTTCAATCCGCTATACATCTGACGGCAAATTCATGGCCATGGCAGAACCTGCAGATTTTGTCCATATTTTCGATGTGGGAAGCGGGTACCAGAAGGAGCAGGAAATTGATTTCTTCGGTGAGATTTCAGGGATGTCGTTCAGTCCCGACACACAGTCCCTTTTCGTTGGAGTGTGGGACCGTACTTACGGTAGCCTTCTTGAGTTCAGCAGAAGAAATGAGTACTCGTATCTTGATGCTATTTTCTGAGTTGGTCTTGTTATTAAGAAAAAACAGTGCTCGTTTCGTGCTGACTTGTACAGTTGTAATATTGTGGGAGGAAAGTTTGAGTTTGGTCTGTTAGTTTAGTTGAGTGTGTGAGTGTTAATAAGATGTTAGAGGGAGGGGGATGTACAGTAAAGGCTAGATGAGTGTTGGTTCGGTTTGTGTTGGCACGTAGTAGAAGTTGGGCTATGGGTTTTCTTACTGCCTTTTTTTTTAATTTTGTCGAGGTTCTTGTTTGTGTCCGTCCGATTGAAAAGTGAATGTTTCATGACTAACTTGCGCAATCTAACGGAGGAGTTTCCGTGCTGGAGGCAATTTAGATGTGCATGGGGTGTTTCTTTAGTCAAGTCTTTAGTTAGGCTGTGTATAAGACAGTCAGCTTTTAACATTTTTTTTTTCGGTTTTCGCTTTTATAGTGGACATCGATTGACTTTAATGGAACTTAGAAACTCAGCTAACGAGGGTTGGTTTATCGTATACTACCGAGTTATTTTGAGTTGTGTTCGGAAATAATTCATCTGTTTTAAATTAAACTGGCGTCTTAGTGTCGTATAGGATAATTCAGAGGCATAACTTTCATTGATAAGACTCCCAATCATAATGGGCCAAAAAAAGACCGACTCGATCCACTTTGGTATTTGAAGGGAATGCAAAAAGGTAATGGATCTGATAGTTCGGGATATTTGAACCCGACGTGAATCGAACACGCAACCTTCTGATCTGGAGTCAGACGCGCTACCATTGCGCCACGGATCCTAGGTGAATATTAAGCTCAAAATAAACAATATGACCTCCTATAAAAGGAAAAAGGGTCATGATCTCTGATCCAGAAAGAACCAATGAAAAATAGCCAGGTCAGCATACAAAATCTTTCTCCCCTCACTCTCCTCCTCACAAAGTCAATATCTCTGCTCTACCACCCACCACCTCCTAAATTATAAACATCATCACCTCCTCCAATAATTAATAATCCCACCACCATATCCAAATTCTTCAGCAAAAAAGGAATATTCCCGTTCAACAAATGGCGTCCACTCTGTTCTCCGCTCCATCTTTCCAAGGTCTGAGACCCCTCAACAAGCCCACAGACGCCGCCCTCTTCCTCTCCAAACCCACCTCCGCCACCTTCCGCCGCCCCATCACCGCCACGAACCGCCTCACCATCAAGTCGGAGCTGAACCCATCTCTGGTAATCAGCCTCAGCACCGGGCTCTCACTCTTCCTGGGGAGATTCGTGTTCTTCAAGTTCCAGAGAGAGAACGTGGCCAAACAGGGTCTGCCGGAGCAGAACGGAATCTCCCACTTCGAAGCCGGCGATGTGAGGGCGAAGGAGTACGTCAGCCTCCTGAAATCGAACGACCCGATTGGGTTCAACATCGTCGATGTTCTCGGGTGGGGATCGATTGGTCACATCGTGGCTTACTACATTCTTGCCACCTCAAGCAACGGCTACGATCCTTCCTTCTTTGGTTGATTGATACGTTTTGAAACGTCGTCGTTTAGCCCTTGTTGTGTATGTATATCTCTGGCAAAATTAAATTTCTACTACAATTTTTTACTTATTATAATTTTCGGAATCTTTTAGTTGCCAAGCTGTGGTGGTGTGGTGAATTGTACTACTGTGTTTTTAAATTGTTGTCTTGCTGTTGAATTCTTGACCCTGAAATTGATAAATTGTTTGACCTAACCGCTCGTTTGATTATCAGGATAAAATTAAATAATCTAATGAAAAAACTCAGTTATTTAATCGGATCCTGATCGAACCTGAGTCGATCGGTGAGTTATAAGGGTATCTAACATCAAACAAAAGTTCAATTATAAATTACACCCATCTCCTGGTTATGTCAAATTACGAAACCCCTTCAGTTAGGGTAATTACAGCCATCTTTCAACTATATATAATCTTAAGAAAATATCTCTCTAGAAGTAAATTTAGAGTTGTTAAATTAGTCAAACCGAACCGAAATTTAGGTACATCAACATTTCATACCGTTTACCGAACTGAATATATGATTTGGTTCGGTAAATAACCAAATTACAAAAATTTTATGTAAAAATATTTAAAAGGAATGTATTCACACGAGATTTTTTTGTAATTTAACCAATGTTGTAAGAATTGGACCGGTTCGACCGCAACCCGGCGATTAGGCGGTCCGGTTTGGGCTTCAAAATCGGGAAAACCTAAAACCGGGGTCAAATGATCGAAACCCGGTTCAACCGGGTAAAATCCGGAAACCGGCAAACCGATTAACGACTCAGGTTTTTGTCAAAACAAGTATAATAGTGTACGGATCTCAGTCGTAAAGGCTGTTCGTGGCCAGATTTGGACGGCGATGGGTTGAATCTGGTGGTCGGAGGCCGGAGGTGGACGGATCTCCGCTGTAAAGACGGTCCGGTGGGCAGACATGGGCGGCCGTGGGCTGAATTCGGTGATCGGAGACCGGAAATGGAGAAATAAATGGGAGAAAATAGAGAAAAAAAAAGAAAAAATGAGGTCGGAGGCCGGAGGTGGACGGATCTCCGCTGTAAAGACGGTCCGGTGGGCAGACATGGGCGGCCGTGGGCTGAATTCGGTGATCGGAGACCGGAAATGGAGAAATAAATGGGAGAAAATAGAGAAAAAAAAAAAAGAAAAAATGAGGGAAGAAGAAGAATTTTTGAATTCAAAGACGAGAGAGAAGGGGAGAGGAGATAGAGAGGGGCTGCGTGAATGAGAGAAGAAAAAGTGGGAAGAGTTAGAAAATTATCGAGACGAGAGATAAAGAATAAAATAAAATAAAGTAAGGGATATTGTATTAAAATGGAAAAAAAAATGTTTAAAATATATAAAAGATAGATAGAAATATATTAATTTTGAAATTTAAAACCAATAAAAATATTTACAAAATAAAAAATTTAAAAAATTAAAAAACCTGGGTCGAACCCGGTTGAATTGGTCCAACCGTGACTCGAATGCCTATCCGGTTATGATAACATTGAATTTAACTATACCTTAGAGGTGGTCGTAATTTGCCCTTAACTTTGATCTGAACTACGAATACTCGAAACGAGGTCCTAGTATACAGTTAGAATACTCGAGATTTTATATGTTTATATATTGGTATATATATATATATATATATATATATATATATATATATATATATATATATATATATATATATATATAGATTTGATTTGATTTGATTAGATTATGAGTGAAATATACGTAAATATTTGATTGAAATATAGGAGATTTGGTTATATTCTAAATTTTTGTTAATTATACATTAATAATTTAGTTTATATATCATTGAAAAAAATAAATAATTATATGTATATATATATAATGAGAAAATATGGCAATTTAAAACTATGGTTTGTTACCAATTTCCCTTTTTTATGTACTTGCACTAAATTATTCTTTCATCTCTTTTTATTAATTACTCTTTCCACCACTTGTAAAATATAATATTATTATGAAAAAATAGATGTAATTAATGAACTTTTGAAACTTTTGAAAATAGATTATTTTGAATTTTTTTGCTATATCCTCTTCTAGCCAGTCAATTCACTACTCTACATATGAATGCTACCTTTGACCTCAATTCATTTAATTTTTCCCATCAATTAATTGGTTTAGTAACTTATTTAGGTTTCCGGATACACATCTAAAAATTTCTTCAACATATCTTTTAGATTTTGATTATATATTGGCTTCTAAAATTGACAACATAAATTATATACTTATGTATATATAAAAGTAATAAACGCTTGGCCGACTATTGAACGAAAAAATGAACACTTGCTCAACATCTACACATTTGATTACTATTGATAATTATTACGATGCATACTTCTATAATTACTAAGGCTATTTCTTGTTACTAATCATAAATTCTAGTGTGAATAGGCTAAACAAAATTTATTACCTTCACAATCACCATAAATAATCTTCAAGAAAAATCCGATTTAAATAAAAAAAAGAAAATAATGTAGAAAACATAGAACATTGACCAAATCCGAGTACAAATTGACCTAATCTCATGATTCATTGATTTATGCCCATTTGGCCTTTTACATAGCAACATACCTTATTTTCACACACACACACACACACACACACACACACACACACACACACACACACACACACACACACACACACACACACACACACACATATATATATAATTAAAGGCAAAATAAGGGCATGAACAGAAATTTATTTATACTTCAAACCGTGTGGAAGAGGTAATATATATATAATAATGCTTATAATATTTGATTACATTTAATCAGCTAAGGAAATATTGGATGCATTCAAGTAAAATTAAATGCACGACTTAAGAAAAAAGGGTTGAATGCTTTCACTCCACACTAAAAGAAATCCCATTTCCCCTTTTAATTAATACAAACATCACCCAACTGTAAAAAAAAAATAAAAAACAAAAAATCAAAGAGTTTTAATTGCAAGAAACTTTCATTTATTTACATAGGAGAAAAAATATAAAAAAAGAAATCTACTAATTAATTCTTTTTACCCAACTGCCTATAAAGTAGCGTTCAATTTATTTACCCCACTTAGATGAAAATTGACCCTTTTCTTTTCTGTTTCTTCTTTAAAAAAAAAAAAATTATAATGAATATCCACAAAAAGAATAAAAAAAAATAAAAAAAATAGGTTAATTCAAAAGGCACACGTATTTTTGGGAGTTGAGGTTAGTCTAGTGTGTGTGTGTGTGACTATTTGAAAGTGAGAAAATTTAGGAAAAGAAAAAAAAAAGGGGAAAAAAAGAGAGGAGATATTCATAAAAACCCGAATAAGAAGCAAAGAGGAAGAAAAACAAACGTGACAGTCAATCTCCAGTCTCCACACATATCGCTTAACTCACTCTTTCAGTTATCTTCTTCTTCTTCTTCCTTTCTCTCTCTACTCTCTCTCTCTCTACATATATATTCATTTTCGTCGCTAATATTCAGCAGTCATTTTCGTCACTGATTTTGTCAGCTGATGAGCTCGTTTTGTTGCTTTGATAATGGATGCATATTTTAACGTGCGAATTAAGTCTTCATTTTCTGCTAATTCTTCTTCTTCTTCTTATCTGGTTATAAGGTAAGCGAATCCAAATCTGATCCGAAAAATCGGATCTTTCCTTTCGGGTCGGGTCATCCCCTTTTGTGAGTCTCGTCTTCGTCTTCTCTCTTCTAGGGTTACTATTTTATGCACACACACACACACAAAAACACACACCAGCTGAGTTTGTGCTGAGCTCCATTTGCAAAAAAAACTCACCCGTCGCTTTCTAACAACAACTCTCTCCCACATTATATTTAATTCCCACCCTTTCACCTCTTCCTCACACACACACACACACACACACAATATATATATATGTGAGTTAAACCTATAGATACACTTTTAGCTGGGTTTTTCGATCTCGTGTTTCTTCATCAATGGCGAATGAACAAGAAAACGAAGCTGAATCGCTCCCAGTCAAGAAAAACAAGCAGAAATCTGATCTACTTCACCTCTGGGTTAACCTGAAAATCCCCAAACAAGAACAACAACAAGAAGAACGGGGTGCAGATATTATTATTGAAGATGATCAGACAATTGGCTGTAAGAATAACACCACGGCTAGGGTTTGTAGTATCTGTCAGGCAACATTCGGCTCGGGCAAAGCTTTAGGCGGCCACATGAGAGTCCACTTCCGACGCGCCGCCGCCGCCGCCAACAAGAAACAGAATCCCAAACTCCAACCACCCACCACCACCACCTTCAAGAAAGAGAAGAAAAAGAAGATTGCTTCCGATCAGAATCAGAAGCTACCTGTGAAGAAGCCAACGTGTTCACTCTGTGGTAGGGGTTTTCTTTCAATGAAGTCTTTGTTTGGCCACATGAGATCTCATCCAAACAGGGAATGGAGGGGTATTCACCCCCCTTCGAACGCATCCGTCGATTTGACCGGGTCGTTGAGCGGTTGGGCAGTCACCGCCAGGCGGGGCCGCCAGGCGGCATCCACCGCATCTTCGTCGGAGGTTTCCACCTCCGACGAAGACCACCAGCTCCACCAGGCTGCCGCTTGTCTCATGATGCTTTCTCAAAGCGGGGGCGAAAAACCCGAAACTGCGAAAAACCACGTGTTCGAAAAAGAAGTAGTCGAAGAAGAAGAAGCCCGAACGAAGAGGAAAAGGAAGAAGGTGAAGCTGTGTGATTTGGTTCCTCCATTAATGGATGATGATGATAAGAAGAAGGTGGCAGTGGCGGCGGCGGTGGTGGTTGATAAATACAAGTGCAGCTCTTGTGAGAGATCATTCACAACTCATCAAGCATTGGGTGGACACATGTCAAGCCACAACAGATCCAATCACAACAACAATATTAATCTGATTATAAATAATAATAATAATAATATTTCCATGCTGGCGAAGAATGAAGATCTTGTTTGCAATGATTATCCCTATCCCCAAGTGGTGGAGGAAGAAACAACCAACAAGGGAGGAGGCTTGAGCTCGAATGTGGTGATGGAGTTCGATCTGAACGAGGCGCCGCCTCCATCGGACGACGGTGAATTTTGCAGCAGCTGGTGATTAGTTATGAATTATGATGATGCTTATGTATTATGTATTTATTGGGGCCTTGTTTAGTACTTTTAGTTCCTAGTTTTATTTCTAGTTGCAGCTTCTATTTAGTGGTAAATGGTTTCTGGCCTCGAATATTTTTCCTCGGCACGAAGGTGGTTCGGTTAAGGCCTGGCCGGCCGGCGGTTAAGTAGTGATTATCCATTTTCTTTTTATCAGCATTAGTTATTGCAGGAACCATCTTGGTTGTCTTTGTCTTTTTTTTTTTTGCTTGTGTTTATTTTCTTCATGGTAAACATGGTGGTCCAACAAGCTTTTTCATGAAGTGAACAAGTACAAGAATTAATGAACTGATAATTAAATTGACTATATATATATATATTATATATTATTGACCTTTTTATTTTAGCACATAGTTTATGTCTGGGTTCATTTTATTGAATATGTGAGCAGCTTTGGAAAGTTATATATTTGTGATCAGTGCTTAGTGGAGGTCCAGAAAGGAGGTTTCTTGTCAAAGAATTTTGAGAATATAAGAAAAGTCAAGAATGACAAAAACCCCTCACAACCACCAAAATTAAAATAAATTCCGAAAATAAAAATTACAAAACAAAAAAAAAAAAAAAGGAAGAAAGAAACAGCCCTTTTTAGCACATTTGTTGCAAGTATGAATTTTTCCTAAGCATTGATACTTTCTTGGCAAGGCTCACAAAGAAATATATTCCATTACACAAAGTAGACCGTGTGGGGTCGTTTGAAGTGGTCTATGGTCTTCAGTAAACGCATTTTGGAGTCACGTTTTCATGTTCGTAAATTCGTATTGAGTAGTACAGTAATGGAAAGAAATGAAAGTATTGGTTGGGAATGGCTGCTGAACAAATAAAGAAAAGCTCAACTGCCTTCTCCACACATTCCCGTGATGAAAGCAACTCTCTGCCGACCTTTCATTTTGACTTTTTTTTTTTTCTTTTTTTTTAATTACTTTCGTAGAACTAACTATATTGCAAAATTTACTTCCCATTCAACGAATTTCAACTCAACCCAAATTATGCAATACAAACAGCATTAATACTTTATAGGTATATACTCTATAATTAGAATCATGGGTTAGACTAGACGGTTATTAATAATTCACTAACCAATTATCTTAGCACTTGTTTTCTTGTTTAACTTGTGCCGGTGGTGGACGCATTCTGAAGTTTATAAATATCAGTCCACAATGCCGATGAGCATTTTGGAGAGAAGAAGAAAATTGATTTGAGTTATTTTTTGTATCTCTTTTGGAGTATGTTGTTTGTACTCATCTTGGGTACATAATTTGCATGTCTAGAGATCTGTTAGTTTGTACTGAAGAAGCTGTAGACTTGACTTTGGACCTATGTAAGATACCATTCAATTCATTACGAATTCGGGGCCACTGATTCTTACAATAATAACTTCAATCAAAGAGTAATGTGAACCCTTCAAAGATCATTGCAGTCGAGAATAATAATATCGACAAGTACAAAATGAATTATCCACGTAAAAACGTCTTTTTTTTCCCCCCTTTTTTTTTTTACTGCTGAGGATCAATACAAAACTTGCAAGATAGAGAAAGCTGCAAAATCAGCTAGATCTACTCAAGGCTTGATCTATACATTTCAAAACAAAATTAATCAACACCGAAAACATATCATCAAAAATCAAAATATTAAGCCTCGCAAAAAATAAGAAGGATGAAAGGAAAAGACTCTTTACAAAATCTAAGTGGGAACAACCTTCTCGTAATTCGGTGACGGTGACAACTGGTAAACAAAGACGGCTAATGCAAGTGCCAACATTACTAGCTGAACAAAGAAACACGAACTGTACTTACAAACCCTGTTTTGTAGCTTTAGTGTTTCGTCGACACTAGCAATGTCTTCACAAATACGTTCCAACTTCTCAGCTTCTTTCTTGAGCATAGCAGCCTTGTTTTCTGCATGTTCGAGCTTATTGAGTATTACAGTTTGCTCAGAGGCTTGTTCTTCCATAACAGTAATTTGATCCACAGCAGAAGCAGCTCTCAGATCTTTGGCCGATCTGGATAATACCATACACTCAACTTCATTTTCGATCTTTTGCTTAAAGAGTTCCTCAATTTCTGCCTCGACATCTCTTTTTTCTCTCTCTACAACCTCAGATTGCACCCCTAGGGAACTGTCTTCGCTTTCGCCACATGGCAACTGACGAGAGCTTGTTGTTTGGAGTTTTTGTTCGATATCTATAAACTCTGTACATAAGTCTGATATAGAATCATCAACTGAAACATCTTTGCCGGTTTCCTTGAACTTTAGCACCTCTGCATGAGCATGGTTACTCGTTAGAAGTGTCATTAAACGATGATAAAAGTAAGAGACAAAAACATACGAATTATTCCCATAAGATGAGTAAAAGCAGATGATTACTGGATCCAATAATTCCACATAAAACATACGGTTCTCGCTATAATTCCAGGAAAAAAAAAATGCAAAAAATACCTTTTTCTAGTGCTTCTTTTAAACAATCCATCGCAGAGATAGATTCAACTAGAGGATCCTGATCGCTCAAGGAACCATGGCTCTCCCTTCTTTCTTCTTTCATTTCTGAAGATGAGTCAGCAACTCTATCTTCAGGTGAAAATTCTTCATGCGCTCCCTCACCATCTCTGCTATAACCACCTCGAAATCCATACGTAACTTCTTGCCCACTTCCTCCCTGAACTTCATCTTCGTCTTCTCCGTCGTAACCTTTCAACCTTTCATTCCGTACACCATTATTCGCGGAGCTAGTTCCCTGCATAAACACAAAATTGGAGCTTCGCGAGTCAGATTCCAAGCTGGAATGAGAGTCTTCCTTCTCGATTTTGACCCGTTCACCTCTACCCTTGTTACTGTTTTCAATCCTCCCCTTCCCTAGCTGACCACCACGCTGCACTGTGTGTGTTAAGTTCTTTCCACTCGAACTCTTTGCCCTACTCCCCTTTGGAGCACTGGCTGCCGTGGAGGATTTGCTACTCCGGTCCTCGCTATTTTCCGAATCTGTTTCGACAGCAACAGGTCGGCTGAACCCTAAACCCGAATCATCACGAAGTGCAAAACCATCGAAACTCCTAACTACAGCATCAGTCGACGAGATAGAGCCCTCACTCTTTTGCTTTCTTGAAGCATATTGCATTCGTTTACTTGGATTTACAACCGAATTCGATAATTCATGTGGTCCCATCAAACCAGTAGCAACGCCAATTCCCCCGCCCTTATTGGCATCTCTTCTAATCCTTCGCCATTTCTTCAATCCATGCCCTCTCCTTGTCGCTTCAAGTTTCAAGTGCGAAGCTTCACCACCCTTTTGCACGTTATCATTATTTTCAACAACAGAAGACTCGTTATTTCGAACCTTGGATTCACCAAAATTTCCCAAATTTCTGGTTTCATCTGTAATTTCTTCATTATCTTCAACCGATTCAACTACCGTAAACCCCCCTTCCAAATCCATCTATCTATACTAAAGTGTGACCTAATTCCCTAATTAAGTATTGCGCAATAACGCGATTCCCCACAAAGTATTACGCAGATCAAGATCGAGAAGAAACAACCACCATTCCAGCTCAAGGAATTACAGAAAACACGGAAAAATTCTCAAAGAAAAACAAAAGAATTACTTCCAAGGAAGAATTGAATTCGGAAAATTCGTTTCTTCGAGAGGAAACTGGAAAGTAACAACACAAGCGAAGAAAATGAAACAAGTTGGAGCAAGAACTTAATTAGCTAGAGTAGAAATTGACAAGCGTACCTTAGGCTTGGGCTCCATAAATGAAAGTTGAAATTTGTTTTTGGGGGAAGAAATTAGAGGGAATGGGAAACCCTAGATGTGGGGACGGGATTTTGAGATCTATAGACGTAAATATGTCAATTTTGATATTTTTACGATAGGGTAAATTACAAACACCCCCCTGAGGTATGGTCAAATTACAAAAATACCCCTCTTGTTTGGATAATTACAACCACCCCCTCAGCTCCTCAAATTTAGTGGAATCTTCGAGGTTATATGGAATATTATCATTTTTGTACCTGTTTTATCATATTCAAACTCTACATTATGAAGCAAGATGATCATAATATGTGAGTTTTAGCTTGTATATATCAGTTTGTGGTGCATCGGAAACTGTATTTTTACACAAAGCGAGTACAAACTAGAGCACATTTCACGGAATCTAGATGATTATGTTGAATTTGGCACCATAAGGGTGGAAATGTAAGAAAAAATCATAGTTGAGGGGGGTAGATGTAATTATCCAAACAATAGGGGGGTTTTTGTAATTTAACCATACCTCAGGGGGTGTTTGTAATTTACCCTTTTACGATATAATAGAACTTGGTGGAACGTGCGATGCACGGACCGGGTTCACAATTGGTACCTCCATAACAGAGAATTTGCTGAGTCATCTCAAACACATGGCAATATTTATTTATTTTATTTTGGACTTTCATGAATTTTTGAAAAATAAAATTATATAGCCTAAATTAAAACTGTTACACTTTAAACTATCCCTTCCCAAAATATATTAAGAAAATTTGATTTTTACAAGAACATAATGAATTTTTAAGTGAAGCCCTAAAAGGGTCAAAATTTTGATTTATTTACTATTATTTTATATATATATATATATATATATATATATATATATATATATATATATATATATATTTACGTGTGTCTTTTTTTTTAAAAAAGTTCAATAATATATAATAGAGTAAACTGCAAAAAGTACCCCTGTGTAATTTCAAACTAGCAAAAACCCCCCTATGATAAATAAACTAGCAAAAACCCCCCTATGAAATTTTGTTAAATGCAAAAACCCCCCCTAGTGCATTTTCGTGTTGCACACTCGCCGAGTGTGCAGCTGGTGAAGATTTTTTAGACCTGAAATTACATAATTACCCCCAAATTTTATTAATATGTAATTTCATGATTTTTAGGGTTACACAAACCTTAATCTCCATCTTCCCAACTTCAATTCAACCGGCCTCCTCCCACCACCGCAGCACAGCCTCCACCGTCGGCTGCTCCGCTGTGCTGCTCTACAATAGACGCCGCGCGAAGTCCAGGATCGAGCACTTCGTGAGGACGAACAAAGGCGCTGACGATCGGAGGAGCTTCCGGACTCTGATCTAGAAGCCCTCTTCGGCGGCGGCGGCGGCAATTGGAGCCTAGCGGAGCCCTACAACCCCGATTACAAACTGGCGTTCGAGCCTTTGTTCACCACATATCACATATGCGTTCGTGTTCAACGGATTTTGTGGATTTTTTTTTTATTTTCTTTTTTGGTGTTGTTGCTAGGTTTGAAGAAACAAAACTAGCTTCTTTCCCATTGTTTTTAATTTTTGTTTTGTTTGGTTTTGGATCTTGACAAAAAAAATAGATAGAATTTTCTAGTTTGTTTTTGCTGGTTGGGATTCAATAATTAAGTGGGAAGACGATGGAGATGGCATCGGGATTCAAATCGTTGAAGATGATGATGATTCGATTTTTTTTTTTTTTTTTTTTTTTGATTTTCTTGACTTTTTCTGATTATTAAAAATTTAGTATACAAATTAAATGGAAATATTATATTAAAAAAAAAAAAATTCATCAATAAACATATAAATAATATTGTAATTTTTTTTCTTTAACATAATTTAGTGTATGAATAATTTAAAAGTTATAAAGAAATTATATTATAATTTTAAAAATAAAAAAACCCCTTTCCATTTTTTTAATTAAAAGATATAACAAAAATAAAATTAGTTTTTATCAGTATAAAAAAATAAAATAGTTAGAACATTAGAAAGTAAGAATTTAAATATCTCATTTAAATATTTTACTTCAAATAAAAAAAAAAGAATTTAAATATCTCATTTGTGCTTTTTTAATACTATAAAAATAGACATTTCACAGGGGTTTTTTTGTCTATTTACACAAGGTCAGCCCTTAAATTGATAGTGGGTCAAGTGTGCTATTTAAAAAAAAATACAGGGGGGTTTTTGCTAATTTATTTATCACAGGGGGGTTTTTGCTATTTTGAGATTACACAGGGGTACCTTTTGCAGTTTACTCATATATAATATATAGTAATACAACAAATTCCATTATTTAGTCCCGTAATTTGTGACATAAAGTGAGTTGTGTCAATTGACTTAAATTCGAACGGCGTGACTCGTACAAAATTACAAACATACAAATCCAAAACATATCCACAAAGCAGTACTGAAATTTGACAAACAAGCAAAATAATAAAATAAAAAATAAAAAATAAAAAATTAAAAAATCGGATTAATGTGTGCTATTTACAGCGGCGGAGTAAAGGAAGTTCCACCAGTACGACTGCCGGGAGCTGCTGGGTTTGAGACAATCAAGCCGTTGGAAACGGCGTCGTTTTCGTCCAGAAAAAGCCCTTCTGGATTTCTCAACACTCCATGGACGACCGATATCGAAAGCCCGACGCCGATCCCAATTGAAAGACTGCTCAACGGGCCGGTGATCCAGAGGGCCGCGACGGAGACCAAACCGAGCCCCATAACCACCGCCCAATCGCTGACGTGGTGCCCCCAGATCAACAGCGGATCTTCCCTAAAGAAGTGGAGGATCAGCCACAGGAAGAACACGAATCCGATGATCACAAGCGCGACCGGCGAGCCGATCAGTGACAGGGAGGCGCAGGCCGTGATGATTATAGCGTAATTCACGGAGAAGTAGCTGCCGTTGCGGCGGAACCTGATGTATGCGGCGGAGATGGACGGCGGAAAATCGAGCGCGGAGATGGTTGCGAGGAACTCCGGCCAGGGACGGCAGCGGGAGAGGCAGGCGGAGAGGTTCTGCGCCGATCGGGAAACGACGTCGATGCCGGATATCGGGATTGTGGTGTACGTTGCTGCCGCCGGGGAGGCGGTGCCGGTGGAGGTGGTGGGCACGGAGGGCATTTTAGGGATTGAAATTAAGTTTGACCAGACTAGTGGAGTTTGGTCAAACTCCGACGGATGCTAATTTCGCGTCCTCGTGATACGTTGGTTAAATTCAACTATGTTGGACTCGCGAGGGCTTTGATCCTCTGCAACGAGACACACCTTAGTATTTTTGTTGTAAGTGGTGGACACGTTCATGATGCAATTTAGTTCTTGGGCCTAAATTTAAAGTTCTTATATTACCCTTAAAAGCCCAAAAGAAATCATAACAACTACTTCATATCTTTTCAACATCAGTTTAATTTAAGATTTCGACCCACGTACTAAGAAAATTAATAAATATGTATTACCTTTTAGAAGAAAAGGCAACAAGATTAAGCTACCCTTTCAACTAATTCTCTACTTGTGAGAATTAATGTTTAATAGAATTTAGGAATAATAAAAGAAACTATGGAAATAATAATTTGATTCAATATTGTTATTCTAGACTGAGTTTTGCAGCAATTGTCCACGTGAGGGTGACAACAGATATGGACAGATCACACTCGAATGTCATGGGCGCGTGTAGATTGTTAGCCGAGAAATATCAACGACTTCAGGGGCAGCATCATAATAATTTAATATCCACAAGAACTTTTGAAAGGGACAATTTTGGTATAAATAGACAAATATAAATTGAATAGGGTAATGAAGTGGAGGACAAAGCATGAATGCATGGTCCCATTTTGAAAGCGTGTTCAAACAATTATTATATTTATTAAATGCCCCGACTTTTACACGTTAAAGATTCCATCACCAAATCCACAAATACGTTAATAGTAAATACGCAATAATGATAATACACCAGTTAATTATCTTTGCTTCGCACTTACTCTTTGGTTCCCATTTTGTCAAAACAATTAATAACCTAATTCATATTTTTCAAAATACTCAAATTTATTTAATATTATATTATAAATAAAACGTTAGCAAGAATAATCAGAAACCGATGGACCCCACTCAAGCAAGCATGCACAGGAGCTACGTTAGCAACGGCTATATTTCATGCAAACCTTCCTTCTTAATCATCACTGTAATAACAATCTTCTAGCACACACACTTTAGATAAACGAAAAGTAATTCTATGTACTAAAAGTGCTTATATATATATATATATATATATATATATATATATATATATATATATATATATATACACTAATAATTAACAAAATTAATATTACAAAAAGAAAAAAAGATTAATGCTTAAAAACTCGTCTGTCACGCAGTTTTCTGTTATTAAACTTCCTCGTTCGATTATCAGACTATAATATACTTTATACATCATTAGCAAGAACAAAAAAACTCTATCCATATGCGAAACCGATCGAGCACATGTTATTACGACTAAAGGTCAAGTTTTCACTTAAACTCACGGGCGATCATAAAAAACTAGGAGAGAAATACGATAACGAAGATCTCAGGTTCGCTGTGGAGGCGGAGGCCTGTAATGAAGAATTCGGATGCAGTAATCTATAACCTTCCGGAGGACTACTGCAATAATTCCACTGACCTAAATTTGCATTGTTATTCATCATTTCCTTGGGAACTGCCACCTGTACATTCCCGTTCCGTTCCATTGGGGGTGGCCCGCCGTTGTAGACTGGATAACCGTAGAAAGGATGATGATGATGACGATGATTCACAGCCGTTGGATTGTACTCGTACCGGGACGCCATTGATAGTGATGATGATGTAATCGTGACATAAGAACCCTCACCTTCCGTATACTGTTTCCCTTTATTAGTAGCTCGGTTTTCTGGCGAGTCGTCAATAACTATTATTTCCTTGTATTTGTTGTTGTTACCACGAGAATCGTATGTTCTCGTATTTGGAGACGAAGTGATAAAAGTACCTCCACCGAAGCTCTTACTCGAGAGCATGTGTGTTGTTGATGGATGATGATGACCGGAGGATAACTGATCATGTGACAACGGCCTAAAATTAGCTGGATTGCTTCTGACGAAATCGAAGTGCTGAGCTGGCATGCTGGTTTGTGAATTCTCGTACATGGAATAATGACCTCGTGGCAAATTACGCCCGAAGGAGTGGGCCCCAGTGTGACTGTTGTCTGCACAAAACCTCGGACTGATTGGATGCTCCATCGCTGTACCAGAAAAATAGGCAGGCCTAGTTTGAGGGGAAACCTGATTTTCGTCTTTGTTCGCCACCATTAAATTCTTCCCCATCAATCTCAAAACAGGATTATTGGGTGTCGACGGACTAGGAAACTCGCAATCTACACAAGCTCGAAGCTTCGCCTCGCAATTTGCTCCCGTTTTTCCCGGTTCTTGAGTTTGCTCCTTCCAATATCCCGAGTAGTAATTGGAACTACGGGTTTCTTCTCGTGCAGGAACCGAGAGAGGAGTCATGGTTCTTCGCCTTAAAAGCTGCGAATCTTGATTATACATCAAAGCTCCGTCTTTCCTAGAGCAACAACACATCAAGTTGCCCCTCGATTCATCAAGATGAATAAGCTCCCTCTCGGTATTAATAGGACCACCTTCGATTCCATGTTGAACGTGCGATTTCGAGAAGTTTACGACGGGTCCCGAATAAGATCTTGCAGAGATTGGAGAATCAGACGAACCCATCATACGATCGACAATCGCTTCGTGCTCGTCTTCAGATGATTGCACCCTGCATGTGGTTAGTGAAGAATTTCCCTGGAGATCTTCCGAACACATGCGTCCGGGACTTGGCAAAAAGGAGCCAGGTGGACCAGGTATCGGGATTGGATCCACGTCAGCAAAGTAATTTCTTTTCCCTTCATCATTGGCATCCGTTTCTGCCACTGCACGACCGTTTGGAGCAACCAAGTCTTCAACAACGTTTCCGACAAACAAATTCATGGAAATTAGTCGAATCCAAAGATTTGTCAAAGGCTTCTTCCCTTTCGGCTGCTATTTTATACGTCGGCTTACAAACAAATTCATTGTTTGTATCAATTATAACATTTTCTCGCAAAAACGAACTAACGTTTCTCTCAACATCATCACTATCGGGTTCGGGCGAAGACTCTTTTGAGTCCTTCAAACTCACGTCTTCTTTAGCAGCGTTCGTACTTTTACTTCTCTTCTTTCGGAGTTTTAATACCGTCGTTCCATTAATTAATGGCTTACCAGTAGCCCTTTTCGTTTGGGACACTGCCACCTCGTCATCTGATCCTGATGCATAGCTCAGTCGAGGTTTCTTGAAATCCAGACGCTTTCCCCCCAAATTCTTCTTCGATTCTGGTGCAGACGTACGTCTCACAGACAAGAGTTTCTTCCTTAAAGACGAAAACTTTTTACTCCCAGATGAGATTGCATGACCCGAGGATGTTTTTTCCTTGCCTTGAGATGGAAATCCACAAGGCCGGGAAATTATCGAGTCGGTGTTTACAGCTGGATCCACGTTTATCCTCATTTTCTTATTACTCCTAGAAGAGTCTTGATTTTGCGCTACGCTCGGAGGATCTTTCCTCGCCAGTTGAATTTTCTTAACATGACAATCTTGGGAAATCAACGAGGAATCACACAACACGTTCTCCTTTCTTCTGTGGCTTTGAGTAGGTAAAAGTGGATTTTCACCATTTTCTCGAGAGCACTCCACAGTTTTGTCCGGGTGCTGATTATTTTCATGCTGGAGATTATTTTTCTTCTTTTTGGGACCAGTTCTTTTCGAGCCTACCCACTGTTTTATCATTCCCAAATCATCAGATTTCATCCGATCGAAGGAAGTGTGAGGCGGCGTAAGATACCCCTCACATTGTTTTTGCTGGCCATTGTTAACCTGTGAAAAACGACGAATGGTCAAATTCCTATCGGCCAAGGCAATAAATACATTATGTATTCTATACTATTTTCAAACTTTACGAAAACATTAACTGCAACAGCGTAATATTATCAACATAATAAGAGAAAAATCAAAAAAACCATAAAATTTTTGGGCAACTTGCACCACAATGTTGCACAACTCTATACAGAGCTCTACAAGCATATTACGCAAGAACGTAAACATTTTATTATCTGTTTAAACACTTGCACAAGCATACCTTGGGTTCCGGACTATGATCAGGCTTGGGTAAGAAAATCTTTGGTCCGTAAGTAGGAGATTTCGGCAGATTATCAGTACTAGGAGAGCAACTCCTTTGTCCATAAATAGGATGTTTCAAAAGCTCGTGTTTCCGGACAAGACACTTTTTCTTCTTACGCTCAACAAATTCGCAACATTTATCTTTTTCCACAATCTTGCTTGGTCCACCGCACTCATATTTAGAAAACGAGCTTGATGGCTGATCATTGAGCTTCGATAAACTCCGGATCTTTGGGCTTTTGGAGTCAATATATACAGCACCTTTCTCATTGGATTCCCCAACATCGACTGAAGAATATGCTTTGTTCTTCTCTTCAGCACATGCTTTCAAACCTTGAGCTGGGAAACCCGAGTTTGAAGAAGCCCAGTTTGTACCATTTCTTCTATCAAGATCCTCCAACGTACACTGTAGGGCTGTCTCGTAAATATCAACCATCATTCTTGTTTTCCTCGGCTTTATTCTATGCTTGATACTAACCTTTGGATTTTCTGTCCATTTGACTGTTGGCCCACCAGAAGAAAGACACTGATCGATATGGGCATTCAGTGTTGTGTTGGAAGAGGATGAAAACGTCTTGCACACCGGGCAGACTTTCGAAGCCATTGTTGTTTCCGATGCCGCAGAAGGGTTTGAAGACGAGTTCTCGTTTGGTTTTCGTTCGGCGATATTGTTCAACTTTAATACCAACCTGCACTTCTTTACCGAGTTTTGAGTATTGCTTTTTACAACCTTCTTTAGTGGCGTACGTTGAGATTCTTCAGCTACGGGAACTGAATTCAAATCAGAACAAGACGGGTGTTCTTTATCTTCTTCAGATCTACTCGAGTCGATATTCTGAACGTTCGAAGCTAACTTTTCGTCAACACTACGATTGTCCGACTCGGAAAGCTTCACATCAGAAACAAGTTTCTCGGTCGTTGGATTTCTCACTGAATCTAGAGATTGAAAAGGTGGCAGCACATCCTTCACTCCATACTTGAGACAAAGTTGAAGATTCTCCTGAGAAAACGGCCAGTTGTTCTCGATATCTTTTCCCCGTGTATCGAAAACATAGTCCCTGCATTAACAAAAAAAATTGCAAGTGCAGTGTGTGAAAACCAATAAAAACTGAAATTCAAGATAATCAAAGGCTGTCAACAGGCCTTCACACAAAGAAGAGCTCCTGGCAGAGGATTCAGCAGCAAATAAAATAAACACAAAGGATCAAGAAAATAATAAATAACAAAGGATAATAAATGGAAATTTCGATGAGGTTAAGGAAACCCCATGGTCATAAACAAGGATTCATCATGCTGCTTGGATCTGACCAACCAAGACAGAGAAAACCATGAAAATAAAACTCAACCTTTGATTTTTTTTTTATTTTTTTTTTTGTTGTACCTTATGGAAAACTTGGGGAGTGGGTTGTTGTGGTTGTCATCAAAGCTAGACTTGTTCAACAGATCTACTTCAACCTGGTTGTGATTATTCTTGTAAGAAGAATCTCTCTCATCTTCATCACTACTGATACTATAATTTTTCAGTTGTGGGATTTCACAATTATTATTACATGGGAGATCTAAAGGAGGAGGAGGGCTTTCAGTGGATAACATCTGCGATTACCGGAGTAACAGTACCACCACCACCACGGCGGCGGCTCAACTTTCAAGAAACAACACCTAATAAAGATCCCACCTTTTTGCTAATCTACTCATACGCCAGACCTGCAAAGAATGGATACATAAGATATATCAAGACAAGATTTAAACTACCCAGAAGTTTGAATGAAGGAAACATAAAAAAACCCAGACAGAAAACAGTAGATTCTTGACCAGTGCAAACGTTATTTTATGTGGTTGGGTGTATCTATATGTTTGAACAAGTAAAGATTCAATTTTTAGAGGAGGGAGATAGGTGTTGAGTAGTGATGAACAACCCCTTACTGCTCGTTATTTTATGTGGGGAAAAAAACCCAAGAAGGAAATTACATACAAAATTTGCTGGAGATTTTTTTTTTCTTTCAAGATGGGTCAAAACCAAATTCAAGAAAGAAATTGAATTCGTAATTTACTTGAAAGATTCCCCCAATTTGTTGACGAAAAATCAAATTGAGCTAAAAATCAAAATCATCGGTTGCAGAAAATCTAATGGGTAGGAGAGAGAGAAGAGATTGAATAAAGTCAGATTCTCATAAATAAATCTGCCGTTATAATCTGAGTGAACAGTAGAGAGATTAAGTGTAGCAAGATCCAGTATATACAGCAAAACACAAGACCAGATTTTTTTCCTTTAATTTCTTTCTTTCTTTGATTTTTATTACAAAAACAAAGGCTCCAGCAAAACTCCGACAAAGGATTACTCAACAGAAACTTCAAGAATCACCCATCAACTGTACATCATAAAATCACAAAAAGAAAAAAAAAATCACAAAATTTTCAAACAACCTGCAGCCCAATCTATATGTATGTATCCGTGTGTGAGAGAGGAAAAAAAGATAAGATGAAAACAAATGAAACACCACGAAAAAAAAAGCAAAATCAAAGGGGATCGAATGGAAGCAAAAAAAGTAAGACTGGTTCATGAAATGAAAACCCAGAAGAAAAATAATTGGCCGAATCAAATGGGACTGATACCTAAATGGTGTTGGGATAGAAAACAGCAGCAGTACTGAATGAGATAATAGCAAAGAGAAAAAGAAGAGAGAGATAGAGATACACAGAGGTAGAGAGAGAAATAAAGGAGATGATGAATTGTGTATGTATATACATACAGTATAGTTAGTAGTAGGAACGTACGATACACAGAGTAAGAAAGGGAAGAGACAAAACAGGCACCACCCACTCACACATCAAAAGTAGCATCAGGTTCCCCTCTGTGAATATGCAAGACCCAAGGGGTAATTTAATTTTTTTAAATAATAGAGGAGAGACAAATGAAATACTGAAGAAAATTTGTAGAGAGAGAAAGTAAGAGAGAGAGAGAGAGGTGTTGTGTTGTGTTGGTCTAGACAAAGCTGTCCTATCCTATACCTACTCTACAGTGGTTTTTTTCTTCCATTTGCCAAAAAAATAATAATATTTTATTCATTTTATTTATTTTTTAATTTAATTTTAATTAATTTTGCACCATGCATGTGTATGTGGGTTGTCTCGGTTCTGTCCTCGTCCTTTTGGTGAAATTACAGCAGACTGCGACGCTCCCCCTCCGCCCTCGCTACACGACAACATACCTTACCTTTTTTCCTCTTTTTTTAATTTAATTAATTTAATAGTAATAATAATGAAGAAGATAATTAGTACTAATTGATAAGCACTTAAAAACTAGTAATGCAATTAATTAAATTTTAGGAAGTTGGGTAAACTTCACCTAATACCCAACTTCCTAAACTTGAACCGTCTTGTTACATCATCATCATCTTTCATCATATATATATTCAATTCATTCATTGACTAATGACTATTATATATATAATTTATAGTATGATATGATATTATTAATGAAGGAATTGTCTGTCTGCCTTCACCTAATTAATATGATTATATTTTAAATAAGTAAATAAATAAAAGCAGTTCGGTTCATATTCTGAATTTTCATTAACAAACAAAAATGAATTTAGTTTTATTATCACTAACTGCATGCATGGAATGAAGTATAGATGGAGAGCAGCTGGCCTCCCTCAATTTCCATAAACAAATTATTTTAATTTTGAAACTTCTTGAAAAACTCTAGGAATATTTTATTTATTTATTTTTCTTGAAAAAGTAATATTTAATTCCTCTCCCACTAAATTCTATGGGATCGTGTCCTAGGCTAGACCAATACTAGATTGATAATGTACCTAATAAGATGATTATAAAGAAAAATGTTTTATAATTAAACTTCTCTATATTTACAAATCACACCTCAAGATGTTTCCAATAAAAGATGAACCAAAATATCGACTTTTGTGTAGCGAAATATGAACCGAAAAATGCACATCGTTTAAGAATGAAAAATATTGTTCATCGAGATATTATATATATATATATATATATTGACTTGACAAGAAAAAGTACTATTTGGTGAGCATGTTAATTACATATATAGCTATGTACTAATTGTTCGACTAGAGTTATTTGAAGGAAAATCGAGTGATCAGCCAATATCCTCATTTATCAAATATATATTTCTTTAGACTGTATTAGCTAGCTAGCTCATTAATATGTAATTTCAAGCTTAAGTTAATATCATATATGAATTAAAGTTTTCTACCTTTCTTCTACCAACAAAAGAGGAAAAAATAAAGTGCATGGGCTCTTTGTCAAATGATAATAAGAGGGAGGGTTGATTTGCAAATTATATAAGATTAATATTTAGTCTAATCGGGCAATAAAATAATGAAACAACTCCGGTCGGCTACAAATCTATATGCACGCCGTTCAACACGCAATGCTAAAAAGATGAAAGTTGAATTTAAATATTTAATGTTGATTATCTAGAATATATTATTTTGTAGTATAGTCCGTTCTCATGCCGTAGTTCTTAATTTAAACAAGAGATCGATTGTAAATTGAACTGAATAAATTATGTGCGACGAACTCAATCTAAAAAATATCTATAGGAAAACTCAAACTCCAATTATTAGACACAATGCTCTTTTATTCCAATCGAACTAAATCAGATTTGCGAACACACCTATTACATACAAGTGATTGAGATGCTACACTCGGGTGCATTGATGTTATGAAATTATAGGGGATGTTTGGTTATGCTTCTAATGAGATTTTATAGTTTTCAAATTTACTGATGGAAAAAAGTAGATGTATTGTTTTTTGTGTAAAAAATGAAAATATATTTGAATGAAGTAAATTTTTTTGTTCTATATAGATATGGAAGATGAGAATATGTTTGGTTGTGTGTTTTCTAAAAAAATACATGCAAAAGTAGAATATATATAATTGGATATAATTGCATAATTATGTGCATGCCAATAGTTCATAATCACCCGATATATATATTTCACCAGATGTACCATCAAATAAACCATTTACACGATAAATCCAGATCTCTCTCTCCCAATTGAGAGACCCCACTAAGCAATAAATTTCCATTGACGAATCATCATATTTAAGAAGAATCCCCTTCCTTCTACAATGACACAATTGAAAATTATTCTTATTATCTATTGTTGTTTTTTTCACATTGATATATATAATATATATTGTTTCTCATATATATTTAAGAAGAAACGTTCATTATGCACATGCTTGTGTAACATGTTTTATTACAAATTAAAACCATAAGTAATATATTGAAGTTGGAGTCATGTAAATAATTAAATATTTAAAAATATATATATATTATACTAATAATAAATAGGAGATTGCTAGAGAGATTTAACTTGGTTATGGGAGATGCATGGACACTTGTTTAGATTCAATGAATTCATAAAGTGTACACTATTTTGATCTCATCCAATTCATGAATCATGATATAACTTTTCAGCAAATAATATCTCATTTATATATATATATTATTGGATATTTCTTTAAATTGCATTTTCTCATTATGTTATTTTCCCAATTTGTGAAACAATATAAATTTATTGGATAGATTTTAGGAAAATTAACACAGCATGGAGGGCAAAATAGGAAATTGAAGTTTGGATGTTACTGTGGCTGACGTCATGGGGCCCACGGCAACAATAAACGTACGGATGTAAACGTGGCCTGATGGAGGCCAATTGGCTTCTGCCTCGTGTCCCACGCCATTATTCTTTTTCTTTTAATAATTTTATTTTTGTCCTTGTTGATATTTAAGAGCAAGTCGATTTGGGCCAGACGACTAAACTCGTAAAAGATCTTAATTTAGGCGATTGGACCATTTCCTAAAATGGGCCCAGTTGTTACCCGGGGTAAGCCGGCTCGTGAACTACTCGATTCGACAAAAAGAAATAGATCATCCCAATAAAATTATAATACTTCTCAAAAAAAGAAAACATATAATATATCGTAAATACAATAATAATAGAATAATTTATTAAAACAGTAAAAAAAATATGTACATTGACACTGAAAAATGTCGATTATGAATCACGTGAAGAAAGTAAAATAATAATGTTCAACACTTACTCGACGTGATTAATGATATAACATACAAAACTATTTCGATGTGCTTTTTTTTTTTCCGTTTTGAAACAGTAAATTGTGTTTCACAACACTATACCACACTCCGACGGTACAGATCGAATGACACGGTGACGTTAGTCGGTAGAGGCCGGGCCATTTTCATCACAACCGTTGGATCATCTACAGGCATGATACAGTTGTCACAGTTGACAGTACTGTCGACTGCTATTAGCATAGCAAAGTTACGTGTCATCTAATCCCAAAAGAACATATTCTCCATTCGAATCGAGAAGCTTTCCGAGAAACGTTCGTGTACAATATGTATTCTGCAGTGCCTCAAAAATGGTCTCCTCGCTCCTATTTTCGCACACGACCAGAGGACCTAAACACGTCGATATATTACTGTGCTAAGCGTTTGTTCTCAAAATGGTTTCCCGTAGTCCTGTGTTGGCTGCCCCCATGCCCCCAGGAGGCCTAAGAGAGAGAAAGAGAGTTAATACTTTAATACTCGATTGTAATATTCCGTAAAAGCATTATGTTTTTTGCTCATCAGAATCACATATAAATGCAATCTCAAAATACATGACGACCAAAAAGCGAAAAAAGATTGCTGCATTGTTCTTGCGGGCATGATAACGAACATGACACGATCTCCAATCCACAAGCTAATGCACAGAGCCAGAGATATTAGCGAATAGATGTATTTCTAACCTCACAAGAGATGTTCAATCAACATAGATGTCACCGAAATAAAATGTAGTTCATGTGTTGGGCAGATAAGTATCTATCTTAGAAATAAAAGCATAACTGAGAGTATTTCTCGTTAGTAATTCTTTTGAAAAGCCAACTGCAGTTCGCCTAGAGTATAAAGCTTTTACACATATTTGTACTGTAATAAACAGAAGATATACTCCACTCATCAAGAGAAGAAATGCAATTAAAGGAACCGAGGAAAGTGAAAATGAGTCATTAAACCAAAATAGAAGGCATACTTGTTGGTATTTCTCCCAGGGACATATAAATTGAGTCATCCTCACCAAGAATTCCCTGCAACAAAATATAAATTTAGTCGAATGTGGTTTAGCAAAGATAAAAATTATATTGAGTAATTGTAAGCATCGATTATACAAAATAAACCAGGATAATCAAATTACATAATAACTGAAATAAGTGTTAATTCCTACTTTTCAGAGGAAAATCATAATCTGAGTGTTCAATTAGGATTTTGAAATGAGGAAGATAAAAAAAAAAGTAAACGAAAAATATAAATTATTCGATTTTACGGTCAAAGAGGCATGGGGAGAGTGTCGTCAGCAATTGACTTTGTTACCTCTGCGTTAGGAAGACCTATATGATTGTGCAAAGAATTTAAGTCTGTAGGCACAGTACAGTTTGGGCTAACATTTCCAAGAAATTCTGATATCATTAATCCATATCCGTCCTGAGCATCGGAAATCCCGTCAGCACTTACATTATTAGCAAAGCCATCCAAGTCGGTGAATACAATATCTCCCCTGTATAACCAAAATATACGTGCATGTTAGTATTACAGAGAAAACAAGAAAAATAAAGCAGAAAGAAGTGATTATGACGTCAATATGGAGCTTTTTGCTTCGAGAAATACATAAAACTAACCTTCTGCCAGGATTACTGAAGGTATTGTCTTGGACAAAATCCTTCTCCAAATCAATAACCTCAATATCAATATCATGAACGCCATGCTTACCATTTTTATTAGGCAGATTGATGTTGCTACTAATAGACAAATCAACATCGATATGCGTTGCTATTTTTCCAGTTTGCGTATTAGATGGAAAAACGAGCATGGGATCAGCTTCATGATTCTCACTGACATCAGAAGTTCCAACAAGATTCAGGTCACATGTCTTAAATGATCCCGGAAATAGCTGTTTCTCTTCCATGAACTCTGACGAGTCAGCATGGTCTTTGGGAAATAATGTAATATCGAAACTTTTCTGTGAAGTGCTTGGCTCTTGCAACATTGGCTGATTTCCCATTGAGCTAGTACGAGGCAGGGGGCTATGAAATTGAGCTTCCGGCTGAGGAACCCATTGTTTAAGTTTTTTAAAATCCTCCTTATCATCAATGCTATAATCTATCGCCCGTTTTTGAACTCTATCCATAACCACGGAGTTGGAACTTCCAAACCCTGACAGCCCCTCTTCTGCTTGTTGCTCTTTATATACATCAGGAAAAACTTTCGGTGATTTCTCCAACTCAAGGCTTTTAAATTCATCGGTTTTAACATCAACGTCTAGGACATGAACACCAGAACTTTCTAAATGTTGTTTCTTGGAAAAGTCCACATTTTCATTCATAGGATCCTTTTCACCTTTTGAGCCCTTAACTGTCAATGACGAACGAGCTTTAGTGGGAACATTTACAAATTTACAGTGCTTTAATAAATCAGTATGGTCTTCCCTGACCTTAGTCTCATCATGCTTTTGTTGCAAATCATTATCATTTCTCCGATCTTTAACCATCTCAGCCTCATCATTAAACTTATTAGGATCATCAGCATCTACAGCTGATGGCAGATTCTTCTCCTTAGTCAAATTGCTAGCAATTGCACCGGCATCCTCCAATAAGGTAGATTTCTTCAAACCGGACTCTACATGAACTTCACCGTGAACTTCTTGAGTTATTTCACCAGGAGATAAATTCTGAATCTCACCATTACTGTCTGCCTCCATAGCTGGGGAAGCCCTAATCCTCTCAGACAATGATACACTTCTTCCCAATTCTCTGTTCACCTCCGACCCATAGTTCTTGAAGTCCCCTGTTCGTTTCCTTCCTCTAGTAAAGCTCCTTGAACCCATTGAACTATATTCATCAGAATACCTTCTCTTACCGGGTCCCACATCTGGAGCGGGATTTCCCAAGCGGGAATGAGCCGATGCACGGCTATCATTTTGCCACTTACCCGAAAGTGCATTTGAAGGCAGCACCCCTTTAGAAACCAAGTACTCAGCAGCCAGCCTACCAGCTTCCACAAAAACGTTAGAATCTTTCGAAGGAGGTGGTGGTGGCTGAAGCTGCTTGGAGTGACCACCAGCTCCATAACCACCGCGACTGAAGCTCCTATACTCGGAATTGTACATCCGACGACCTCTCACTGCTCCTCCAGGCGGAATTCTCGAGGCAGCGGCCACTCCTCCCATAGAGTTCGACCTGTATCCATTCCCAGGCCCATTTTGATGCTTCGCATGCATGTCTTCCAGATGTTCAGATATACTTTTTGCTGTATGTAGCCACTGAGGAATCTCCAACAAGATGCCTGTAATTCACCACATCTTTACATAATCAACAATGAGTAATGCACCTCAAAATTATTCCAAAACTTAAGCTAAATTCAAATCTTCATTATAATTTCATCAATCAGCCCCACAACAGGAGGTGCAGTGTACATTATACTGTCATTATCTCTCTTCTAACAACCAAATAAAGACAAGAATCATTGTGAAAAAAATAAGATTAATAAGAAAGCTGGTGGTACCAAAGCTAAACACCTCTTCTACGAACACAACAATCAAATATTTTTCTCAGGTATGCCTTAACTCCTTTTTTTGAATTTCTTTAGCCACACAGCTATTCAAATAGATCAACGAGAGCAAAAGATCAAGTTTGCAGATCCGGCAATTTCCGAACCTAAAAAAAAATCAAATTTCAGCTCGGCAGCGAGGGTTTACCTTAGTCAATTTGAGTGAAGTCCAGTCCAGAGCTGAATTCTAGGGTTTGTATATTTCAGATCCAGTTCTCATTAGTCATCATCACTTTCCAATTGCTGCAGCAACACACTCTGAATAAAATATCTTCACTCCATCAAAGAAAATAAATTCGTTGTCCAGCTAATGTAGAGAATGTGTGTGTAAAAACACACAGGAGTGGGTGTATGTATAATCCGGTAATTTTAAGCCAATTTTCCAGGCAATGGTCCAGGAATCAATTTAAATGTAACGATATACATGCGCTGTACGTATACATAGTTCTGATGCAGGTCATGTGAGAATGATTGCAGAGCGATGGGTGGTAGTGTAGTACTGGGAAGATTTGCAGACCGATGAAGGAATTAAAATCTCGAAGAACAAGGCAGAGGTTGGTTCAGTGTTAGTGAAAGGGGCGGTTCACAGATGAACAAGATCCACGCGCCTAACCACGTTTACTTGCACGTGCTGTAGTCCTTGAATCTTTTAGTCTCGACTGTTTTTCATTGGGGTGGATTCTCGTAGTCGCCCAATGGATTGTAAATTATTACCAAAATGCCAAATCCACCTTTTTTTGCTGGTTGTAAATTAATGGCAAATTACGTAAAAATCTCTTTTGTTTGAATAAATTATAATCGCTGTCCAATTATGTAACATCTTACACATCTACCCTTGTGTTAAATTTATCTACAGAAAAAAAAAAAAAAAAAATCGTAAGAAAATACATAATTAGAAGAGGTAGCTGTAATTATTCAAACCAAAAGGGTTTTTTCGTAGTTTTAACCTTACATCAGAGGTAAGCAAAATTTGCCCTAAATTTCTTTTTCTTCAATTTTTTTTTCAATCACCTCACTAGCTAAAAATTAAAACACTTTTTGATGAGTGGCAAACCCGACTATTTAAAATCGAGTATGATTTTGATTCGATAAGCAATCAAATCGACCCCGAACGTGAGCCCGAACCTATCAAACAGAAATATAGGTTCAAAGTTATGCTAATGAACCCAAAAAACCATGTCAAATTGAACATAAGTAATTTGATTTAATAAACACCAAAATTTGCATGTACTAATAATTGCTCTGGCACTATATCAAGAAGAATAAATAAAGAATGAGTCATAAAAAGTAGCAATCCCAGTAAAATAGCAGAGTTGTAAGAGAGTTATAAAATAGTATGTAGTATATTTAATATGTCCACTTCCTTTGGCACCAAGTTCAAAAAGTCAAAAAAGTCCTAAGAAAGATTTACATAGGCAATCGGCTCATGAGCTGATGATAAGCCGCTGAGGAGCCGAAGCCATTATCCCTCACAGGCTCCATTTCAGGTTCATCTTTAGGCTGCAGCATCTGATTATTCCCCAGATACCGATGACCTGGCAACCTGCCTGGGTTGTTTCCCCAACCACCTAACCCCATACTTCCAAAGCCAGAGCCGGGCCCAAAGCCCCGTGGCCTGCTTCCCGGTTGACCGAACGAAGCTGACGGAGGCCTTTCGAACCAGCCCCGGTTTTGAGACGGGTCGACCCGGTTCATATTATTATTCGAAACCGCAGGAGAATGTCGGGTACTAGCAAGTGAACCTGATCCTAAGGCATTCATTTGAACGCTGTTTCGAGCAGCGGGCACATCGTGGTTGTGCTTCCCCTCGTACGTTGTTATAACTGACTTCAGATCGTTACAAGCCCTCTCCACATGTTTCCGAACATTACAGCCTGCGCTCGTGCATTTGTAGTAACTCCTGCAAATCATATATCCCGAAAAATCAATCTCTTTTTGTTTTTATTAGAACAAACCCTCCTATACAAATATTCAGTTGTATTGCTTGAAAGCAATTTAAGCAATGACGAAGAGATTGATTACTAATTAACCTTGGATTTGGATTTCCTTTGACGACTTTCTGGCCATATTTTCGCCAACGGTATCCATCATCAAGAATGTCCACCTCACTGGTTGTTTGGACAACAACTCTCGGCTCCCTTATGGCTCTCGTTGCCCCCACATTCATCTCCGGTGCATAAGCTTCGATTTTCCTACATTACCATACAATCAGATAATATACATACCTATATCTATATGCATCAAATTATCTTCATAATTTATAAAAATAAAAATAAATAAAGAGTAAAAACCTTCTCTTCGAGTCCAACTCATCCCCTTCAGCATCATGAGTTGCACGCTCTTCCTCCACTTCCTCATCGTTCGTAAAAGGAGAAGCCCCATCCCCCGCCTCGTAATGGTGGGCCCCACTTTGAGTCTCAAGATTCTCCTGTTTCCAATCAGTTGGACCCACAACATCATTTCCATTTTGCATTGCCGACCATACAAGATCACCAACTTCACCACCACCACTACCAGGCTGCTGCTCCTCAGAGTCGATCTGCATATCACAACCGAGTGAGTTTGAGAAACCACCAATAATCGAGCGGCGATTGGGCGGAGGTTTCAGGTGGTTGTGGGTCCCCTTGTAGATAATCTCCGTAATGTGGCCTTCGTTGGATCGTTCCACTTTTTTCTTCACCGAACAATTCTGATCCGTGCACTTGTAGTAGCTTCGAGGAAACTCGCTCCCCTTCACTTGTTTCTGACCGTATTTTCTCCAGCTGTAGCCATCTTCGGATGCCCCCCCGCCAAGATGGGGATCTCCAGCAGAGCTCCGCAGATCTCCATCTTGATTTTGTTCATCCAACGGTGGAGAATGGTCTGCTGCCACAACGGAATTGTACGTCTGCTCATGTAAGAGATTGCTGCCTCCGTTGTTTTCGGTCTGCATTTTAGAAAAATCTGCCTGCTTAAACTGCTGAAACAGTTCGTCGTTGTTCTTGGATTGGCCGTTTGAAACAGCACCATCACTCGGAAATGACTGGAGCAAAACCATAAACGAATTTAGTTCAGCAATTATTATGAGAATAACAGATGTAGTAGAATGCATGTAATCCTAACGAACGGTCAACGAGAAAGTACATACTAAAGATTACCTAGCACGCAAAATATAAATGTTAGATTAATAAAACGACACGTGTGCAGAATGCAGACAGATACACGAAAGCGATTGAGCTTAATTACTTACTTTGTTTGTTGCATTAAAATACGAGAAAGAAGCAGATTCGGCGATAGGCTTGAATGTGAATGACGGGACATTACTTATGTTTTCAAAGTTGTTCTCCTTGTTCTTATCGGAATCGACCGCCATCAATTCAGAGCCAGGATTGTTTCCACTTGCAGCAAATTGAAATTGTCCAGTTGTCGGAGACGGAAGAAACTGCAAGAAACAAGAATCACAGCGAAGAAGCTTCATGAAGCATCACAGTAGAGAAAAAAAAAATCAAGATAAAGGAAATAGAAATCAAGAAAATTTAGAGCTACCAGCTCATTTCTCGGGAAACATAAGTAAATAGTAATGATATCTATCGTAATCCTCAACTAATATATTCTGTCACGTAGAATATTATAATAAATAACAATGAGCTTACCAGTGAATTTGTGAGGAAAACCGGAGAATCTAGCAGAGATGTTGGACTAAGACCAGGAGGAATAGTCAAATAAGGAGACTGAACTTCTTGTTTCTTAGAAAGGTCAGTGGTTCTGATCATACTTTCCGTATCTAATCTTGGGGCATTGAAACCAGCTCGAGCTGCGATCCTCTCCAATAGACCTCCCCGTGAGCTCGATCTTGGTTCGCCTACACCGTACGATTTGCTTGCTTCATCACCTCCTACACTAGCTTGAGTAACAACGTTTTCTTCGGGCCCTCTAAAAGGGGGCCCGCTGAATTCAAAAGCGGAGTTGGTGATTGGCTGTGTAATAGCAACATCATCACCCATTATCGATGAAAAAAAGCCTCTTGGACTAGGGTTCGGAGTCAGCATCCAATCTCCCATAACAGCAATATGATCATCAAACCCACCCATGTGATCAATTGTAGTCTCGTTTAATGGTATTCGCTACCTGAAGTAATCAGACATAAACGGAAAAAAAAAAAACAAAAAACAACAGCATATCAGATTACATAATTTGATTGTGCTGGAGATTTCTCCAATAACATTAAAGGAAGTTCATAACGGACACGCGTCGATTCATTCCATTACATCAAGCAAGATTGAAAGCTTTCGTGATGATAGATAGATTCTCCCTAATTAAAAAGAAGTCATGGATTCAAAATTCTCTCTTTTACTAACCCAAGGTCCATCTCCCGTTAGCACTATAAGGTTCGATAAAATATAAACCATAAATTGGAAGACAACAATTGCACGAATCCTTACAAAAATGTACATAGACTTTTTTGTTAACAACCTACACACCTACACAAATTCAAAATTCAACGAAAAAAAATCAACCCGACGATTTATGCGATTAAAACAATAATTAAGATGCAAAATCAATTAGTTACTGATCAGCCATTTCCCCAATCCCAAAAACCTTAATGCATGGACTCAATTGATGGACACCAATTAAAATTTAAATCAGATAATTCAATTGCCGAACCCATCAAGATCTAACCGAATAGAACACTAATGAAAAAGTGAAAACAACATGAAACCCCAAAAAGTGAAAAAAACACACCCAACTTTTTATGTGCATGGACCACCATACAGAAAAAAGAGGATACAACTCAAATTGAGAATCACAACAACATCAATGGCCCAGACATCGAATTCACCACAATTACACAAATGGCAAAAAGAAGAAAAAAAAAATCCAAGTACAAAAACTCAATCATTAGTGAGTAATGAGCCGAAATAAAAAAATAAATAAATAAAATAGAAGAAACACAGAGCAGAGCAGTGAAAAATTAAGAATGAAAGAGATCTTCTTTTTCTGACCTCGCCTCGGAATTAGTTTTATGCCCTGATGGGATTTTTGTTTCCGCGCAGCATGAGAAACACCCCCACCTCCCCTCTGTCTATTTTGCTGCTGTTTTCTCTCTCTCTCTCTCTACTTTCTTCTGTGTGTGTTCCCCTCTTTCTCTCTCTAGAAAATACCTTAGCAGTTAGTGAGAAATGAATTGATGATGAGATAAAACAAAAATAAAAATATCTTTTCAAACAAAAAATAATATTAATTCATAATTAATTACAAAAATGGGCAAAACAAGAGTGGGGTTTGTTTGGTGAGTTTACGGTTTTTTAAAGATCTTTTTGGAAAGAAAAGACAGTAGTAGTAGTGTACATGAGAAACCTTTCGCTCTGACAAAATACTGATTTAAGTAATTGTTTTTTCCTTTACTATAATTGTGTTAAATAAATGATTTAAATTTTAGAGGGGCAAATCGGGAATTTTTTTCACATCTGCCACTGACACGCCGCCATGTGGATAGAGAAGTTTGACCGGAAGAGAGAAAAAAAAAAAAGGGGAGTGTGTGTAATTAAATGGAAGGTAATTATTGGGTGGTTTTCAATAATTGGGAAAGCAATATAATTGCAGAGAATTCAATTTTATTTATTTATTTGGTAAGTGGTGAGGGGGGCGCAGGGGGGATTTGTAACGGCAGCGTTTAGTCATGTGTTCTGTGCTGTGCTGTGTAGGTGGTGTAGCACGTGTCCCTCAATTAACATATTTAATTCTTTATTTATTTAATTATTATATATTTCAATGTATTTATTATCTTTTAAAATATCAAATGTATATCATAAGATAATCTCAATAAATCAAATTGTGACTATTGAGTATTTCTTTTCAGATAATTTTGATTTATTATAGTTGATTATGAAAGTGTTGCTATATATCAAGCAATGTTATAATTCAAATTTTATTACCATAATTTATAAATACAAAATGGAAATTGTGTTAATTCCTAATCAAATTAGCCAAACTTTTTGCATGTCAACGGGCAATTTTCATATATGGTATATCTTTTATGTATGATTACTAAAATCTTAAATGACTATTATCATTATTAATTTATTATATGTCTTTTTAGAGAGTTTTTCTTGTCCCAAATTATTTGTCATTTTAGATTTTCAATGCATCATTAATTGCACTATTTTCAATTTTACCCTTTATAACTCCTAATTAGTTAGTTATAAAACAATTAATATCAAGGATATATTAGTATTTTCATATGTTTTTTACTATAATCTATACACATTTATTGATTTTCTTAATATGTGTCAAACAACCCAAAACGTCATTTAAATTGGGACGGAGGAAGCAATACTCATAAGAGATGTTATAAATGTCATTTCAATTTTAATAATACTGTTTTGGTTTTAAATATAATTTTGACCATTTTGTAGGCTGAGTTTTGAAAAACTCAAAATACAAAATTGTAGTTCTTTGCGTTACAATACAACTTGAATCACCAAGATTGTATTTTCCATTGAGAAATATATAAGTGTAACTCATCTATGCATAATTGTGTCACCTTAGATCGAATCTAACTGCTAACTGATTTAAATAGTATTAAAAAACTAACTCAAAAGACTACAATTTTCGAATTTTAATATTTTTTTAAATCAAACTAGAAAAAGCCCAGAATCATATTCGATGTCAAAACAATGTTAATCAAAAAAACGACATCTAACATTTAAGTATTCATAACTACAAAACTTTTAATTGTGACCCTAACGGTCCTCACTTTCAATTCAAGAGGCAAATGATTCTCTATATTGTCATCAAGGTCTTGTCCAATCATATACAAACCAAGAAATTAAATATATATTTTTTTTTTTCTTGAATTATAAGTGGTTACTATATATAAATATGTGTTGTGTATGCTTTTTCCTAACAAGCGTATTTTTTTGAACATTTCTAAAAGTCATTTTCAAAGTAATTATTTTGTTTGAATAGAACGCATTTAATGAAAAAAAAATTGCAATATATATCATCAAAACTTTACATAATTATGTAGTTTTAACTAAAAGAAAATAATAATAATAATAATAATAATAATAATAATAATTGAGTCCTTGCACTGAATTGTAGTTATTATACGGAGGACAAAATTTGTTAGACGGTTTTGCCTAGTAAACTGCTACAGCTACGCCCATGCTCATGTTTTCGGAGCACCCAAGAGTATAAAAATATAAAAGAAAAACAAAAATAAGAATTATTATTTTATTGTTGGGAAAGCGGTCCCACTCTTGCCACCTGTTAATATTAAGCGGCAAATTCACTTTCAACCCCTCAACAATTTCCTTATTATATGTTGACCCCTCAACAATTGCCTTATTATATGTTGCCCACTCAACTATGTGAATTTAAGCCCAACATTTTCAATCTTTTCATCATACAAACCTAAACTCTCGTATAACTGCTTTCGAATTATACAACAGACGTAAACCACACTCTACTGTGTTTGACAAACTTTACTAAACGACCGTTGGTCAGATAATTCGAACTTGAGTCAATTGATGCAAACTCACTTGCTCCAACTGATAAATCATCCCTTACGAAACGAGAATCACAATTATCATTAGCCGTATGAGTGTCCTAACGGACAAAAAAGAGAACCATGGTTCCATTACTTTTATTTAAGACCATTTATTTGGAATCATTTGCCTCCTATTTAATATTTTTATTCCCTCTCACCTACCTAATTTAGTTCTTGACTATTAAGTTTTATTGATTCATTTTATATGCCAAAAAAATGTGGATTCATATTATATACATCGTTTATTATTTTTATATTCGGACAGAATGTAGGATATAAATAAGGTAAAATTGATTTTATAATTTAACGTCGTTAACAAGTTTTGCATCTATAAAATATAGTAATCAATAGATATATTATTTATTTTTATTATATCCTCGAGACATAAAAAAAACTTCTTGGATTAGTGATGATTAAAGCTTTAGTTGGTGGATGTAATGATGTTTAGTAATCTAGTAAGAAATAATACAAAGTAGTACTTTGATGTGGCAAAAGAACATGCATAATATTGTTCGATCTTAATATTATTTTATATAACACACACATAAATTATATAATATATATGTAAAATAATAATATTATAATATAATGTAACAAGACGTTAAGACCCAGTCAAAGGCCCAATTAAGAAAAAACAGCAAGTAAGATAATGTGGCCCAATTTTGTACCAAATGAAAGTGTTCAAATTACAAAGAAAACAATAGCCCTAGACATGTTTTGAGGGATCATGAACTAACTCAATCCTTAGTGAAGTCAAACCGTTGACTCATCGATTATATATAGCAAGTGAATAAACGATATGAAGTATTGAACGTGCTCCAGAGTCGATGTCTCTGATCTTACAACGAAGATTTTAAATGATCGTTGGAGAAAAAGATAATAGACGACGGAGGTGCTACAGAAAGGGCGAAAAATTAGGATTGAGAGAACAATTTTAGATGACTGAATGAATGGTTAGGATTAGCCAATAAATAATAGGCCGCAAGATCACCGAGTTATGTTTTTCTTAAGTTTGGGCTGAATCTAGTATTGGGCTATACTCAGGATTAAAATTGGGGTTGGGCCCGGTCAGAAATATAGTATTTATCCTGGCCCGGCCCGGATAAGCAAATATGCATACTTTGTTGAAAGCCTGATTTCAGTGTTCAAACTATGACAATTTCTTGGAGCTTCTACTGCAATTTTATGCAGACTGGAGTTTTTTTTGAACACTGCAAAATTCACAGCATTGAATCATAGGTTTTTTCTGTTTAAGAAGAGCTTCACTTGAATTTACTAACAAAGGAAAAATTAAAAACTGATTTAGTAGTCTGGCAAGAAAAATTGAAGGTAGAAAAGCAGAAGCAAATCATGAACAAGGAAGGAAACAAAGATCACAAAAATTTCCTAAAAAAAAAGAAAAATTCCATATAATTTTGGCTTCTTCTCTCCGGCGTATTTTTATTTACAGTGCCAAAAAAATCCAGAATCAGCCTTCCCTTTCGTGTGATTCATCGATCACCGAATTCTTCACCGACATTCCGTCGAGTATGTCGCTCTCAGAATCGGCGTTGAGTTCCTTGAATTTCGCCATCACCTGAATCATCGTCGGCCGCCGGTACGGCTTGTCGTCGAGGCACTCGAACGCGATTTTCAGGTACCGGTACAGCTCGGCGTCGCCGGAGAGGCTGGTTATCAGATCCCGATCCAGTATCTCATGGCTCCTCTTCTCCCGCTGCAGCATCTTCGCCCACCCGACTAGGTTATTGTCGTCCCCGAACGACGCCGTATCGATCGGCCTCTTCCCGGACAGAAGCTCCAGGAGCACGACCCCGTAGCTGTACACGTCCCCCTTCGCCGTGCACCGGAAGCTCTGGTAGTACTCCGGCGGCACGTACCCCGGCGTCCCCGCGAGTGTGCTCACGCTCAGGTGCGTGTCGAGCGCGTTCACCAGCCTCGCCATCCCGAAATCCGAAACCCTAGCCTCGAAATTCTCGTCGAGAAGGACGTTGCTCGATTTCATATCCCGGTGGATTATGTGAGGGATGCAGCTGTGGTGGAGGAACGCCAGCCCTCTGGCCGACCCAATCGCGATCCGTTTGCGTGTTCCCCAATCGAGCCTCTCCTTCTCCTTCTCCTTGTCGTGAAGAACCGCCTCCAAGCTCCCCCATCTCATGTATTCATAAACAAGGAGCCTCTCATCCCCAATTCTACAGTAACCCAACAGAGGAACCAGGTTTCTGTGTTTGATCTTCCCAATCGTCTCCATCTCCGCCATGAATTCTCTGTCCCCCTGCCCCGTCACGTGAATCAGCTTCTTTATAGCCACCACGCTGCCGTCCTTGAGCTGAGCTTTGTACACGTCACCAAACCCGCCGGAGCCGATCAAACTGTCCGAGCTGAACCCATTAGTCGCCTCCAGTAAATGCGCGAACGTCAGCTTCCTCAGCGGCTTCTCGAACGTGGCTACATTTATGCTCAGAGGCTCAGCCACACTGGACAGCTTCCAACTACTGCTCCCGGAAGTCGGAAGGCTCTCGATGTACTTCTCCCTCTTCTCCTCCGTTTTCCGGCTCTTCTTCGCCATGTACAGAGCATAAACGAGCAACAACACACACGTCGTGGAAGCCATAATACCAATCACCATCCCCACAGCCATACTCTGCCTCTTCCCGTCTCTGTTCGACATGCTCGACGCACCACGGCCCCCATTGCGGGATCCACAGGCAGGCAAGGGGACCCCACAAAGCCCTGTGTTGTTCTCGTACCTCGCCGCCGGAAAAGTCGTCAGCTGTCCGCCGGAAGGAATGGGGCCCGATAGGTTGTTGTTCGAAACATCGAGATCGCTGAGAAACGAGAGCCCACCAAGCGAACCAGGAATGAATCCATGGAGATTATTGTGCGAAAGATCGAGTACTCCAACGCTTTTAAGCCCTCCGAATGCATACGGTATTTCTCCGCTTATATTATTATGCCCTAAATTCAGAACCTGTAGAAAACTCATTGACCCCAAGCTTTCGGGGATTATACCGGACAAGTGATTGTACGATAGATCGAGGAACATCATGCTTCCGTTGCTAGTAAAGGCGTAGACCGTCACACCGGAATAAATCCTGGTGGACTTGCAGGAATGGACCATCGGGAAATCCGCCAGGCTTTCGGCGCGAATCCCTTCGAATTCGACCAGCCCTCCGGCGCCTCTGCACTCTGTGCCGCCTTCGTTTCTGATAAAGGCGAATTGTTTGCCAGAGACAATTCCTGGTACTATGAGACCTGTCTGTGCTGCAAGCTCCGTAGGAACCGAACCTGTGAACTCGTTGCTGTTCAAATCCAGCCATATTAGGCTACTGCATTTGCCTATCCCTGGTGGAATTGGTCCACTTAGAGAGTTATTCCCCAACTGCAGAATAGCAAGATTGACGAGGTTACCGATATCCGAAGGGATTTCGCCAGAGAGATGATTGCTGGACAACGAAACCCAAATTAGATTCGTACAGTTGACAATGGACTTTGGTAATGACCCTGTTATGAAATTGTTGTTGAGAATCAGCATCTGGAGATTTCCGCCACCGTTGATGCAAATCCCTTCGGGTATCTCACCCGTCAAGTTGTTCGCCCACATGACTACGTCGGAAAGCTCCGGAAGGTTCCATATCTCCTTCGGGAGGGAGCCGTTTAGGTTGTTGAAGCTGAGGTCAATTGTTTTCAAGCTCTTGCACAGGCCAAGCTCTGGTGGGACCCATCCCGAGAGATCGTTGTTAGCCAGCAGAAGCTTTTCAAGAACCGAATTCGATGATGTTCTTGTGCAGAATTCGGAAGGTACATTTCCGGTGAGAATGTTGGAGCAGAGGTCAAGAACCTGGAGGTGCGTACAGTTGACCAACGAACGTGGAACGGGGCCTGTAATGTTGTTGAACGGGGCTGAGAGATACTTTAGACTTGTGAGAGAACTCACAACGGTGTCGAGAAAATTGCCCGTGAGCTGATTGTTACCGAGTTTTAGACTATAGAGTAAAGAACACGAGACGAATGTTGAAGGAAGACCACCGGTTAACTGGTTTGCAGAGAGATCGAGCTCCTCGAGTTTCGCACAAATTCCTCCCAGCTCTGATGGAATCTCGCCGAAGAATTCGTTGTGTGCCAAAACCAATTGCCTCAAACTCGTCATTTTTCCTAATAAGATACCCGGAATCTTGATGTGGATCGCGTTGTGGCTAACGTCGAGAGTTTCGAGGCTTTGGCAGTTGGATAAGCTGGATGGAAATCCGGTAGCAGAGAAACCATTGTGGGAGAGATTAAGTACAGAGAGATTCCCACAAACACCGAAATCGAAACCCGCAAGATTTCCGGTGAAGTTGTTGTTCGAAAGATCGAGAGCAGAGAGACTTCCGCAAGAGGAGAGAGAGATTTCCAGCTTTCCGGCGAGTTTATTGCTCGAGAAATTAAGCAGGTTCAAGTTCCGGCAATCGGAAAGAAGAAGAGAAGTCAATATGCCTAAATCGGAAATCTTGTTTGCAGAGAGGTCGAGTTGAGTGAGAGAAGGCCCGAACTTGAGAGGCGTCGAACTCGGGATTGAGTTGTGTGAGAGGTTCAGGTAAGCAAGTTTATTACAAGACACGAGCAGCGAATCCGCTGCGAGGGGCTCGGAGAAGCCATTGACGGACAAATCAAGAAACTCGAGGCTGCAAGAGCTGACGGTGGAAGTAAAGGAAAGATTCCCGGAGAAGAAATTGCCGCCGAGGAGAAGAGTGGTGAGGCCGGTCAGCCCCGCCGTCAGATCGGAGATGTGTAGGCGCCCTTTTAGGGCGGCGTTTGTTAAGTCGAGTTTGGTGATTTTGCCATTGTCGGAGCAGGAAACTCCATTAAAGGAGCACGGATTTGAAGAAGAAGATGCAGACCAGTTTTGCAAGAACCCTTTTGGGTCAGCTTCAATTGATGACTGTTTGAATGCTAATAAACTGCCAGCCTCGCCGCCGCCGCCTCCATTAATACTCGGTGCCGCAGACAAGCTTCCGACGAAGCAAAAATCCAGTACGAGGAACAGTGTTAGAAAAGCAGTCTCCCCCCACAGTAACGGTAATATCTTCCTTTCTCTGCTCTTCATATTTTTTCTGTAGGTTTTGTGTTCAATGTTTTCAGCTGCATAACATCAATTCTCTGCATAAATACTTCTCCTTCCTTTTTTTCTAAACCTTTCTTCCCTGAAAGCAAAATATAGGTAAGAAAAGATAAACAACTGATTCAAATTCAACAAACCAAATTAAATATATTTACCAAAAAAAAGAAAACCATACCTTTTGTTCAACAGCACCTCTTAGATAGTAGAGAGAGAAAGAGGAGAGAGAGAGAGAGAGAGAGAGACCAGGTGTTTATGTTTATGTTCTAGTAGGTAGGTACGATAAGATTGGGTAGAGTTGAGAATTTGGTTAAGGAAAGAGAGTACTATACTATACTATGTACGCAAGTATGAAATGACAAAGTACAGCAGCAGATATTCGAACACCACCACCACCACCACCACCACCACCAAGAACAGATAAAAAGGTTTTCTTGAGTTTTTTCTTGGCTTCTGGGTACGATGTTCAGAGTTTGTCGGCTATCACAGACAATTTGTGAACTCCATTAATATTACTATACTATACTATATATACTCCCTCTGTACTATATAAGTATATATCCATAACTCCAAATGAAAGAAACCCTCATCTCTTTGTACAGCTTTAATTTGTGCAATGTAAAAAGAAAAAAAAAAGGTGATAATAATAATAACAATAATAAATAATAATAATAATAAATTAATAAATAAATATTTAATCAAACAAATGACGAGTAGATTTTTCATGAAATGTTGTCTTTTGTTACACATTTTTTTAGGGTCCCAGTCAAACTTGGTATTTGATTCTTTTTTATTTCTTTTTTAATATGGGGGGTTTCTCTTCTTTTACGGGGAGGGCATCTACTTCTACGCCTTTCCGTGTTTATTTAATTCTAAAGGGGTATTTTTGTCATTTCCGCCCCAAGAGGATGACAATTTTGTTTAATTTTATTTCTTTTTTGGCTCTATTAGTTGTAGTAGTTGGGAATTGGGATTAATTTTATGGCAAGAAACAAAAAAAGAGGCAATTTCAGCTTTCACCCTCTTTTATTTCTTTCTTTCCTTTTCCTTTTTCCACTCTCTTTCATTCTACAGAGTCTTTGATTTAAATTTAATTCACTTTAAAGTCCGTGTCATTCTATTGTTTATACACGTGATGCTACTCTTACTACGAGTCTTGACCTTGCGGTTTAAGCAAGTGAGTTTTTTTGAGTTGACTCGTGCTCGAATTTCATTGCAATGGATGGCAGTTGGAGTTTGTGACACATGGCTCTCCTATCGGTGTACATATATGGTTGGATGTGAATTCCTTTATCACAATATATAAAAAAAAAAAAATAACCTCATTTCCTAATTTAATTATTTATTAAAGATTAAATATATTGTTTGAGTCCGGATTTAGCGCAGTGGCCACCTTTATGTTTATCTAATTGCAAAAAACTTCACTATTTTTCTATTATCAAATAAAAATCAAGATTCACAATAACTCGATCTATTTCTAGTTTCCACATGCTACGATTTTTTCAAACTATTCAACTCAAAAGTATTTGAATCATTATATTCCCCGCCCAGCTCCAATTTTAGTCAACTAAAGAGTCAACGAGTATGCCTTCAATTTCACTTCATGATCTTTGAACAAGAACATAAGCAAAGATCTGATCACTCATAATTTAAAATATTGTATATAAAATACATAAATAAAATATTTGAACACCAAAAAAAGAAAAATAAAAAAATTAACCAACCAATTAGAAGATCCCATCGAGAACACTATTAATTAGTAGGAGATCTGGCAAGAAAATTCAAACTCGTCGTTGGAGTAATAAATCTCGAGTCCGCCACCACTGTAAAAATAGTATAATTAAATCGAACTTTTGGCAATTCTCTATAGTTGCAGTGGGTGGGAAAATTAATAATAATAAAAAAATAAGAAATAAATAAATACTAATCCGTTTTATATTTAATTAATTAAACAAGAAGTCTTGGAAAGTGGGTGCGTTTAATATCTCCAAAACATGTCATTAGGCACGGGGCGCGGGACTTAGGGTTTGATGTTTTACTACTACTAATTACAAATTTACAATCATAAATATTCTCTCTCTCTCTCTCTCTACATGTGTATATATATATAAATATATACATACAAAGAAAAATGTATGTATAAATGTTGAAAGTTGTATATGAGTTGGGGCACACTTTGTCCGTATTGGACATTGGGCAACACACGCACGCACGAGTGAATCCTATTCTCTGTTGTACAGAGCTTTTTTTTCTCCCTTTTGTTAGATTCGCATTATTACGTCATCCAAAATTTAATTAAATCATTTACTTAAATTGGATTCTTTTTATAATAAAAATATTAATAAAGTAGAGAAGTCATTTTCGATACTGTGGTTAAGATGTAACGTCAAACGTAATTACAAATGATTATAAATGTAGGAAGTTTTGTCCCAATATGAAAACCGCGGAATCCTCGCAACTATAACTTGCTGATTTTTTGGACCCTCCTTTCTATTTTATTACATTTTGGCCCCCCTACATTTCAACCAACACCACACCAAGAGGGAAATAGTCAATGGGTCCTCCACCTCCATATTAATTATTATCACCAAAATATTCCAATATTCCATTTTAGTACACATAAAATTCCAACCATTTTGCTACTTGTTCACATTATAACAGGAAATAGATTCCTAACGAAATCGAAAAAATCTAACCCGAAACTGATAATTTCAAAAACTACCAAGAATAGCAAACACGAAACGTAGCATAAATAAAAGACAAGAACGATAAAAACGGACTTTTAAGGACCTAAACGACATCGTTTTACTTCAATAAGTTTATCTTATACCTTATACCGTATGTCGCATGTAACTTCCTCATTTAACCCGTTTTTATATTTTCTTCCACATTCGATCATCTTAGTTATTGTCTTGATCACTAGTAGGAATCCTCTTCGAAAGATCAAAATTGTCCTTCATCGTGGTAAGTAATACAACAATCCTTCATGATATTATCAATCAATTAAATCGAGAAGTTGTATGTATATGTATTAAGTGAGATGTCAGATGTGTACGATATTATAAAAATAACTTTTCGAAGATTGGAATCATGTGGATTATTTTTATGTTGTACCCAATGAAAGTTATACTGGATAAATTTTCTCTTAATCCACACACAAATGTGTGTGTGCGTGTATGTTTTCGTGCGTATATGAATGGTAAATATATACTCAATAACCAATTATAGTGTATAGTTAGTAAATTTTTAACTTGATGAATTTAATTTAAAAAAGAATAACAAAAATCAAAATGAAGGCTTTTCTACACACTCAACAATTGGACTTTCGACTTTCGCACTTTGAATTACAAGGCCTCACGAATTGAGGAAGTGGGCCCCAAATTCGGCCGCACGAGTGGAGGTGGGCCCGGCCTTATTTGACCTTAGCACGTTTCCGTTTTTCCAAAATCGTCAATAGATACGTGCGACGTGTCAAGTCGCTGAACCAAATTGGAGGTTTGGTATTATTATTATTATATATTAAATTTATATAAACCCCACTAATACGTGACCATAAAATAAAATATATGCGTTCCAATTAAATGTGTTTTTGAGTTATGACTTGTGTGTATATATTTATCTACAAACAAATAGTAAATACACTTGATATTATATTAATTATATTGAAATGTTAATCTGCTACACGTCCGATAACAATTTAGGACCATGCGTGCGTGCATGTCTATTGTTGTTGATTTATTTCATAGTAATTTTATGTTAATTAATTAAAGTTTAATCTCAATTTGTACCCTTAAATATGGCATTTTGGCAACTTACACCTTTGAAAAAATTAGTAGTATTTTGCATTCTTGAAATTCAATATATAAACTATTGACAATGCACCCACAATTGAATATTTCATCTCCAATGAGTTGGTTCCTTGTGGGCACCATCCGGGTCCGCTACCTTAACGGGCCGTTGAGTTATCATGATTTACATTCCTCCATCAATCCTTATCGGGCCAAGGGATGGGGGCCCTGGGGGCGAGGGATTTCGTCTTTTGCAACAATTGAATATTTCATATACTTAATAAAGGTAGTTTCCTTTTTTTTTTATTGATTTTTATTTATTTTTGGGCGTAAAATAAGAATATGTATTTAGACAAGATTCAATGAAATTAAGACTAGTGTTGAGAAATATGATTCGCGAAATCGGCTTTTTTCCACTGTAAATTCGACAAAGCTCTCAAATATACATTACGCCGTGCCGCTTTTGAACCTTGCCTTCTCAAATTTACATTAAGTCGTGCCGCTTTTGAACCTTGCTTTTGTATTGGATGTCTAAGAATGTACTTTAAAATCAGTCGATTAACTAAAGAAACTAGTAGTCTAATTCATAAGCTCTAAAAAAACTATTCGATTTAGTAAAAAATTAGTCATTTTAGAAAAAAAACTAATTCGACTAATAACAAATAAACCCAAACGAGAAAATAACAAAAATAGTCAACTAACTAATTAAAATATTAATAGACTTGTATTAATCGACTTGCTTTAAGTAGGGGTGACCATGCGCCGGAGATGATGAGTTTATCTCAAATAAAAATATTATAAGGGTATGTATTTTTAAGAGGTTATATATAGCACATAAATAAAAAAACGAATGTTTACCTCAAATAAAAATTGGTGTGAAGGGTATTTGTGGCAGTTGAAAAATAGAAGATAAAAACTTGTAGCGAACACGCTTTTAATATATTCTTTACCAAATATTTGGCACCTAACAACTAAATCGTGGTTTTGGGACCCTCACCCTCTTTTTAAAATTCATTTACTTTTGACAATTGTAACCGACCGAATTATAAGGGGTAACAGATCCAATATTAATCACTATGCGATAAATGATTTGATGCGATCAATTAGTCAAGTTCACTTTTGATTTCATCTTAGAATTTGGGGGAGAAAAAAAGGCATAACTTGAGTAAACTGGATGAGATGGAACTGTAGACAACGCAAACAAATGTAGCAGCTTTGATTGATTGCATGATTATGTGTTGACTTTGCATTGGTCGATTGTATATTTGATATATGAGATTATTGGACGTGAAAATATTTTTGGAGCCAAATATTGTTTTAAATTTTTCTTTTTTTGTAAAGAATGTTTAAAATATCACACCAAAATATTGTGTATGGTTTAGTAATTAATAACTATTGAAATACTAAAACATTTAAATATTCTATTTAAGTACTTTATTTTATTTATTCTTTCTATGTTTTCTCGCTACGTACCAAAATTATAATGATTGATCATCAACTGAAAATCGAATAACTTAAATGTATTTTTAATTTTTCTGGTGTGGGAGCCAAAATTCTAATGTGCCCTCACATGGGTTTTAAACCCTACCCCCACCCCTACCACCCTGAATTCTGAAAACAAATAATCAATCAGAATTCAATCATCTAATTATGGTAAAACGCTATAGGGTCTAGTTGATATAAAAAGGAGGGAAAAGGTGCTTTATGTGAAACTTTAAAATATGTAAGCTCGATTTTCAATAAAACATAACCATGGTTAACTTTTGGTTTTGCCTTTCTACTATACCAAGGTTGTATATGGTGGGAATTGGGTCCGAGGCGATTACGCGTTAATCGGTGTGGCGGTGATATTATTAATCGGCGATAAATCAGTTGTTTAAATTTATGTAATATACTTTTAGATATCATGATTTTAGACAACCTCCGTCTCGGAGACCGATTAATCGACTGATTTTTAGAACACTGCTTTCTACATAACCACTTTCATAACTTCTTACTATGGTTTCAGTTTAATTACAACAAGCTTTGAGGCCCATATTCGGCCCAAAGTATATTTGAGTCCAATTTTACTTCTACTTTCAGGTCGAATCAATTTAAATTGGGCTTTGGCCTTGTGCCCAATCAAATCAACTCGAGAGGGAACAACTGCAATTTAACCATATCAAAGGGACCAATCTGTAAATAACGTTTTAGTTTAGCCACACGTCACAGAAAATAAAGCAACGGCACACTGAACGAGGAGATGAGACTGAAGTTTCATTATTTCAGACAAATGTCAAATTGAAGGTTTTTTCTGTCTACTATATATATATATATTACACCTCAGTATCGCTAGTCTGTATAACCACTGCGGAAAGTGTTCCGGCGCCGCCGTTGGCCGTCTGTTAATTATCCCCTTCTTCTTCTTCTTCTTCTTCACCGGCAAAACCATGGGCTCGTTAGCAACCGCCGAAATTTGCGATTCAAGCATACCGCTCATAGCAAACGGCGATGTTCGGGTACTCTCGCCCATATTCAAGATCTACGGGCAGAGCCGGGCCTTCTCCGGCCCGATCGCCACCGTGAAGGTGTTCGAGGACAACGTGCTGGTTCGGGAGCTTCTGGAAACGAAAGGCGAGGGCAGGGTTCTGGTGGTTGACGGCGGAGGGAGCATGCGGTGCGCCCTCGTTGGCGGGAATTTGTGCCAGCTGGCACTGAACATGGGCTGGGCGGGGATAGTTGTGAACGGCGTGATAAGAGATGTGGATGAGATCAACGGCTGTGATATCGGGGTGAGGGCTTTGGCTTCGCACCCACAGAAATCGAACAAGAAGGGGCTCGGTGAGAAGCACGCGCCTGTTCATATCGGTGGGACTGTGATTCATGATGGCGAGTGGCTGTACGCGGATAGCGATGGTATTCTCATTTCCAAAACTGAGCTCTCTGTTTGATAAGGTTTTCTTTTTTTTTTTTCCGGTAATTAATTACTGGAACTATTATAATTTGCACTGCAGATAATAATTTGTAGTGCGTAGAATAAAACGATGTCGTTTGGGGTTTCTTATATCCTGGTTTAGTGGTGTAATCATGCTTTAAGTTACTTTTAAGGCTAATCACAAATTAATGTCTTTACATTTAAATTTAGCCTCAGAAAACATTTTAAAAAAGGGTAAATTACAAACACCCCCTGAGGTATGACCAAATTACAAAAACACCCCTCTTGTTTGGATAATTACAACCACCCCTCAACTCATCAAATTTAGTGGAATCTTCGAGATTATATGGAATATTATCACTTTTGTACCCGTTTTATCCCATTCAAACTCTACATTATGAAGCAAGATGACCATAATATGTAATTTTTAGCTTGTATATATCAGTTTGTGGTGCATCGAAAACTGTATTTTTTACACAAAGAGTTTAGTTTACTAAAGCACATTTCACGGAATCTAGATGACTATGTTGAATATGGCAACATAAAGGTAAGAAAAAATCATAGTTGAGGAGGTAGATGTAATTATCCAAACAAGAGGGGGGGTTTTGTAATTTAACCATACCTCAGGGGGGTGTTTGTAATTTACCCTTTTAAAAAATAATAATAATAAATAAATTAAATAAGAACTAACTGCAGTACATTTGTAATCTAGCAAGTGGAGTATTTACCTGGCTACCCTTCATTCAATTGAACATAAAACAGAATAAAATGATATGCAAACTACATAAGATTTCAGTACCGAGGCGAACGGATGAAGACAAAACTAACTGTACTATTCGTGACCATGGGGTTTGTTCTAATTGCAGCGACGAGATTTTGAAATCGCGGGGGCCAAATATACGCTGAAAGTGAAATAGGTAGCCGATAATAATATTACAATACTCAAAAAGCAATAACTCCTAAATATGAATTAGCTATCTTCTTCTTGATGACAAAAGAGACGATTGCGTTTAGATAAAACCAGTTCGACCGCCCCTGCGACTATTCCTGTCGTAAGCGGTGTTGAATTTCTCCACCAGCTCGTTCATTGTACTGCATAAAGAAATATGTCAGTGGATCGAGTGACATCAAGAAATCGATCTATTCAACTGTTGGAGCTAAGTGTGAATTAGTCAGTTATGGTTATATCAGGAGGTAGTTTTGAAAGAATCTTTAGTTCAAGAATCGAGAGTTCTTTGCAAGTATGTGGTGATAAGATATATTCAAATATGTTCATGCCACTCGAACATCTTTCTAAACAGCAGCACAAGACAGACTAAGGCACACTTGGACTAAATTTCCTCTACAGCACTTAATAGTTAATAATCAACTCTTTGGAAAAAGAAATAGTGAGTGGGATATAAGCTTAACAGCCGTACCTTGCGCAGTTGGTGAACATGGCAAGATATGATATCAACAACGTATCATTGTATTCCTGGAAAGCATACAAATCCGTGATCAGGAAAAAAAATTGAAAAAAATTGATATATGTATATTATTTCTCAGCTTTTGAGTAAGCTTATTAGAGGGGATATTATATTGCAAGAGTTGATAATAGAATAAAATCCTGGAATCTTACAGAAAATTAAAAAAATAATCAATCAAACACACTCACCATCAAGAAATCATCTTGAAATTTTTCAGATTCAATGGCAGGTAATCTTCGCAAGAGACTAGATACTTGCCTCAGCAATGAATTTTCATACGGAGTATCACCTGCAAGCATAAGCAAATAAATGAATAAGTTACGACACACAATTTCAATGCTAGTCGCATTTCATCTAATAAACTCGTTCAACATGCTTTAAATCTTAATTCTAGTTCTAAAAGAATGCCACGGACATCATTAGAAAGGCTAAACCTTAAACCTTGGGAATGATGAGAGAGAAATACAAATTAAAGCCACGAACCAATGAACATAACCATACTAAGGTAGGTAATTTAAAGCCTGTAATGTAAAGACTTCAAATTCCGGTTTTAATTTTTTTTTATTGGCTCTCATCCTCGACCGAAGAAATAGAAATAAATTATTTGTTACTTCAATAAATCCATGATGGAAGAAACAAAAATGAATATAATATACCTTTCTGCATGGCTAGAAGATAGTGATGAAGAACTCTAATTCTGCTATTCAGCATCTTGATGGCACTATGTATGCCCGTAAGATGAGCAGCCACTACAAAGAAAGGTCAGTTATAAGCATGCAGCTACGGTCACCAGAGTGCACAAAAATAGGGAACGGAGTATGAGGAGAATCAGAAAATCAATTCTAAATATTAGCAGAATAGAAAGGCTCACACTGAGTTGCAGCTGAACCTCCGTCAGATGGTTTAAGATGGGCAACATGATCGACTGATATTCTTTCAGCTTCTACTGTCTAGTAAGCATGTAAAAAGAAAGATTGCCTCAAATAGTTTCAACATTGTCTGAGGCGTGATTTAAAAAGTCGAGAAACAAAACGTACCTCTATGGTGTAGCTTGACTGAACAAAAATAAGCTGGGGGTTGCCATCAATGACATGCATCTCTGGAATGTTGGATGATAATTCGTTAATAGGAAAAGAAAAATGAGGAAAATTATAAACAGAGAACTAACAAATTCTGCTAATGAGGATTAGTAAAAGAACACTTAACAGTAGATCTGAGAATGCAGTTCAAGGTATGATTCGTGTATTTAGTCTATTACACACTTACTTTCGTAGAGAGTGTTAATTCTTAATTTAAAGATTGAGGATTATCAGCACATTCAGAAAGAACATATCATCCACATGCTGCTGAGATTCTCACACATTTTTAACACTTTGATATCTCTAGCTTATTATTTCAACACCGGGTAAAAGTATATGATTCACATCTGCCTACAAGCTCACAAGCTTAAAGGCGTTGATATGGCTATTTTTTGAGATAAGATGATATTATCCACATGGCTGCATATCACAAGTTTAAACACTTCTATATAGCTAGCCTCTTCAACAACATACACATTCAACTCCATTACCACTCTACTAGAGCATATCAGAAGAAGAAGAAGAATAGAAGGGTTTTTCAGAGAAAGCAATAAAACATAACAAAGAAAATTTGTGCATAAATGTCACGCAAAAAGAACAAAGTACGTCGGGCAACACTGTAAATTTATGTCTCATTGTTCAGAACTCAAGCACGTAAGATAGCAAAACACATCTGTGATACAATATTCTTCATTACCAACCATGGTATAGGTATGTTAACAATAAGCGAGGTAAATTTCATTGCAAGCTTTCGAGGGAATTCAGTGACAGTTGGATAACGAATACATACCACTTTCATAAATTGTAACAGGAAGATCTTTCTGTGCATGATTAATTGAAGGGTTGAGAAGAATAAAAACCGGGCTCTCGTTGATATCCATTAGCTGTAGACAAAAGAAAAATCTCATTAGTCAAGGGACACGTACAGATCTACTGTCAATGAAACACAATAAGATGAATGAAAAGTTTAATCAGCTTTTAAACAGTAAACTCGACTCCATCTTTTTTCGGTGCACATCATTGAATCAATATCCCAGATAACATGATTGCGGTACTGTTTTCATCGATTCTTATTTTGGGGAGTCCTTTAATAGTTAGGTGTATGCAGATATTACTTTGTAAATCGATAATGTAAACAACAATTCAGACACCTAAATTCTAAAGGCATGAATTAGCAAGAGGCGTGTTGCGGCACCACTGAAAGGACCTGCGTAAGTGAAAATTAATGCAATAGAAAACTAGAGATCAACGCTATCACTACGATTAGCAAGTGCTGGCGGTAACTAGCATGTATATCCACCGTAGAAATTCAAGTTCACTAGTTTGTCAATCAGAAATTGATCCATACATCAAATATAGTTACAGTAAAATTAAGAGCTCACAGCTTTATGAATGATCATATCTGATTCTTGCGCATCGCTCCCCGTCGAGTACCATCCCAGAACATAAAATTGCGGAAACACCTTCTTATCTGCTCACCACATCAAATATCAGTGTTTTGAATTTTTTAGCTACCCTCCACACACACACACACACACAAATTGAAGTAAGAAAAAAAAATTAAAGTAAGAAAAAAAAATTAAAGATACATACATAGTTCTTGCTTTTTCTCGATAAAAGCTCGGTCGAGTGAATTGGTGGAGGCGTCGTATAGAAGCTCGAAACTGTTGAAGATCTCGACGGTGCGGCCGCGCTGGACGCCGATGACGCATCCGAATACGCGAGGCGGAGGAGAAGGAGGGAGCGACGATGCTTCGACGTTGTTGTGGGCGGCGCAGTGAGCGGTGGCGGGAGGCGGAAGGGACTGAGACTTGACCCTAGTGTAGTGATCGGAGATGTTGACAATGACGAGTGGGTGGAGCTTGAACGTTAGGCCGCTGCTGGACGACGACGCCATCTCTCTCTGTATCCCTTTTGATTTGAATTGGTAATTCTCTGATTTGAAGAATTTTGAAGAGGAGGGTTTTACATCTGATTCCAATTTTCCCTTTTCCTCTGTATTTATTAAAAAAAAAAAAGAGAAAAAAAAATTCTGAATTGGTTAAGTTAAAAAGAGTCTCAGTCTCAGCCTAAACAAGTCTAGGGCCAAGTTGGCCCAAATTTAAACATAGATTCTAAAGGTCCAAATATAAATATAGATTTTAAAGGATTCTATAATATTTTTTAGAATTCTCTCTTCGTAAATATTTTGTAGAAATTCTTTCGGATGTTTGAGTGAACAATTTCCGGATGTTTAAGTGGAAAATTTCGAGCCGTTATATTAAATAGATATCCACTCTCTATTGAGGACACGACAAATATAAATGGGAGTAGGGACCTCATTTGTATCTTCGAAAATTCTCTATTCGTTTTTCATCACTTAGCATTTGCCGAGTACGAACAAGTGTGCGACATTTAGCCCATCACTTTATACATGATTGGAAAAATGTAATTCTCTGATTTGAAGACGAGGGTTTTACATCCGTTTTTTCATCACTTAGCATTTGTCGAGTACGAACAAGTGTGTGACATTTAGCCCATCACTTTATACATGATTGGAAAAAGGTAATTCTCTGATTTGAAGACTGAAGGTAATTCTCTGATTTGAAGACTGAATTTGGAAGATAAGGGTTTTACATCCGTTTCCAGTTTTCCCCTTTCCTTTTGTATCTCTGTTTTTTTTTTATTTAAAACAAATGGTCTTCTAAATACCCTGGCCTCGTTAAATTTGTGCTAATTGATACCTGGCTAGGTTTGGCCCAATTATTTATCAATTTTCCTTGGAGACGTCGAGTGGAGAAAAGAGTCGGACCAGATTTGGCCCAATTCTTTGTCAATTTTCCTTGGAGAAGTCGAGTGGAGGAATGAGTCTGTGATAGATCCGAGTGGGAAAAAAATGTAAATAGAGAGGGAGGAAAGAGTCTAAGATAGGTGCAGTGGGCAAAAAAAATAGAGATTAGGGCAAATAAAAATAGAGATTAGGGCAATGTTTGCAACCATTTCTATTTCGTTTTTATTGTTTCCGACAAACAAAATTGGATTTATTAAACTTTTTTACTTATTTTCTAAAAACAATTCCAAAATTCTCTCTGCTTCAGACGTGATGTGACTACTACTGTAAAATATTTTGACTGCTAAAATATGTCTTCACTAAAAAACAGATAAACATCACTCCGTCTTTTAATTTTTTTCTTCTAAAATATTTTTTTCTAACACTTTTAAACATGATTTGACTCCTACAGTGTATTTTGGAAGGAATAGAATACTTCCTTTGTAGTATTTTGTAGGAATTTTTTTGGGATGTTCTAAAATCTGAAATTCCAAAAAATCACAATTGATACAAAATTCGAAAAATCTCAAATTTAACTAATCGAACTCATGTTATAATATATGGGTGGTAAAAATGAAAAATTGGATTTCCTAATAAAGATATGTGTTCCGGATCGAGAGAGAAAATGTCGGATCAAATAGCAAATTTTGTTCCGACTTGCACTAGCTAGTAATTTTAAAACATCATGTTATGCTATTATGCAAATAAGCTAGCATATAAGTTAGGGATGACAACGGGTCGGTTATGGGTCGGGTTTGCCTAAAACCAAGACTCAACCCACGAAAAATATATAAACCCAAGACCCGCCCCAATCCAAACTCTAACTAAACGGTTCTGACCCGCCAGACCCGCTAGACCCGTTAACATACAAAAAATTTAATTTTTTTTTAACTTTTATAATATTTTGCTTGTATATTTTTACGTAATAATCTTAATACTAAAATACAATTATTTAAAAAAAACTCTACAAATGATATAACATGAACAATACAATTACAATTAATTATATTTAACTTCGATAATAAGTAAAATTCAAAATGCAAGACAATTAGCGGTGGTCGACAAGGGATAAATATTAATCATGAGAAATGAGATTCGAAAATAAAAGAGTGAAAATAGGTAAATGAGAATAGATATATATATATATATATATATACACACGGGTCGGTTCTGGGTCGGTTCCAATAAGACCCGTAACCCGACCCAGAACCATCCGGTTCTAGAAACTTAAACCAATTACCCGACCCAAAACCATTTAGCTGACCCAGATCCGCCCTAAATGAGTCGGTTTCGGGTCCAAGACCCGCCAAACCCGTACCCATTGCCATCCCTAAATTATAACTTAACTTTTAAATGCAGATGGACTAATCCAAATTAAGTAATGCTATGATTCAATCCAATTCAATCCAAATACAAGTGACATTAAATATTAGTAATCAAAATATACATGATGTTAATTTGAACTTGTTGGCAAAAAAAAAAAAAAATTAATAAAAGAAGAAGAAGAAAGAGGTTAGGTTATGTCTTACTCCATCTTGTTTAATATAATATACAGATTATCCAAATTAATGGTGAAGAGACGACGTCGTTAGGAGTTAAAGACTAATGAAAATGCCGCGTGCATGCAACATCCCCGTAATTTCTCCACCTCATAGACTTTCTATCTTACTTTTGATATTTTTTTAATCTATATAAAAAGATTGATTTGTTAGCCTCTCTCTATTTTTATATTATACAATTATTTGACTATATATATATATATATATATAATCCAGCTCAACTTTGCAAAGGGATGATCATTTTTGCTTTCAGTTGTTCGGTGTTTCCTCTTTCCAGAATATTTGCAGTGGTTACAACGTTAGTGTTTTCATTAATTGTTTTACCTAATTATTATTATCTTAACTAATTACATGATTTATGCATTTAATCTCATCTGCTAATCTTTGCAGCTGAGTTCTGACTGTTAGTTAAGGTCTTAAAACTAAGTCTCCTACTCGTGTATATATATATATATATTTCAAACATATTATATAGAGGAGAATTGAAGCATGGGTTCACTAGCAACTGCCGAAGCTTGTGATTCCAATGCAGCACTTGTCGCCAGCGGCGAAATCCGAGTTCTTCCGCCCATCTTCCGTATCTACGGGCGGCGGCGAGCCTTTTCCGGCCAGATTGTGACTCTCAAGGTGTTCGAGAACAACGTTCTGGTGAGGGAGCTTCTGGAGAGCGGCGGCGACGGCGGGGGTAGGGTTCTGGTGATGGACGGCGGGGGTAGCTTGAGGTGCGCCGTGTTCGGCGGAAGACTGTGCCAGCTGGCGGAGAGCAAGGGTTGGGCCGGAGTAGTTGTGAACGGATGCGTGCGAGATCTGGATGAGATTAACGGCTGCGATATCGGCGTTAGGGCGGTGGCGTCGAATCCCGTGAAACCAGGGAAAAAGGTCATCGCGGAGAAGCACGTGCAAATATGTATTGCAGGAACTGTGATTCGTGACGGAGAGTGGTTGTACGCCGACAGCGACGGCGTTCTCGTTTCCAGCGCTCGCCTCTCCGGCTAAGCAATGTTTGGATGCATTTCTTCGAAGTTCGAACCATATTTAATATTTATATATAATATATTTATTCATTTCGTGATTGTTTGTATTTTGAATTGTTCGTGGAGACGGAATATTTTATAGGGTAGACTTGTTGTTGGGTTGTTGGGTTGAAGTGAAGGCCCATTCCGTTACTAAAAGTGGGTATTTGTCACTTTTAGCCCAAGGCCCAACCTCGTAATTATATATACACATTTTGATTTATTATTTGCATTTTCATAAAAAAAATAAAAAATAATAATTGCCACTCTTCAGTATGTATGTACATGTTACTTTGGTATCTATATCTATACAAGAAAAAAGAAAGAAAATAATAATAAAAAAGAAAATACGGCAAACAAACACGCCCTAAAGTCTTATCACAAATTTGACACTGTTCCCATTTCCCAATAAGATTGCAGTATATGACTATATTCTGTATTGAATAACAAAACAAAACTATATATATAAATTATTTTTTTGACAGTCGAAAAAAACTATATATAATTCTGGACTTCCCCAATTCCACACCTCAATTTCTCTCTGAGCGATAATTCCCACCGTAAATTTAATTTCCTGTAAAACAAAATATTGGGAAAATAAGCGGTGTTCTTCAGCCGTAGATTCCCAAACTTCGGCCAGTATGGCGATGCGGGACTTGGTGAGCGGTGGCGCCGCCTGCGCGGTGCCGGGCTCTTCTTCTTCTTCTAACCCCCTCGGTGCTCTCGCCAACGCCCTGATTGGCTCATCCTCTAAAACTCAGGTTTTCCAGTCGTTTCAATTTTTATTTTTTTTAGAATTCGTTTTGTGAATTTAGTTTGCCCGTTTTATAGTGCTTAATTAATAATGACTGATTGAGCTTGACTGGAGATAACGGGTTACGTTTAATTCTCCTCTGGCGTTGCTCCTGGAAATTACTGAAGCATGTTTATTTAAGTTTTCATCATGCTAGAAATAGAGAAGAACACTTTGTTTTTTTCTGTGAGCGAATCTTATGTGTTCGAGCATGGATTGTGATAGATAGAGTTGCAGTTAGTGATTTGTGCCCTGAAATTACAGCCAACCAGTATTTCTTAATGATAAATTACAGCAATTCCCGGTTTTCAGTAACTTTATGTGCAATAGGGTGATGAAATGTCGAAATTAGGGTGGAGAAAGCAATATCAGGTTTTCAATTGTTTGGGTTTTTATCTTGTAATTCACACCCTTTTATTTTCTTCGTTTTTAATAATCAGTAACGTGACTCCTATTTTATTCAATAACCCTATTTCTTCGTTTTAAGAGTTCTTACTGTACTTTGTATTTTGTGCTGAATACTGAATATGCAACAAAAAATAATGGAAATCAACACATATATATTTCTGGTTTATTATCAATCAGGAACGGCTTCGTGAAATACCAACTGCAACGGCGACAACATCAGATGGCAATTTGTATGCAGGTGTGGGAGAGCCATTCACCGCCGCCCTTCCAGGTTCAGAGCTTGAACATGCACTATATCCTAATGCTCAGGTTTGTATTTTCCTTTCTCTTCTTTATAGCTGTTTCCTTATGGATCTATTAGATCAGTGCTTATATATCGATTCCTTTTCTAGGGTTCAGAATTCCTTCAAGGCTTCCGCTCCATGGATCAAAATAGATTTTCAGATGCCTGGGATGATATACAGAACCCTCAAAGTCATTTTATTCAGCCGATGAATGGTCCAACCAACTTTAATGGTAATTCTGGAAGTTCTTTATTGTTATCCTGGCTCGTTCCTCGTGTGTTTAGTCATTTTCTTTTCCATTTTGGTGCTGTCTTTTTTTTTTGTTGATCAATATGACATTTTCTCCAATCTCCAGATAATGCATAAACGAAGCATTTTCCTTCTAAAGATCTCAATGATATAATGATTAATTCATCTACAGTTTTTTTATCCATCTAAAATATATCAAACGAAGAACTCAGAAACCCCCACATTCTGTCGAGTTTAAGAATGATTGAAGAGTCTCGCACTTTTGGTGAAGGTAAAATATATGGAAACTATAAACGAATAGACACAGAAAAGAAAAAGACCGAGAAATTTCTATTGCATGTTGTGGTTTAGTACTCGTTGAATAATAAATGGAAACAAAATTGGAGGAGTTCAATACTAGGAGTTTTCCTTGCACTAACTTCAGCCAGTGTTGAGAATCTTGGGTTGTCCATTGGCAACAACAGAAAATCAAAAGGATTTTCCCTCTTGTAAGGAACTTGAACTGTCTGACCACATGCAAGTTAGACTTCAGTTCATTTGTTGAATTTGGGAAACCAATTTGACATGCAATGTTTCATTTGCATGCAATCTGATTTCTCTGTATTTGTTGATTGGCAATCTAATCGGGGTGCTCTGCTAAGTGCAGGTCCTTCTATGATATCGGCTTCACTTTTGATGCAAGCTACTCTTACGTGTGTGTGTATATATATATTTATGAGCCTCTGCATTCCTGACAAGCTATTTTAATACTAATGTTTCAGGGCCACCTCAAAGAGTGTTGTCAAATTTTTTGCACTCATTCCTTCACAGCGGCCAAGGTAGCGCACCTTTTGGTCCAACTTCACTACCAGTTTTAGGATTATCTGAAGGCGACAAGCAATGCATACGTGATCGTAGCAGTATTATGGCTCGGCATCTTTTTGCTGACAAGAGTGAAGACTTTATTCATGCACAGGTTCCATTATATTCTCAAAGCTGCAAGTGCCTATCTCATATGATTATCATTTTTCACTTTAGCAGTGTTTGCATTATGCCCAAGACAATACTGCTATCATTTATGTACAAACATTCTCCCCGGGGACTATTATAACCTATTTTAGCCACAGTTCTTCGACCAATATGAGTTGTCGGATAAAAACAAGGGGACTTGGTCTTTGACTTATACCAGTTTCCAATCACACTTGCACTGTATCTTTCTGCCTATGGCGATATATCAACATTCTTAAAGAGATGGGCTTACAGTTTATCATTTAAAATATATTAGCTTTGCAGTTTATCTGGTCTTTTTCTTCTTCTTCTTCTTTCAGAGGGTCTGTCTGCAATATTGCATTATATAGAATTTTATTTCGCCTTTTCAGGTTAACGCCCTTTTATCGTCTTTAGATATTGATGGTGATATCCGGGCTAGAGGCCCTATTCCTGGGAGATCTCCGGAGTTGGAAGATTATTGGAATGAGTCTCAAGGTATGAAACCTGGACCTCATGGTGCAGATGGATGGGTATCTGAATTCACTCAACACCAAGTACCTCGTGATGATCCAAATATGTGGATTCAGTCATTTGAACGACAACATGGTGCAAATGGTTGGGCATCTGAATTTGAGCATGTAAGGAAGTGTTTCTTGCATTTTATTTTGCCGAGTTGAATAATAAACAATTTAATTAATGATCAAGATGATAATTGGAAGTTATTGGATATATATTCGCCTATGTTGTAATTTCTGATAAGTATTAAGAATTCTAGATTTATTATTTTTCACGTTTCAACTATATTATCTGGGTAAGTAACTTTTCATGCATCAGCTTGTTGGGTTAACTGTGTGGAAACATCTCTCGGTAGTCTTTATTACATGAAATGTAGACTTCTAATTTCTATGTAACACTTGTCAAATCTCAAACAAGCAGAAAATAAACCAGTGGCACACATCTCTTATCTCTTGGGTCATTAAGTAAACTTATTGCCCTTTGAAGAACACTATTTGTCTAGCCGTGTTAACTTATTTTCTTGCGGGAAGACAAAAGTGACTGTACAATCCTTCTTGTCAAACAAACTGAGAATGTATGCGTTTGTGAGCCTTTTTATTTCTTATGGAAAGACCGAGGCATGGTATGTCCCAGTTGTTTTTGCTGAATAGAATAGTTTTCTATAGAAAAACAAATACTATACTTCTATTTTCCTCCCTCCATAGTAATTCTCTTCTAAATTTTCAGGAGCAATCCCAACTTGTTTCAGTTGATCAAATGAGAGGTTCAAATATACCCAGCTTAGCTGCAATGGAGCAGACTCGCATGTTAGCGCACACACTAGCTCAAAACAATGATCCAAAGTTTCAGGTGATATTTTACGTGCTTCTTTATTCAGTAGTTTATTTCATAATTCATTTTCCTTGGGTGATCAACACATTGGACTAATACATTTGGAATTAGACTCCTTAATGCGATGCTTAGGGAAACAGTAGCACTACACTAGATTGACAACAACCAAGTTACTGATCTAGCTTAAAAAGGAGATCACACTTCTCCTAGGTTACCCAAATCTGATGATTAACATTTCTACTTAAGTCATGTTAGACTGTTAACTTCAAATATATGTGAGAAGATGATCTTGAGCAAATAACATATCTGTATACATGAAGATCCTTGCTTCTTGTACTGTGAGTTTTTCCTAATACTTACACTAATATTTTTCGCCAAATAGAATTCAAAATTCCTCCAGTTTGTTTCAAAGATGAGCCGTGGTGAAATTGGTATTGAGGATAATCAATTCAAGCCAGCTGCTTTTTCTGCACCTGGAAACTGGGCAACAGAATATGAGCAACAGTACAGCGGGGGGAGGTCATGGGCTGACCAATTTAGTAATGAACAGGCAAGTACAGAAAGACCTTGTGCAGTAGCACCATTTAAGATTACTTTTCTTGATGTTTATTCGAATTCTTAAATTGCAAGTGTCATCTTCATTTTTTTATTGTTAAGTTTGTTAAAATCTCCTAACTGATAATAAGACAAAAAAAATATTCCAAATTTCTCAACGTGGGTGTAACTTTCTGTTTACGAGATTGCTTGTAAGCAAGTTACATGTCTGAGGTGTTGGACTCTTTCTTCTATATTCAGCTTTCGCATGGACCCCATGGATGGGCGAATGAATTTGCTGCTGAACGCGAGCTACATGGAGGCACAGAGAACGAGTGGGTGAATGAATTTTCGAAATTAAATGTCAACGACTGGTCAGAGGAATTCGAGCGTCAGGTTGCTGATGGAGTACTGGGTGATGGTTCTGCTGATAATTGGGCAAATGCATATGACGAGTAAGTTCAGTATTTTCTAGAATTTGAGTAATATAGTTGTCATATCTGTACTTCGTCTAGATTAAAGCGTTTTATTTTATTTTAGTTCGGATAGTATTTTTCTTCCATCTCCTCTTTTGGGAGATATTTCCCACAAACTTCCTATATGATTTATTTGAGACTGCTTCTGTTATGTCATTACATAGATGATTTAACATGTCGGACATTTTTTTTAATTGAATTGCAAATATTTTGTTTTGTAAGCTTTATAAAAAACTGACACATGCTCATGATCACATTGCATGGAATAGTTTACATTTGTAGGTCTTCAACTTCCTTCAAAAGCAACACTTTCAATGTTTTAGTTGTGATGGCCCATGAATATGAAATTTATACTTGGTTGTATCTTCTATGTATGATACATCCATGTCCTCTTTAATAACGTATAATGTAGACTGACTTTTTGCTGAGCTGGATCATTTATATTTAACTTCTATATATAAATTAGTTGCATCAGTAAAATCCTTTTTTTTATGAGCAGATATCTAGATGAACAGGCCTCACTAAAGCAGAAATCAGATTCATCGAGGGGGGTATATGTTTTCTCCGATCTAAATCCTTATGTGGGCCATCCTAATCCTTTGAAGGAAGGGCAGGAACTCTTTCGAAGGGGGCTTTTAAGTGAAGCTGTTCTTGCTCTGGAGGCTGAGGTCTTGAAGAATCCTGACAATTCTGAGGGCTGGAGGTTACTTGGTGTAGCTCATGCAGAGAATGATGATGATCAACAGGTTGAAATAATAACTTTTATTTATTATTATTAGTTTTTTTAAATATGTCATTGAGATTGTAAGATAATTAAAAACTCTCTAGTTTCAACTTTATTTTACATTTAGAATTGTAATTTGAACTTTGATTTCTGCTGTTCATATAGCATACTTAAGGTAATGTGCTTTTATCAGGCAATTGCAGCTATGATGCGTGCACAGGAGGTTGATCCGGCAAACTTGGAAGTTCTTCTTGCTCTTGGTGTGAGTCATACAAATGGTTAGTAGTTACAGAATCAAAGTTCAATTGAAAAAAGCTGTTGTGTTTCCGGTAAATTGTAATAATATGTTCACACAACATTATGTATATGTATCACTCTCTGGCCTCTATAGATCTTATTTTCAAATGGTCTACATGATGTCATGTTCGTATCATATTTTGGCTCTGAAAACTTCCTCTCTCTGTACTATTTTAGAGTCATAAATAACACATGGAAAAAGATCATTCATTTTTTTTCCCCATAAAATTTCCAGAGTTGGAACAAGCAGCTGCACTAAAGTACTTGTACAGTTGGCTACGCCAGCATCCTAAATATGGTGCCATTGCCTCTCCAGATCAGCCTGAGAATCTTTACTATGCTGATGTAAGTGTCGTTTTGGACTGCAACACACACACACACACATACACACACACCCCATTTGTACATGCATGAATCATTGCTTAATATTGACTGATCCGATGCCGTTCGTTGTGCTTTTGTCCTTGTTAAAAATCTCGATGGAGAGATTTATTCTTGTGTATTTGTACGTGGTGGTGCAGGTGGCTAGGTTATACAACGATGCAGCTAAACTGTCACCTGATGATGCTGATGTTCACATAGTTCTTGGAGTTTTGTATAACTTATCTAGGGAATATGATAAAGCTATTGAAGCTTTTCAGACAGCTTTGAAACTTAAACCACGAGATTATTCTCTCTGGAATAAGCTTGGTGCAACACAAGCTAATAGCGTCCAGAGTGCTGATGCAATTTTAGCTTATCAACAGGTAATTAATGTTGCTATATTTTAATCCTTTTTTTTTAATGCTAATGTAGAGGTGAATATTTGACCAGATGTTGGACCAGCCTGATTCTTTCTTCAGATGTTTTAAGTATATTCGTTCGGTTTCAGGCTCTAGATTTAAAGCCTAACTACGTGCGTGCATGGGCGAACATGGGCATCAGTTACGCCAACCAGGTACCACCTAACAGTTGATTCAAGCAATTTATGGTTATTAAAGAAATTACGATGATGTAATCATTATTTGTCGGAGAAAACGGGGGTATGTGACAGAAATGCTATTAGTAGAATAAATTGGATGTGCTATAACTTCGAAATTTCAATCTTAATGAAATAAACTAGACACTCGATGCATGTACATGAATTTTTGTTATCCGTATCACTCAGACAAAACTGATGTTGTAGAATCTGATCATCAAAACATGACCTATGCTCAGGGTATGTATGAGGATTCTATTCGTTACTATGTCCGAGCACTAGCGATGAACCCAAAGGCAGACAATGCCTGGCAATATTTGAGAATTTCTTTGAGGTAAGTAAACTTACGTAACCGTATTAATTAGTCTGCTATTGTTGCCCTTTTATATGAATTTCACTGGCCCTTTTTTTCTTCAGCTGCGCATCACGGAACGACATGCTAGAAGCTTGTGACTCGAGGAATCTTGATTTTCTGCAGAAAGAGTTTCCCCTGTGATATAAATCCGACGAACATATTGCTTGCAAAGGCTTATCCTGGATAATTTTATCGTCTCCATCATACGTCTCTGCTTCACAATACGTTTCCACCTCCTAAAGATAAACTGTGATGTAGACGGTTTTCACGTTAAAATGCAAATCTTTAAAGATTGTATATTGAAGAATTGACGAATATGGTCAATATGTTGTACCATCAGATGAATTACACAATAAAAAGGAATTGTAAATGCTCCTAAAACATCTTGATTTATTTGCAATAATAATTTATTTTTTTTCGCTGAAAAAAGAATTTGTTAAACTGGAAAGAGAATCTTGAAATACTATTAAAATAGATTTGAAGCTGTTGATCCAAGTATTTAATGATTTTAGGACCCGAGTGGAAAACAATTGTTTCTCTCTCTAAATCATTCGAGTAGGGTTAGGTCATGATGGGAAATAAATACTAGTACCAACAACAAAAGCTAGCAAATTTAAGTTATGCCCTCTACCACTACTACCTTTTCTTTTTCCTTTTTTTAGATGCTACACCCGATTATTTACACTGAGTTATTGTTAATCTTAGATGTGCGCGCAATCGCACATACAACTATGTACAATTGTGCTTAGTGAAAGATTATTTAACCACATTTACGATTAACAAACATCAAATGTAAATAAACAGGTGTAAATATTATGGGTCCGCTCGCGGGTCCATTGGATTATATTACAATGCATGCAATAATGCAAAGAAAAATAGCATTAATTGATATATTAAAATATAGTGTGGTGATGATGAGGCAAAGATGGGATTTAGAGTAAGAGGATTAGTATTGAGTAGAAATGAATGATTGATGTAAGAAGGGGGAAGGTGTTTTGATTGACACATACTAGTAATTGTTTTGACGAGAGGGTATGTTACGTTGTTGTTTGTTCTTCTGTTTGGCCTTTCCATATATCAGTGCCTATATATATAGCTATACCACCCTACACACGAAATGTTTTCCTCTTTATTTAATTTTTATTTATTTATATATAAATTAAATTAAAATGTGTACGTATAGGTTGCTTCTTCCTTTTTTCTCCTTTCACTTTGGATCTATCGTTTCCACAGTAGCTAGATTGAATGATTGATTCAATATGTCTTTCTAATTTTTATGTCTTTTTATCCCCCCTTGTCAAAGAAACACTGTTCAATCAAATGTTATATTATCCCTTTCTTTCACACGTGTGTGTAGTTCAATTGAGTATGAAAAATAACCCACTTTATATGCTCTACGATCAATTTTAATGTAGTGTGTATATATAATTATATATTATCAAGATCAGACATTGAATATTTCTTTGATTCTAGTTACTTACAAAAAAATTAAAAAAAAAAAATAAAAAAAATATGTCAATCTTATCAAGTTGAATTTCTTTATGAATTGTTCGGACAACCTTCAAATATACTCCTTACATTTCATAATAATTGTCGTTCTTAAAAATATTTTGGTTCCATGTTATCTATTATTTTAGATTTTCAACAATGCATTAAGTAGATTGTTTCTATTTTGACCTTATTAATTCAACTATAGGAATTAGATCTCTCTTATTACATCATAAAATGAGCAAGGTTATTTTAATCTTTTTAATAATTTTTTTTAAATCAAGACATGTTTATTGAGATACTTAATACTCGTACAAGGCTGAAAAACGACAATTAATATTAGAAAAAAAAAAAAGGAATTTAAGACAATTCTTCAAATTTGAATGTCCTCTACAACCTCCTCCATTTGCTTCTCGGTGTCAAACTATGTAATAAGAGCAACTCCAATGGTAGGTATTAAAATGAGGCATCTAAACCCTTAATTGATGCTTGAAATAATACTTTGGTACTTCGAAAAAACTTATATACTCCAACCCGTAGGAATCAAATAAATTATTTTATTTTTAAATATGTATTAAACATAAATTAATAGATTTATTTGGTCCCTATTCCATAGGAATTTGTTAGAAAATTTATATTTTTTACGTTGAAATTGCAGTTCCTAATTTCTAGGAATATTTGATACTTGTTTTCTTTGGGTGCATTTTTGCACCTCTAGGATATAAAGTATCAAAAAAACTACCCCTTTGATGCTTCCGTTGGAGAAGAAATTTTAAGTTTTGGGAATCAAAATGGAAGTTTTATCATATAATACTCCATTTGATTCCCCCGTTGGAGTTGCTCTAAATAACTATGCCATAAATATAAACCTCGGCCATTAACTATTTCTCTTTTTATTCCTCTCTTGATTGATTAATGTAAGTTGAGAAGGAAAAGAAGATTAAAAATAACAAAAATAAAATAAAATGAAAAGTAAGAACCCCTAACTTATAAAATTAGTTATTTAATTATATAATAGAAGAAATGCAGGAAAAAATGCAAGAACACATTAAGCTAAAAAGAAGTTGACAACAGACAACATTAGTTAGTAGTAAGTATCTAGGAGGCATCGTCCAAAATTTTGCCACGCAAATTATGCCTTTGTTGTCTCCCTCAAACATACAATAATTTGGTACACTCCCACATACTTATATATTATATTATATTAAATAACATTTAATTTATTGTTTTGAGTAGTGATTTTTTTAATTGAAGAGAAATGAAGATAAAGGATCATAGAAGATGCCCCCATTAACCAATAAATTAATATACATGTATACTTTATATAAGTGATCGGAAGAATATCCTAATTCCATCCAAATCAATTAATATTATACACAGTCTTGTTTTGTTTTGATTTAATTTAATTAATAAACACCATTGAGCTTTGAGAGAGACTTTTTATAATTTATATAAATGCATTAATAATAAATTGGTAAAGTGACAAGTAGTTAATGTCAACTAGCTAGTTTAATCAGCTAGATTCCACAAGTGTGTGTGTAAATCTTTGTCATTATTATATATCATGTGACTTTTCAATTATTAATTAATTAAAAGTATGGGATTTTCTTAAAGGGCACAAATTTAGAGACAATTTTGAGGAAGCATGGATCTCGGATTTCCCACCTTTTGTTTCATTTTTTGCTCTAGATTCCTTTTTCTTTCAACTGATTCCCCATGTCAAATAACATGCAATACCAGAATAAATTTTAACACACATATATATATATATGGGGGCAAATTACGGCCACCCTTAATGTGGTGAAATTACGAAAACTTTCCTCCTCTTTCGGTAATTACAGCCCCCTCGACTATATATTATCTTACGAAAATACACCTCCAGAAGTAAATTTAGGGATGTTAAATTGTCAAAACCAAATCGAAATTTTTGTACGCCAACATTTCATACCGTTTACCGAACTGAAAATACGATTTGATTCGATAAATAACCAAATTATATAAATTTTATGTAAAAATATTTAAAAAGAGGAGGGTGGCTGTAATTATCCAAACAGGAGGGATTTTTTTTGTAATTTGGTAATAACTTAGAGGTGGCCGTAATTTGCCCCAACATATATAATTGGTCATATGGACTAAAGTAATTACTCTAAGAGAGGTGACAAATAAATGATCACTTTAATTGGATCTAATAATTGATTTTGATTATATATATATATATATATATATATATATATATATAATTGAAAAGAAAAAAAGAATAAATTCCATATATGATATATGATATAGTGGGGATGCGTGGGGTGTCAGGAAACTAATATGTATAGCAAGAAAGGAAAGCAATGGTATAATGCGCGCAGAGGTGTTGCGTGGGCGTCACCAAATTAATACTGCATGCTTATAACCATCTTATCACTACTACTACTACTAAACTTGTTACACTCATCAATCATCATACAAAACCCTATTCTCTCTCTCTCTCTCTCTCTCTCTCTCTCTCTCCTCTCTCTCTCTCTCACACACACACACACACACACATATCTCGGCAGAAGCATTATATATATATATTGCATGATATTCCACTGAATAACAAGATTTCAGGATCTTTCTTTTACCTGTTAAGGAGCTGTTAACTGCACAGGTTTTTCTCATCACTCCAATTCAATAAATTACCCTTTTTACCCTTAAATAATACTACTCCCATATGCATTAATTAAATTAACCTTCGAACACATGTGTATGACCGACCTCAAATATATATCTGCAAAGAATATCAACGTTGAATTCTAGTCTTTTGTCTTATTTCTTTTAGTTTTTTTGGGCGTGCTTGTCAGGGTTACGTTTGAGACTATGTTTTTGCTCATCAATCACAAATTCCATACATAATATATTCAAACATGTACACTATATACATACATACATACGTATGGATCGGATCTCTCTATATGTGTGAAAAAAGATGCTTGAGAAAGCATGAATGTATAAACAAAGAAGAATATATGGACAAAGAGAAAAGTTGGTCCTTGTAATAAATACCATTAGACGCGTACGAGAGAGAGAGATCAGAGATCCCATTATATATTATATATATTTTGCTAATTAATTAACAGATAATGGGGGCGGGGGGGGCAAACGGGGGGCAAAGGGTAGAAGCATATTTTGACAAGTTTTATGGTTTCTGGTGATGAGGGGACAAAAGGCAGAGATTAGGGCAACTAATTGTGTGATTTCAGAGACAACCCACAGTTATATACGGGTGCTTATTATTCCACAATTCAAGAAACCCCAAAAACCACACACCATATTAATTCATTTATTAATTAATTAATTAATTAGAGGAAATTTATTGATTACTAATATATAATGATCATTTGTAAAAGTGGCAACTTTTCAGACTACTTATAAGTCTAATTTCACTAATAGTACTTAATTATATATTTTTTTTCCATTAATCAACCACAAAGCATAGTTATTAAATACCCATTACAGTGCAAGGAGAATCAAGAAAGTACTATAGTATATACTATAACACCGAAAATGGATAAAAGTGAAGCATTATTAGCAATAAAGATGAAAAGATAATAAACTTATAAACCAACGCCCACCACTGCTAAATGACAAACACCCCTCCACAAGATAATGCTAATTATTAATTAATTAAACGGAATAATTATTTTGTATTATTAATTATTAAACGGATTTAATGCGCCACGTACATCACAAATTGATGCCTCCTGAGAAGCTAATAATAGATCGGATTAGGTTTATGGAATCTTTTCATATCATATGATCGATAAAATCGACACTTAGTATAAAAAAAATTACACTGAGAAAAATCAAATTCCTGATTAATTAAAAACAAAAATCAACCCTAATTATAACATAATTAGTATATATATATTATATATATATAAATTTAGTTTCAGCACTCCAAGAAAAACCTGAGTGAAGAAGTCAATCCAAAGATTTGGAATTGTGGGTTTCCTCCAAATTCCCATCAAAGAATCCATGCAGCAACCAGGCAGGCTTTTGGGAAATTAGGGTTAGGGTTTCATTAATTTGGCAATTAAATATATTTAATAATTAATTAATTAATGCCAAGAGGAGACAGAGAAAAGGGGATGATTCTGCCACCCTAAGAAGAAAGAATCATTGATGATATGAAGCGTGATAACCTTCAGAAGGGTAATGG